CAAGGATCAAGTAAGTGTCCCAAAAGACCTCATACATGCTCCAAAGAATACATATACGTCCCGAAGGACTACGTAAAAAATTCCTTAAGAATCATATACATATGCTAAGGACCAAATATGTGTCGCAAAGGACCTCATAGATGTTCCATAGGATACCTATATGTCCCGAAGGACCGCGTAGACCCTCGACTCTTGGCATGCCAACTATACCCCAAAGCTCTCAAGACACATAACATGGGCACTATCTTTTATATCCTTGCACATATTCATGTAACATATCACATATTCATATAAGCTCGTAGCTTCATTCACACATACATGTAATCACGTAGTTCATATCAATTCGCATATGATTTCATATTCATATAATCACGTAATTCACTTACACATAGCACATTTTCATGTAATTCACAGATATCCCTTAGCTTATATCTCTTGATCATTTAATCACAACTTCTTATCACATATCTCATAGTCATGTTTTCATATATTCATTTCATCACACAGGCTTATAGTTTCTGGTCATATTATTCACATTCTCTGACTTATCTCTTATGATAAGGTAATCACTACACTTATTTCATATAACTTATTACCAAATAATTCACATATAAACACCTAGATCACTTTCACATAGCTTATATAAGTTTCATGAATCCTTTCATATTACCTGCTAACATATATCATATAGGTATATAATAACTTATCTCATTTCGTCTACTTTATGCTTTATTTCCTTGTATTCCCTTAGATTATATAACTTATGTCGTATATCTAACATATATATTACACTTATCGTATTTTATTTATATACTACTTTAATCCATTTAATTAATTCAATTTCATATATTCCTTATAACATTTTCATATAACTCCATAGATCTTTAGCATATAATTTATCCTATATATATGCATATCATCGCTTTATATTCAAGTTCCCTAATTGATATATTATTCCCATTCCATTCTATAATTCAATCTTATTTAGTTTCCTCAATTCTCATTAAATCAAATAACTCTATTTTACTAATTCTCATAACCATGTATTCACATAGTCTTATATTTCATTATCTTATTACTTATATTTATTCTCCTATGATTCTTCATAAACCTCTATTTCTATTTCCCTACATCTCTTGACTTATCTTCTATATTCATATAATTTCATAACTTATTTGATATTCTCTCATTAACACTTAATAGTGTGTGTACATAAACCACATAGCACATACAAAACATATCAATTCATATAATCAAGCATACATACACTCATATTCAACTCATGCCTTTAATCATGAATTCATATGTAACTCTTCAGGAAATAGACTCATCGCAAGTGTTCTTCCCATCACCCATCATATACTATTGAATATGCACTCACCTGGCCTCACTAGTCAATTCAAATCTCTTATCTTTCCCTTTGATCGATCTTACTTGACAATGATTTTGGAACTCGTTCAGGCTCTGAATCTACATAATTATACATTTTCAAGACAATTATTAGATACCTACATCTTGTAATTCGATACTAACAACTTAAACGAACTTAATAAACTAATATTCATTTCTTCCTTTAGGGGGGAATCGGTTCCCTCCTGTGGGGGTATCGGTTCCCCCATGACATTCTGTAAATTCTGGTTCGTTTGAGGGGGTATCGGTTCCCCTTGAATGGGTACCGATTCCCCTAGCCCAGAAATCACATTTTGAGCTCGAAAATCACTTCATTTTCAGTTCCACACTTCCTATTTCACTTCCTTTAATATTCTTAACTCAAATATACATACTTAAACTAATAAATTTTCATTCAATATCTCTTTAACTTAAAAATCCACTCCTCCACATTGTATTCAAGAATCATACCAATTTTTCCATGTTACCCAAACTTAATTCTAACACTTCTAGCTTTTTATTCTCATAGATGACAAGTCAAATTCAACTTCCAATTTGAGTAATGAACTCTATTCCAAAATTTCATTCAAAAACTCTTAATCTTTAATTTCTCCTAATTCCAAGATCCTTTGTTTTTAAGATGATTTAAGCTTTCCTTAAGCTTAATTATCATCCAATGATCATAATCAAATCCTAAATTCAGCTAAATATCAACTAACAAGAGATCTTACCTTTGCTTATGGCTTCACGGTGGAAAAGAAGAGAATGAAGAAGAGAAGTCTGGAACTCTCTCATATTTCCCACGTTTTATAATACTAAAAAAGGGAAGATAAAAATCTTTCCCATGAAAAGACCATTTTGCCCCTTTAGTTCATCCATCTTTGCTATTTAATCTAATATTAAAATTCTTTACTTAAATCTCTAGACTTTTAATTATTTCTAAATTGAACACAAAACTTTCAAAATTTGCAATTTAGTCACTTACCCTGATTTGGGATGTTACATTTATAATTTTTATCATTTTAGTCTTTGTTTTTCTCTCATAAAAGTTACATCACTTTATTGTTATTTTTCCTGTATAATAACAATTTAACACAACTGCACGCTCGCTTGCCTCATGATCTTTGAGTATTACTTTGTACTTTAACTCAATTTGTCTTGAGATTGTTGTTTCGGTTTTTGCCTATGATGTACTGATGCGTAATTCTTCAATACAAGTTTCCCGCATAAAAAATAATAATTTAACAATAACTTATTTATGCTTTATGGCATAAAGTAGTTATCCAACTACTGTTTTGATCCTATGAGTTCACTTTATTTGACAGTATCACGAAAAAAGTTAATAAAATTTTAAATATTTTATTGAATTATTTTGAATTAGAATAAAACTGATCTGATGTATAAATTTTAAGAGTAAAAATATTATTATACCAATTATATTAGATATGTGTTTTAGTTTAGATGGTTTATTTGTAATAATATTTTAATTGAGTGATATATTTGTATATTTTTTTAAATACTAACTTATTTTTTTATCAGATATATAATTGAGTAGTGTGTAATGTATTTTACACTCTAAAATAATAATATATATATATATATATATATATATATATATATCCGAAGTATATGATATTATCCTTCCTTGAAATTATGTTAAGAAATGATTGCAAGCCATCCAGGCTGTTGCTGATCGGATCGGTGGGATTGGAGATCTAAGGACTCAAATTTATTTTTTAAATAATTACGAAATAATATTTATTTAAAATATTTTTAAACAATTAATAATGTATATACCTCTTATAAATACATTTGGTTCAACCGGCCTATCTTGTTCACGATTAAATGCAATTAGATTTTCTCTTCTGTTTGAGCTGTCATCAGCATGATATATACGACACTTTAAAATTACACAAGTTCCGTAATCAAATACCACTTCCCAAACTCACTAAGCCAAAGTCAAACACGGCATCATTGCATAAAATAATTTTATTTGAGATACTGATTTATAATATTGATTAGTGACTTTAACTACAATTATCAACTTCTTCTAAAAATGAAAAGTTGTTATTTTGATTTGTTTTGATTCTTTCCCAATAATTCTTATTTTACAGACTCTCGGTCCTTATTTGAAATTACCATCCCTCGCTATTTTTGAAGAGAAATTTAATTTAATTCTTTTGATAAAACTTTTTTAAATGTATTGATAACATAATAGCTTTTTAGTTGATATAGCTGTACTGTAGAATAGATTATCTCAGGGTCTCTGCCGATGAAATGCAAGTGTAAAGTTTTCAATTAAATGTTTTTTCATTTTCAAATTTTAATTAAAATTGTTTTCTAGTGTACGGGAATGAGTTAGTCTAATTAATTTGTTTTCGTGATAATTATAAAATAATATTTATTTAGAATTTTTTTAATCTATTGATAATGCATATATCTTCTTCGAACATCGTTGTTTGAACATTGGATTTTTAGATAGAATAATCTTTTTTTTTTGTTATTGAGACCATTTGATAGATTTAATTAGTTTAATTAATTTTTACCAAGTGTGATTAGAGTTTTTGTGAATTAGGAGAGATTGCATAAATCATTGATAGGGTACGCTTGGTGGTTCAATGGGAAGTGGGCGTTGATGATTTAGTTTTAGCATTTTTTATATTAATATCCTCGAGGGGTTGTCGACCCCGTATGCCCTTATGCGCTCATACATTTGTTCCAATAAATAAGTGGATAAATGAATATATGATAAAAGTGAAAAGTTAAGGGACACAATCAACAAAGCGAAAAATAATAATAGAAGTATTATGATTTTCAACATTAAAAGGATCCACCACCATCATCCAAATCCTCTATCACCATCATCCAACATCTCTATGACCTCCCTAACACAGATCTAGCGATCCTAGGAACATCTTCGGTTGTATAGACAAAGAAAACTGATCATGAGAGACTTTGACGGTCCATCCTTTCTAAGTTAGATCAAGATAGAAGAACCTTACGTTCGTCAGCATCTCGTCTAAAGACCTCTCTTTACTCTATAGAGGCATGTCACATAACTTGTGGAGGAACTCATGGTCATATCCCATAGACTTGCGAAAGGATTTATAGCCATATCTGCACTTTTAATAACATAGGGGTTACAATCACATTGATGCTCTCAATAGCGGGGGATCATGATGGTTTACTCTTTTTAATTCGAACAGAAACACAAATAAAATTTCTTTTATCTTGCGGGTCAAGGAGCTTCTCACACTATACTAGCAAAAGTGGCTCATTAAGAGGCATCTACGGGTGTCTTTAACACCATTCTAGTGGTGGGGGTTCCACGTACTTCTTTGTGTCTCAAACGGAGGGGTCTACTATATTAGGATCAACGAGTGACATGAGACATGACGTAATGATGTCCTGGAAGATATAACAGCAGTAAAAGTAAAAACCCTATTTACTTAACATTCATTTTCAATAAAATACAATTTTAAACCTTAAGTTGTGGCAACAACAGTGCTCAACGAGGTCTAAGCGTCATGATTGTGCGCAAATTGACTAATGAGATTCGGCGCTGTTCTCCAAAGTATTATACAATATGCTACACTAGCATTGTGTATGCAGTAAAAAACAACTTAAGTGTGCGTGCATGCTTATTACTCAATATTGGTGCTGTTCTCCGAAGGAATGCCATCTTTGCTAATCCATCAGAAAAATGAAGCATCGAATCTTGCTTCTGAACCCTGATTGCCTGATGCTGAAACCAACTGCCAATACTCTCTTCTCATCACAGTCTATTCAAATGGAAATCAACTGTTAAGAATGTAGGAATGGTTTAAACAAAAAGCATGCATCCATAACTTCTAATAAAATGTCAATTGAAAGATAAAATATGAACCTGAAAACGTTTAAACAAAATGCATGTATCCATAATTTTGGTTTAATCTTTCTCGATTCTTATAGCCTACATGCAGTATTTTCACAGTGATAGAAATTGAGACTAGTTTTCATTGCCAGCATCACTGCTTTATGAGTATGGAAGCATCTAAATGCTATTATGAATGAAGCGAGAAGATACCTTGCAAAAAGAAGTGAAGCCAGGTTTCCGAAGGAAGAGCTAATGAAGATCAGCAAGGTTGGCTATTTGCGTTGAAGTAATCCCATTTCCTTTTATATTCCATTAATTCCTTATATGTTGTTTCTCTTGTATGGTCCCTTCGAAAATTGCTGAGCACCAAATTTCTTTCCTCGTTTTGCAAAGATAGAATTGATGTTGTAAACAGTAGTTTCACTCGGTATAAGCTGTTTATCATTCATTTCCAAAAGCAAATTTTTCACCTCGGTTAGGCACGACATTTTGGAGGCCCTGTCCAGCTCTGGCTGATTAGAGAGCTCACACCAACCAGAGATTAGTATGTCATAAGTCGAGGAATTAGGCAACGATCCCCTCAATTGCATCTCCTTAAGAAGCTCTCGAGCTTGGACCATTTTTCCTACCTTAGAAAAACCGTTGATAAGCACATTGTAGGTGCTAGTTGTTGGAACAAATCCTTCGGTAATCATTTCACAATAAACTTTCACAGATTCCTTATTATTTCCAATCTTACCATGCCCAGATATCAACGTACCATATGTTGACGCATTAGGGTTCAAACCTTTTTCCTTAATTTCGAGAAATAATTCATCTGCTTCATTCATCAAACCAGCAGACGAGAGACCTTTCAGAAGAATATTGTAAGTGGCAATATTTGGTGAAACTCCTTTCGCTAACATCTGAGAATATATAGCAAAAGCTTTCTTTACATGGCTGCCTGTGCAATATCCATGCATAAGAGCATTGTAAGTTACTGTGTCAGTTGAAAAGCCTCTTCCTGTCATATCTTCTAAAACTGATACAGCTTTCAGTGTCATCCCTAGTCTGCATAAGACAGTGATGAGAGTGTTGAAAACTGCCTGGTTAAGTTCAAGCCCCACAGAAACAAGATGTTCATGCATTAGCAAAATGTCATCAGCCCTTCTATTCTTCGAGGATGCATCAAGCAGAAATCTGTGAATGGCAGTGGTAGGTGAAAGGCCTAAAATCCGCATCTCGTTCAATACGTTCAGAGCTTTATCAATTTCACCAGCTTTACAAAGACCTCTGATGAGAATGTTACAAGTGATGGAGTTTGGCATTAACCCACAATTCTGCATGTCATCCCAGAAGTTTAGCGCATCTTCAAACTTACTCTCTTTGCAGTATGCATTAATCATCGTATTGCATGTAATGAGGTCCGGGGACAGATCCAACTCTCTCATCCTGGCATAAACAGATTGCGCCTCGTATTTACCAAGCTTCAAAAGACCATTAATTAAGACATTGTATGCAACAACATCAAATGGTATATTTTTCTCTGTCATTTCCTGGGCCACGGTAAGACCAGCCGACTCCTTTCCATCTTTGAAAAAACCATCCATCAAAGATGTATAGTTTACATGATCAAGTGACAAACCCCTAGACATCATATCTTTAGCTAATTCAACCGCTTCCCACATCCTTCCAGATCTTTTCATGTTGTTCACAAAAGCATCTAGTATAAAAGTGTTTTCCTCTAACCCTATTAATTTCATTTCGTTATAGAGATCAAGAGCAACTGTTTCTTTACCTGCCTTGAAATATCCATCAATTAGTGCAGCATAAACATATACATTTGGTATTATATTTTCGCCTACCATCTTCCGCATAATGTTAACAGCTTCATCAAGCATTTCTTTCCTGACATAGCTGTTTATGATAGAAGAATAAGTCACGACATTAGGAACAACATTTTTTTCCTTCATTTCTTCAAATGCAGATTCTGCACCAGTTATGTCTCCCAATTTGCAACGACCATCAATCAAAGCAGAATAGGTGATCAAATTAGGCACCAATTTGTGCTTTAAAAGAGTAATAAAAATGCTTTCTGCCTCTTTTGGCTTCCCAGCCTTAAAAAGTCCATCCATCAGTATAGTGTACACAACAACATCAAAGACAATGCTACGAACAACCATTACACTTTGAAGGGCAAAAGCATCCATAGAACTCCCTGCTTTGAAGAATGTGTCTATAAGAGTAGCATAAGAGACATGATTGGGATCCACACCCATCTTCTCCATCTCCATCATAAGCATTTTCACTTCAGCTAACTTCCCATGCTTGCAGAGGCCATTTATGATTGAACTATAAGTAATAACATCAGGCAAAATCCCCTTCGCAACCATTTCTTCATACAAAGAAAGTGCTTCCTCAAGCCCTTCTTGCTTACAATAGGCACTTATAAGCGTGGTGTGCGTAATAAGGTTCGGTTCCAATACCACATCGTTATCTAGCTCCTTTTGATTACCATTATCAGCCAAAATCTTAAAATCTTCCTTCCTACGTGACCCCAAAATCTCATGGATTAAACTTTTAGCCATAAAGAAATCACCTCTTTCGCAAAATCCATTTATCAAAGTATTATAACTAATGATATCAGGAACTAAACCTTCCCTTCTCATCCTATCCATCAAATCGACCGCATAATTCATATCTCCACTCTTACAATATCCATCAATCAATATGTTGAACCCTATAACATCCTTACAAATACCACCGGTAGTCAAATTATACATAACCCACTCTCCATATCTAACCAATCCAATTCCACAAAACCCCTTCACAACTATATTACAAGAAAAAGCATCAAAAGATATACATTTTTTGATCATTTCCGACAAAAAAACGAAACCTTGATAAGCCAAACCTTGCTCACAAAAACCCCAAATCAAAGTATTATAAGTAACAGTGTCAACAATGTTCTTGGCACCAAAACTTCTAAGCAACTCCAAGGAAAAGCTCAAATTACCAACTTTCACTAAAGAATGAACCAAAACATTTACAGTGAAAACATTCGGAAAAACCCCACAGGCTATCATCTCGGAGTAAAGTAGCATTACCTCAGAAACCAAACCAGAGGCATTGAAACTATAAATAAGGCGATTCCACAGGAACAAAACGGGAATAACACCATGTTTCCTCATGTTTAAAAATGTCTCCTTGGCATGCGAATATCTTCCACATGTTAAGTATAACTGGATTAGAGTGAAGAAAAATGAGGCGTAAAGATGGGTCTTGGCTGTGGGGATTATTGGATTGGAAAGGGTTTTTGGAGGCAAGGGTGGTGGGGTTTTGGAGGGTTTAAGGGGTGAAGGGTGTTTGGTTGAGAAGAAAGTGGAAGATCTTGAGAGAAAATGAAAGGGAAAAGGCGATTTTTTATAGGAACTGAAATATTTTAGCATAACTTGAATCTTTTGGATTCTACTTGGCATATCAAAAAATAATGGGGTTTTGGGAAAAGTGGTTGCTTAGGATTAATGAACTTGAACTGAGCAGACAATGAACAATCGAAGAGAGCTTCTCTTCGATGTCGATGGTTGAAACTTCGGTGAAAGGAAGATGAGCTACCGCTGCCGTTTTGGGGAATTTTTTTTGGGTAAACTAACTCTATAATCATTCAATTATGTGATAGATTGTATTTTAACCTAGAGAGAAAATTTTATAAACTAAACCATAAATTATTTAATTATTTATATTTAAATTATCGGTATAAATTAAATTATTAGCGTAATAATTAAATAAATTTTATATAATAGCATATTTGATTTTTATTATTTATATATATCATTAATTTAATAAATTTAATTTTTTATATTAAAAATTATCTCAATTTAATTAATAAACACAAATACAAATAGATAAACTTCTGTATAATCCAATGCTTTAACCCCAAAACTACTGTTAAGCTTTGATTATAATTTATAACATATAGCGTATTTCTTTAATATTTTAACTTTAAAAAAAATCAATTTTACGATAATTTCTCAATTCTTCCCCAAAATAAATTTCGACGAACCTCTTTCAGAAAGCCTTCAAACGCACCCACTACTCGGCCTCCATCGCGCAAAGGAATTAGGCAGGACAACAGTTTTAGCAGTGAGGGATAGAATAACTTAAGCTGAAGCGAACATATGGTTTCTGTTTTGAAAGTTATGATTAAATACATACATTTTTACTAGCAATTTAAATTGAAGTTGATATTTTTGTTGTGTCTGTTACAATTGTGGACATAAGAAATGTTATTATAATTACTGTTGATATTATAATCGGCACAATAACATTTTCGGATGGCATCGTCATTGTTATATAACTGCGGCTATTCTAATAAGAATCGGCTATTTAAATAGCTTATTTAATGCGATAACAATCCTTAAAAAAAATTATAGGCAAACTTTAATGGAGGCAAAGGTTTCCTAGAGTTTACTCTTTTTTTCTATCGTCATTGTGGCTCCTGCTGTTTTGAGACACTGTTTTCTTGTTGCAAGCAAGGTTCAAAACCAGTAGAACTGGATTCAAATTATCTTATCATATTAAGTATTTATGCCTAAGTCCAAATAACATGATAAAATTTACAACGAATATCATGATAAAACTTAATGGGATATATTTTAATCCAAGGCAAAACTCTATGTGAGAATGCATCCATGAAGGCTGAAAGTGATGAAAGGCTGAGTTGAGTTAGCAAATGAGTAAGGAGACGGTAAGAGAGAGATGATAGAATAAGCTTTTTTTTATTGAACAGTGGAAAATACTCAACTTATAACCTAATACAAAAGGATGGCTTATATAGCCCAAATAACCAACAAACCATAACAAACTAATAATAACAAACCATAATAAACTAATAACAAACTAGTAATACTCTAACATTCACCCTACTTAATTTTATTCAAAATGAACTTGCTATTAGAGAGTTGGTCAAACAAAGAATGCAAACTTAATAAGATGGAGTTTAACCGTCTTGCGGTATTGATGAACAATTTATCGAACAAATTCTCTTTCACCTAAAACATCTTCTTTCTTCAACTTTCCTCGGCTTTTCTTCTTCTTCTTTTCAAGAGTTATTTTTCCTCTTCAGTGTTCTTCCTCTTCACTTATTAGGACTTTCTTTTTGTTGGAAGCAAGACGGTTAAGATACGAGCTCCCGGATGCAATTTAAAGCCTCTTTTGGACAAGAAAACATCCTATTTTGTCTGGTTAAGGAAGGCCAGGCTGTTAAACTCTTCACCCTCCCCAGAGATTTTCTTCTATGGTAACTTGGTTGTTAAACCTCAAAGTTCCATGTCAAACTTTGGAGAAGAAGTAACAAGTGATGAAATATACTCTATGAACACCTTAAAACTGCTGTATGATTTGAGGACCGAACGGAAAATGCATAACCAACAAAATAGTAGATGCACCAACTCAATTCAGGAGTATTAACCACTCAATGGTCAACTTAGAATCAGACTATCAACCCTTTGTAGCAGCAAAACCACAATACGAATGAATAACACAAGCAGTAGTGAACTAAAGCAACCAAATATTAACTAAAACAGCAACTAAAAAAATTGACATCTGCAACAAGCTCCATTGAAAAACCATCAGCAAAACTAGTGATCAACCAAAGCATTAAAGAGAAACATCAGACTAGTTCGATCTCATCTAGTGGTTACATTCATCTGATAGCCGCCAGCAAATTCAAGTTTGATTGAACCACAACCAAGAGGAGACAGTCCACACCAAACGAAATTGAAACCGGGGAAATACAATATCAACACAGGGACACATAGAGGGAAAAGCTAAGCAGCAAACTTCAGAGTTACTCATTCAGACATTTCTTCGACCAATTTCTAGGCATTCAGAATGATACGCATCTGTAAAATATCCAAGAAGCTGCCATAGAACCATGCCATAACAGAGCACCAGCGTTCAAGAGTAACAGGACAAACGATCTCAAATTGAAAGGTAAATGACAATATAATTATGAAGTTATCTCTCAAACTTAAGCAAGCCGGATTGAACCAAAACCACATGGAAAAACAACAACATAAATGCCCAACACAAACCAGATTACAGCTCCAAGAACCACACTCCAAAAATCAAAAAGAAGAATCAAAGTGCAAGAATGACCATAAAGGTATAGATCTCACCGGAGAAACAAATCGACGATTCCAGATTGCAGAAATGCAACATCAGCCAGAAAAAAAAACAAAGGAACGACGATGAATTAGCAACAAATAGCACGGCGGTGGTAAAATCGGCTCCAAAAGTCAGCAGCGAAAGAAAAACAACATTAGGATCGTTGGCGAATGATACTATGTGAGAATGCAGCCATGAAGGCTGAAAGTGATGAAAGACTGAGTTGAGTTAGCAAATGAGTAAGGAGACGGTAAGAGAGATATGATAGAATAAGTTTTTTTTTTATTGAACAGTGGAAAATACTCAGCTTACAACCTAATACAAAAGGATGACTTATATAGCCCAAATAACCAACAAACAATAACAAACTAATAATAACAAACTAATAACAAGTTAATAACAAACCATAACAAACTAATAACAAACTAGTAACACTCTAACACTCCAACCAGTTAACTTTCCAGCTCCTTGATGAAAACCCAGAAAACATCCAAGAAGAAGCACAGCCAGAGGCTGTACATTGATTCCAACTTGAGCATAATACACTACTACTAAACTAACTAAACACTCTCATCAAGTAAACACTCTAGCTTCACATTCCCACCTTTCAAAAGATATTGAATTTCTTTAGGAGGGTCCAGCCCCAACCTTTGAGCTCTTTCCCAACGAGCCACCCGCGTTATCCCAAGGCACGGTCCATATGCCATGTTCATATCAAATTGCCTTAAGGCTCGTTCTTCATCAGAAAAATCATTTGTTCCCCATTGAAAAAATAATGATATTCAGTTTTAATGAATAACCATTCTGATAAGAACAAAAGCAATAATGTGGGAAATTACCTTTGACATCGAGGGCGGGAGTTTGGGTGATATCGGAACCAAAAGATGGGGTTTTGGTTGACTTGGAAGATTTTGATTTGGTGATGCCTCCTGCAGTGGTAGTGATGTGGTTCTTCTTCTTCTGCCTGTAAAAGCCCCTCATGTTGTTGGATATTCTTGCCATTCTTGAATCTCCACTTCAAATTCAAATTTTGAATTCTTTGATTCGTGGACTCTGCATTCAAGGGATTCTTCTGTATTTATGGTGCAAATTTCTGTATTGCGACCTTTGGGTCTAATGCCATAGCTAGGCCTAGGAACAGGGCCTAACAAAAATAATAATAATAATAATTGGTGACTAAAATGAAATCAAATTGATACTTAAATAACTAAATATATAGTTTACCCTATAATTATTTAATTATATTATTTATAAGGCTTAACGTAAAAATAAATGTATAAATTTTTTATTTTTGATGTCTAAAGATTTTTTATTAAAAATATGTGTTTAACGTTTTCAATGCTATATTTTTAATTGCATAGGCTTGATCGTTGCTAAAAATAATATTATCTAACACGTGTCGGATTTATAAAATTTTATTTTAAAATAAAAATGTATAATTTATTTTTTAAAAACTCAAATTTCTTTATAACTCAAAAAAACCCAAAAACTTTAAAATCCCCTTATTATTGTCACCAGCCAACTCCGACCATTATCACCGTCATTAAACGATAACCCGCCTTTCAATAAACCTTCACGGTCGGTCATCCTTTTTAACATTATTCTAATCCCCTAAATCTTCAAATTTAAATCCCTAAATCTAATTTCAATTCCTCTCATGCCGTCAATTCCCTTATATCTCATTAGTCATTTTATTTTTTTGCATTATATATGCATCTACAATTTTTCCTCAAACTTTCGTCGCTCCAACACTGCTCGAAAGCATTATTATTTTTTGTTATTGATTTTGCAATTGCAATTGCAATTGCAATTGTAGTTGCAGTTACATTCAGATGAGCATGCCACATGGCATTAGCATCATGAAGAGCTGGTCGATGCTGGAGGAGGCTTACTGTTTTCGGATTTGGGATTTTTCTATAATCTTTGGAAATTTTGGCTTTTTTGAAAAAAAATAAATATACTTTAACTTTTAAAAATAAAAATCTCATAAAAATATAAATATGATACACATCATTTAACGATTTTTTTTATGATCATTACGATATAAACATTTAAAAGTATAAAAAAAATATTAAACTATTAAAAGTGTAATACTAAAAACGCTATACATTTTGTTTTTAACAAAATAAAATTAAATATAAAAAATTAATTTTAAATATATTTTAAATACTTATTTTTGAATTCAACCTATTAAAATTATTTTGTACTTCATACAACCTAAATATAAATATCATATTCAAACCCTAGTTGCTACTCTTATAAAGGGGGAAAAAACCCACCAGCTTCCTGTATCCTATTGTATTAACGCCTCCAAGTCAAGTAAACCCTAAAAGAAACCAACCCTCTTTCTTATTCACTTCACTTTACTTTCCTCGCAGCCTTAGACATTGGTGAAAACACTCTCCCCAAACTAAGATGTCTAGCTTCTGCTATCTATTACAAGTTTAAGGATACGTTATTTACGACAAGAGTCTTGCCTTTATATGCTGAAGAAATATCTGGGTCTTGTTAATCAGTTGCTGATTTGGCTACAATTGTTGACCGATTATCTGTTTTGACGCAGAAGATGTCTTTGATGAATTTGAAAGCAGATTCTGAAATAAAGGAGCATTGGAGACAAGATATACAATTCGTTTTCGGGTTCAGATCTACCTATAATGCTACGAAGATATTGGGTAAGATTTTTGCTTTGAAAATCAAATTTCAGAATCGTCGGTGTGGTTGGAACGGAATGAGAGGTGTGGGAAAAAAATTATTTATTAAAATTTTATAGGATAATATTAGTTTTTTAAATTAAAATACATGAGTCTGTGTTTCCGATGACATAGATTTTAAAAATTTAGATAAAAATATCATAATTATTATACGATGTCTGGAACGAAGATAATAATTAATATTAGTTAGAATATGTGATGTTTTGAAAAATAAAATATAAAAATATAAAAAAATGAGAAATGTAAGGATTAAAAATCTTAATAGATATCTAGTATAAAGTATAATAGAAAATGAGAATAATTGATGATGTATGGATTGAACAATAGTATGTGAGTGAATTTGTTGTTTGTTTGGGGTTTAGAGTTTTAAAATTTTTATATAGGTGAATTAGTAAGACTACATTTGGTATTGGGTTGATGAAGTTTTAGTATCCGGCGAGCAAGTGTTTACAATTGTTTTTATTTTGATTTGAGATGTAAATTGTACTTCACATGGATGTAATGTCTTAAAAATATTGTTGCAGAATGCAGTGCATTCTAGCCTGTATAAAAGACATTAGCTTGAGTAAGTATAGCAAAATATGTATACATGATCTTTGTACGTGTTTCTGTATCTATAAATCGTGCTCTCAGCTCCCTTTATTTATCTTTTAAAATATCATTAATACACACAATTTCCTTATGGTCTATGACATTTGAATAATCAAATCGAACATTGAGAAGCATAAAGTTTGATATCTAATGAGAAGAAATTGTTTTGAGTATTAGAATGATAAAAGTATGGTAAGATGGAATGGTTGTTATTGGGACAATCCTGGATCATGGATTGTTATGTTTCGAGTGAACGATGCGGATTCGAAACCGGTGCAGATCGGACTAAGATTGTTCGTCTTTCTTATGTATGGCTGTGGTAATGTAATTTTCTCTTCAGAAATCACCAGCCTCAAGATCCCATGATTAAGGTAAGAGGAGTTAATGTGTTGCAATGGCTTAAGAGGTGAAATAGATGTTAGGTTGATTATCACAACTGGATACCATAATATTAATTCACCTACCAAAAGAAAATTTATGTCACGCATCCTTTTCTTTATATCAATTATGATCTTATATAGGCCTGTAAATGAACTGAACGTTCAACGAACCGTTCGTGAACCGTACGGCGGGAAGTTCGTTTATGTGCGTTTATTTATTAAATGAACGAACATGAACAATATTTTTTGTTCGTTTAATTAAATGAACGAACATGAACATAGGTCTCGTTCGTTCATTTACGTTCGTGAACGTTCGATTATGTTCGTTCGGTTATGTTTGTTTATGTTCGTTCGATTATGTTCGTTTATGTTCATTCATTTATGTTTAACTCAATCTTCTTAAATCAATTTTGGTGACCAATTTGTAAGTATCTTAAAAATATTAATTAATCTGATATTCTGATGACCAACTCCATAATTAACCCAATTTTATTTGGAGATTAAATCCAATATGTTAACCTGTGAGGCACATCGCACCTATATTCATTTCCCCCTTTTTCCCCAAACCCTAGTGTTCACTAGAGAGTGGAGACGATCGCTGAAAGCTTCAAAACAAGTTATATTATAGTGCAATATGAAGTTTTACAAGTATGTTTTCATCTCTTTCTCTGTTTTATTTGGCTTAATAGTTGATATGTAAAGTTATTGCAGGTATCTTCACATTTAAAACTCAAGAAAACATCATACTTCTTTCTATAAATAGATGGGAAGATAAAGGTAACAATCGGAAGTATATGAATATCAATAAAGAGAAAAATATATAGAATTTGCCAGAAAACAAAACAAAGGTTTCTATGCAATTTCTGAAAAGAGTGTAATAGCGAAAAATGATTGTTCATATGTAATCATGGACCACTAAGATAAATGTTATAGCGTTAAATTAAAGTTGTGTGAATCATTTAATATCTTTAAAAGATCGATCAAAATATTTAATATCTTCAAACATTTCATCACTGCTAATAAACTCTTACGCTATTTATCACTGTAGATTTGGTTATTTGTATTGTCGACTATTTTTCATGAAAGAACAATGGAAGGTAGGGTCTCCAACGTTTATGTTCGTTTATGTTCGTGTTCATTTATGTTCGTGTTCGTTTATGTTCGTGTTCGTTTATGTTCGTTTATTTATTAAATGAACGAACATGAACATATTATATTCCTTAATAAACGAACATGAACAAAAAAAATTTTTGTTCGTTTATGTTCGTGTCCGTTTATGTTCGTCTATTTATTAAATGAACGAACATGAACATACCTCCGTTCGTGTGCGTTCGGTTCGTTTACAGGCCTAATCTTATAGCTTCTATAAAAATCATTCACTTCATTTTTAATATTATTTTATTAAAAAATTAAAAAAATGATGAAATAGATAATTTTTGTCAATTGAGACCGTATGAACTTGTGCAAATAATTATTGTACTTTTCCTTCATATTTATATTAATTCAAACCTTTAATTATATTTGTGATTACAAGTTAATAGATAAAAATAATAAAATAAAATAAAACAAATGGGTAAATTACATATTTAGTCACCTAACTATTTGTGTGGCTTTGTTTTGGTCACTTAACTATTTTTTTTTTAAAATCATATTTAAATTTAAGTTTTAATTTCATCTTAGTCACTTATTAACAATGATGCAATATGTCATTTTTTTTCAATGATGTAGAATTAAGGATTAAAGCTTAATTTGGTTAATATTCAAACTATTAAGGATTTAAATTTGAATAAAACAAAAATGTTTTGAGGGAGTCACCTTAATATATTAGGCTCCTTCCCCGACTGGCAGAGAAACCATGGACGGGAAGAAGAAAGAAATGGAGAAAGAAACAGAAAATACATGTAAGAGATGCAAGAAGAGCTACACCACATCTTCCAACACTTCCTCTTCGTGCCGTTTCCATCCTTCTTTCTTTGTTTGTCGTCGTCATGACGACCAAAAGAGGTATCCTCCCACTCCTTTCTCTCCTTCTATGTCCCTTTTTTCGTGTTTATAATTGTATTTACAAATGGAGAGTAATCCTGGATACCCTTTTGTCTGATTTGATTGATTTTCACGTTTTTTTTTAAATTTAATTTAATTTAATTATGATCGGCTTGTGCACTAGAAATGGGTAATGCGCATTTTCTCTTTTTAATGTGTTTTTATACCCTTTTGATTCTTTTTGAATTATAGTTTTTCTGAATACGAATTACCTTATTTTTATTGTTTAATTTTCTTTTAGTTTTAACTTCCTTACTTAAATTTTCATTTGAAATTAGGCTATAATGTGTAATTGAATTCGATTTCAAGATTTCCCCATCTTTGTATTGGTCCTAGAAATTGAGAAATCTACAAATTCGATGATGATGATTTAACTAAGCTTAGTTTAATTAGGAACCTTTAGGTTTGATTCCTTGGCAATCGAGAACCACTTGGATTTACTTTTTTTTCTAAAAACAAACTGAAGAAAATGGTTAGCGGTGTGCCCGTCGGATTTCTGCTTATTATGTCTGATGCAAGAGTGAGGTTCATATAGGTATTCAGTTGAGTACAGATAAGGTTTAGTGAATAAAGTTGATGTAAATTAACAACCCCTGTAAACTTAATATAGTGATATAGAAACTGAATTCGGGAACTAAATCATTTAAACAAGCAGGTGGATGTGCCTCAGTGAAGATATCGACAAATTACTGAGCAACAATTATATATCTTAGCTGTATGGTAAAGCAAGTATTCTGAAGTTAATTGCTCTTAACTAGCTGTTTCATGAATTTTCTTTGCCATTTACGAGGAAGTTTGTTAAAGTAACTTACCTTTTGCCACTGAGTTTAACTGTGCAGTCTAAGTCATGGATGGACTGATTCAGTATTTTTGAAAGGAAAAATTTGCTTTGCTCGGTGATTACTACTATCCAAACCCAATCATTTAAAACTCTCATTGAAGTTATCACCTCATTCGCCTAGATGAGCAAGAGCACCATAGTTGCAAAAATTGATGAACCACTTAGCAAACTACCGCAAGAAGGTGCCATCTAGAATGCTTGTGAAGCTTTCAAATGGTTATATACATATACCAGGATCAAATTAACTCACTCTTTAACCGTGTCTTGAGTTTTTTTTTCTGTTGAATAAATGAGTCTCATTCCGCTTCATCTGACATTCGACTAGTATTACCTAGAATGTGGATCAGTCTGATACTAGGGACAGAAACTGGAAAATGCAAATCGCTACTTATGTAGAATATAATTTGAAAAGGGTAGTTTTCTTCGGTTCACATGGTAGGAATGAAAAACCGTTAATTAAAGCGTAAAACATTTTTTTCACAAAAAAAGGAAAAAGAACTTAAAGACCCAAAAGAGAATTGTACATCTGAACTCTTAATCTTTGTCCATTCTTAACTTTCATTTGTAATTTGAATGGAAACTTATTACTTCAAGGCAAAGTCCACTGCCCATCCACTAGTAACATTCTAGAAGCATATTACCATAACCTAGGAACATAGGCTTCTTGAATTGGATCATATATGATCTGTGATTTGGATCGGGGGATTCAATTTCGAAGTTGTAAGATGAGTACCTGTATCTGGTAATAGTGCATTCGACTTTTATCATGTTGCCAAGAGTCCACCCTGACATTTTCAAACTTTGGATGTTAGATAGCTTTCTCAGGAATGGAACTAACCATTCCTGTTAGCCTGCTGCTTCTATTTGTAGTTCTGGTTTGAAGAGACCATATCTACAATCCTTTGTAATGCACTCTCTTTGATAGGAAGTTGCATCACTCAATTCTGTAATCTGAATGCAGAAATCATAAATGTAAGGTATTGCCACGTATTTGGATTCCGTTCGTGTTATAGAGGACTCTGCATACTCATATGCGTAAAATGTCATATTCTAGAACAGATTATTACTGCTTTAATACATGTCTACTTTTCAATTGAAGGAAAAGGAGTTTGCAATGTCATGGCCATTCTATAATGCTTTTGCTTTGAGTGCATCTGTCTGTCTGTGTGTGTGAGAGAGAGAGCTGTAGCATTTGCCATGGGAAAAAGGGTAATGTGCCCTTCTCATTGTGTTTATGAGTACACATTAGAGACTGTTTGCAATGAGATGCTACTGTGTATCAAGTGTGCCTGTGTATGTGCTTCTCTTTGTTATGGTAATGATGTGTTATGAAGTTCATGTAGAAAATCGAATTACTCAACTTTGAAACTATACCCTTGTTTTTAGCCTAATGTTTTCTTACAAGTTCATTGAACACTTTTTACTCTTTCTCCAATTGTGTGACACAAGACAGATATTTGCTAGTTACTGTTTTACCTCTTTGGATTGATTGAAGGTACTATGAGATGAAACCTGATGATCCACCGTATGCTGCCAAGTTCTATGACTGCTGCGGGGCTGAGGACCCTGAGGCTTTTGGCTGCACCACCAGTTTCCATGTCTCATATGACGATGATTGACGTGCCATCTCCCTCATTCACCTGAATCTCATCCAAAGATTAGATATGTATATTTATACAAAACTGTGTTCTTAATCTAAGTGTTAACCATCCGAGAATAGGGTTGTCTAATTTATGTCATTTTCTATGTTCCAGAATATGGGGTTGTTATGGTTTGAGTTTCACTAAATTTAGCATGTGTGGTCCTGCGGCTTCCACCTTTTAACTGATTGTGGATGTCGCAGGGAAGAATGTGCCGCCTGATACTCTGTGTTCCTGTCGTGTTTTGGTTGTTCTTCCTGTGTTGTTCAATGGAGTTGGCCCTCTTCTTAATTTGCTAGCCTGCTTACAGCATCCGTCTCATTACATATATAAACCACCCAGCACTGGCAAGCTCAATCCTGAATCAAACATTTTGTTTTTTTTTTAATCTTTTTTTTCTTATGGTGAAAGAAGTCAAAATATTCTTGAAAATAGTCACCCAAAAACTTACCCTCACTCAGGATTAGTGTCATGGTTACATGTATCAACAGGGCTAGAGCTCGGAGTTCGTGTGTATTATAAGTTTAACCGAAGTAGTTTAATGTGAACCGAAGTAGATAATATTTTACTGGTGATCAAAATAGAAAAAAAAGTGTAATGTTAGTTCTCAATTATACAAAAAAATAGTATGGTAACTAAAATAGGAGAGATAATAACATGACGATCAATGTTATCATTTACCTTTTTTTAGTATGGATAGGTGTATTTCGGTCTAAATAACTATTTTCCTGAGAGAGATAAAATGCTACTTATTAATACACATCGATTTAAATAAAATTAGAATTTTGAAAATAAGTATTGGCTTATATTAACAATTTGTTTAGATATAAATGGAAGATTGAAAAATTTTCTTTGTACAACCCAAAAAAGAACCTACTCGGAAATTGAAAGTACAGAATTAAAAGCACATTTGGGTATAATAAATTTTAGCAACTTAACTAAAAAAATATGGAAACCAAAGTTTGAATATTTGGGTAATTAAAGCAAATGACAGATCAATGGACTCAACCCATTGAAAATATGGCACACAAACATGACCAACATCCTTAAATAGTTAAATTTAACAAATATATATCATTTTTAGCTTAAACCCACAGAATTAATTTCACAATAAATTCCCCACACCCAAAAAGATTATAAGCGAGGGAGATTGGAACCGATCAATAATTCCAATTGCACAATCGCAGAATATCAGATTTTGTGTCGCAAATTCTTTTTGGTAAAGTTCCACCTGATCTAATTTAATGATTTTCAATTAAATTTTATCATTTTAGGGTTTTGGAAAAATGGAGGTAAAAGGCGAAAGAAAGTAGAGGGTGGGCACATTGTACTTGTATGCTTAGTTTTCATTTTATATGACTATGACCTAACGTGAAAAAAGTGCAAAAGCAGGCTAGGTTTGGCCTTTATATATCTGGGGAAAAAAAGGGGTTACTTCTTGGATAGTCAAACAAATAGATATATCTCTATTTTAACTACATTGCATTTGTATTTATATAAAAGCTTATGCGAATAAACCCCTAATATATGAGTGTGTATGCAGATTACTCTGGTGACTAATATGACATATAGTATTCGGATCGGATTATTTTATCGAGAATAAACTTTTATATCTAATTTCTGGTTTTGTGCCGTGTTCTTTTATCTTACAGTAGTTGTGGTTTGCTACTCTGCTAAGCTCTTCATTTCTACTTCTTTCTTTATAGTTGATTTGATGTTACATCAATAGCTGACAAAAGGTGCATTATATTCTTCAAAAATGGCAGATTTTAGCTAACGCCAGCTTTAATCCAAGTTTTTCTCTTGGTTTGTCTTTCCTTGTTAAAAGAACCTCATGGCGACTAAATCCAAGTATGTTACACTTATTTCTTCATATACATTTATATTTTTCGATAATTTCCAGCTTTATTCTCACTCACTTTTTGTTTTAGATTACATCCGGCTTGTTTTTGTGTTCTCTTTTCCTTGGATTATTATCTTAAAGTTCAATTTTTTAACTAATTTTGTTCATTGATTATCTTTATCAAATATGTTTTACTTAATTTTACTTTAGTTATTTTGCTTTTGGGCTGGATTTTGTCTTATATTTCTCTCGTTTCTTCAAGTTTGTTATTTGGAATGCATATCTGTTGCATGTGTTAATGTAACAGAGTAACCTGATCATGCCAAATATTATGAGAAAAAAGTTGTATATTTTTATATTACATCCATCTTTAATTTGGTTTCCACTTTCATTTTGTTGGTATACCTTGCATTGTGTGCTTTTAAATCATGCGAATTTGACATTTTGAACATGTAAACAGATCTGCTTTATCTGCAACTCATACCAAGGTCTCCCCAGCAACACCAGGAGTCGCTAGTAAACTAAGCAGGGTTCTGGTTAAACCAGAACCTGGTTCATCACCCTCTTCCTTGCGAGGTACACACCATTCGGTTGATCGATCCCCGCGACCATCCCTTAACTTGAAGCCGACAGCTGATCATTCTCGGGGGTCGTCCCTTAACTCGAAGCTGTCAATTGATAGGAGGTCGACTAGGGTTGAACCAGAACCTGGTTCACCCTCTCCATTGCAAGGTACACGCAATTCAGTTGATCGGTCTCCGCGAACATCCCTTAACTCGAAGCCAACAGGTGGTCGGGGATCGCCGAGGGTTGCTACGCCATCCGAAGTAAGTGTACTACTTTTTTCAATGATGTCAAATATCACTGTATTTCGTCTTATGCATGTTTTTTGGTTTTGATTTTCAGAAATCACAAACACGAGCGAGTAAGGGATTGGAACTGCAGGCTCAATTTAACTCGGTTCAGGAGGATCTAAAGAAAGCAAAGGAACATATATCATTGATTGAGAAAGAAAAGGCAGAAGCAATTGATGAACTGAAAGAAGCACAAAAAGCAGCTGAAGAAGCAAATGAGAAGCTTAGAGAGGCTCTAGTTGCGCAAATGCGAGCTGAAGAGAGCTTGGAGATCGAGAAATTCCGGACTGTCGAGTTGGAACAGGCCGGAATCGAAGCTGCACAGAAGAAAGATGAAGAATGGCGCAACGAAATCAAATCCATAAGGAACCAGCATGCTTCAGATGCGGCTACCCTTTGCTCTACCATCCAGGAGCTTGAAAGGATGAAGCAAGAGCTAGCCGTGGCTTATGATGCGAAGAACCAGGCTCTGAACCGTGCTGATGATGCAGCCAAGATCGCTGAAATCCATGCCGAGGAGGTCGACATTCTTTCAGCAGAATTGGTTCGGTTGAATTCCTTGATCAACTCGGAGCACGAAAAAGAGGTTAAAGAAAACAAGGAAATGGTGATCAAGTGTAAGGAAGAGATAGATTCATTGAAACAACAACTTGAGACAGCAAAGACCAACGAGATGGAAAAGGAGGCTTTCATCGAACAACTTAATGTCGATCTCGAAGCCGCAAGAATAGCCGAATCTTACGCACTCAATGTAGTACAAGAATGGAAGAAAAGGTTCCAAGAACTAAAAATGCAGATCGCAGAAGCAAAGAAGTTACAGATATCTGCATCGGATTCTCTTGACTTGGTCATGAAGCAATTAGCGAGCAACAACAATTCATTGCTTGACGCAAAATCTGAAATAACTGCTCTTAAAGTGAAGGTGGGACTATTGGAGGTTACAATCAATAAACAAATTGGGCACCTTGTGAAATCACAACAATGTATGAATACGGCTAAGGAAGAAACTAAAGAAGTGACGAAATTGGTTGAGTCTCTGAAGTCCGAGTTAGAAACGGCCATTGAAGAAAAGATCCGAGCTTTAAATAACGAAAAAATAGCAGCTTCTAGTGTTCAAACTCTTCTAGATGAGAAAACCAAACTCGTCGATCAGTTGGAATGTTCGAGGGATGAGATCGAGAAGAGCAAGAAAGCAATGGAAAGCTTAGCTTCAGTATTGAATCAAGTTTCTGCAGAATCAAAGGAGGCCATGGAGAAGCTTTTATCAAGTGAAAAAGAGAATGAAGATAACGAGACCAAGTTAGAGGATCTAAGATCGGCCCTGAAAGCAACGAACGAGAGGTACGAAACGATGCTCAGTGATGCGAGAAAACAGATTGATCTTCTTACAAGTGCCATTGAACAGTCCAAGAAAGAATACCAGATCAATTGGGAACCAAAAGAGCTGAAACAATCTGATGATGAAGCTGATCAGTTGAAGGAGAGCCTAAAGGAAGTTGAAGCTGAGGCGATTTACCTGCAGGAAGCTTTAATGGAGGTCAAGACTGAGAACACAGTACTGAGGACGAGTTTGTTGGATAAAGAAACCGAACTGCAGAGCGTTGTTAAAGAGAATGAGGAGCTCCAAGCTAGGGAAGCTGCTTCTCTTAAGAAAGCTGATGAGTTGTCTAAGCTGTTAGAAGAAGCTACAATAAAAAAGCAAAGAGAGGAAAATGATGAGCCAACTAATTGTGAAAATGACTATGATCATGGAATGAAGAGAATGCGAAGTTAGAACTCCCATCGGAACAGCCTCCGGAGGCAGATGGTGCCGAAGTGGAGAATGAAATTGGACAACAAGTGAAAGAATTCGAGACAAAAGAAAACGACGATGATTCGGATAAGGTTGAATTCAACATGTGGGAGAGCTGCAAAATTGAAACTAAAGAATTTTCCCGAGAAAGAGAACCTGAGAAAAAATCCCTTGTGCAGGAAGTGGATGACTCAGCGTCAAATCAGAAGCAGCTAAAGAAGAAGGCCTTGCTGGCTAAATTCGTGAGCCTACTGAAGAAGAAGGGAAGTAACAACCAGAAGTAGATAATGAAATCAGCCAGGGCATGCATGTCTTAGTCCCCCCCACGTGGCATTGGCATGTAATGTGTTTATTACATTTCTTTTGCTTGTAATGTCCTCATTAGGCTTTTTTTAATAATTAAATTAAATTTGATTCTCCATAATGCGTAGTATAATAATTTAAAATTAAATAACAAATTTATAAGGTAATTTAATGCAAAATCGATCTTGACACATTACTCAAAGAATATTCATATTTTTCTATAAATAAAAATAATAATACACATAATTTATAAACAATAATGCATATGAAGGATTGTTGATTAATTCTTTCTCAAAAGTTTTAAAAGTATCTTCGATGACAAGCCTTCCTTTTTAGCTCTCCACTTAAACAAGTCTAATAACACTAAAACCTAAAACGAGGTTGTTTATGATGTCATGAAATAAATAACCCTAAATCAATAAAAGAAGAATGAAATCCATGAAGCAAAAGAGGAAACCAAGATACAGCACAACATATAAATTCAATAAATAGGCATCACAATAACCATTTATTTTCCAATACAAGAGGTACTATGAAGTAAACTTTTTTTTTCTATTTTGTCTAGGAAACATTAACAAATGGAGAAATGGGGGTAAAGGGGGAGGAACTTATTTATCAGTCATTGAATTTCATTTCTTTTTTTGGATAACATACTTTTTTTTTCTCTAGAAGATGTCAAATACAGGTATTACACTTACTAAACATACTCACATCCAGAACACTCGGTTTTAATCATTCGCTTATTTTGTATCGGGATGAGACCCCGAGTTTCTTTACACTTTGGCCATTTCACCATCTTCTCTTCATTCTTCCTCAGCTTTGCAGCCACAGATTTGAGACCGGTCTTAATGCAAGTAACGAAAAAAGTGAGAAGCACTCTGCAAATCACAGGTTTACAATGGTTATTTCATTAAAAAAAGGTATCCATCTGCAAACAGAACTCTTAAAATGTAGGTTGGCAAGCAGCGATCACAAACTAATGAAATGCTAGCTATGGGTTAAAACAAATATGAAAGTGAAGTATTTTACAATAGTGCTGCCATATAGAATTCTTTCTCAGAACTTCTAGGCTTTTCCACAGTTGAGCGACCTAGAGACTACCTAGAAGCGGGTATTATCATGATGAAGGGACAACAGCTAATTCGCAAAAACCCTCATTTCTAGCCTCTAGTAAAGCAAGAGCTTCCTTATGACTAGTTTGAAGAATACAGGTAGAGCAAAAAGCCGATCCTGCATTTTGATTCTCTAGACTTGCATGCTCAGCGGATAAGATTAAAGTAGTAGAAACCACCCACAGGCTGACAGTAATCCTTTTTCAAAGTGAAGTATTTTACAATAGAGCTGCCATATAGAATTCTTTCTCAGAACTTCTAGGCTTTTCCACAGTTGAGCGACCTAGAGACTACCTAGAAGCGGGTATTATCATGATGAAGGGACAACAGCTAATTCGCAAGAACCCTCATTTCTAGCCTCTAGTTTTGAAGAATACAGGTAGAGCAAAAAGCCGATCCTGCATTTTGATTCTCTAGACTTGCATGCTCAGCGGATAAGATTAAAGTAGTAGAAACCACCCACAGGCTGACAGTAGTCCTTTTTCAAAAGATGGTATATCAAATACAACACAACAGGCAAAAAGTAAACAATTCTTGAACAAAAGATAAAATGCTACGTATCCTACCCTCAGTACAGTTTCAATGTAAAATCTAAAGTCTCGCAAGCTTAATTGCCTGCTGGAAAATTCTTAGAAACTATTCATTATTCTAGTAATTGTCTCAAGACTAATTGATGATAAATATAAGCATAATCTGAGACCATGTGCATAAAAAGAAAATGCTTAAGAGTATCCTAAATAAAAGCTTCAAAAGTAGGATAGTAAGATCTCACTATTACTGCACCCAAGCATAGATATTTGAAATTAATGATATACAAAATTTAAACAGGGTCATTTGATCTTTCATCATTATAATCTTACAAAAACTCCCACAAAAATATTACCGTGACCCTATTACACTCAGGCCACAAGAAGCTGAAGGGAAAACAAAGATAAATATCAGCACAAGGAGTTCTACATATTTCTTTTCACAATGTTACATATATTTAGTAAATTAGGGTCCACGAAGTTGAAGGGTTATTCGTGTAGGTTATGCCGTGCCATGATTGGAGACATTAACCCTATTCACCTTTTTCCATCTGACAATCACAAAATATATGCGTGTGTATGTGTGTGTGCAAGATTTTTTCAGGGAACATAGCCAATATAGGGATGCAGGCTCACTGCCTATATAGATGAAATCATATACACACCTCATTTAGAATGGAAGGAAGTTAGAATAGACATATGGGCCTGAAATTCATAATTCAACATAACACCCTAACTCGCATAATACCAATGGAACTTAATCCAATTATTACTCCTAAATGATATGATGATAATTGGAACTTTTATATCAATAGCAGTGTGAAAAACATCCATCACACTGCATAAGCTATATATTTCTTAAGCTTCAGCTGGAAGCACATGGGAAATGGTTCCCAGCAAGCTTCAAGACTATTTCTTAGTTGACTGAATCAATCTATGACCTAAGTTTGATAGAAAGCTGAGCATGGCCCCAGATATAGTCTATTCAACTTGTAATGATCTCATCTTTTTCCCAGTCGTATATCCTACTTTTAAATTACAATGTATCCCCCACCAATGGTAGTTATAATGAACAACAAAAAAAGGGTAAAAGGCTAGTTCTCTACTAATTCAATCCTGTTATCCATTTAGCAGTAATTCAATAGTGGTTATAATGAACAACAAAAAAAGGTAAAATTTTTCTACGGTACAAATTTGATCAAAATACATTGAAGACTTACATCGGTGAGCAAGGAGAACGGTTTCCGTTTACGTAGTAAACGAACAAATATGAATCATAATGCTGACCATTGATCAAGTAAAACCCAAGCAACCTCCGCATACACTTGAATGACATCTTCTTGTATAAATGAATGGCTGGATTATTGTAAGAAATCACATGCAAATAAACTGCACGGCATACTGGGATGCTCGAAGCATATTTAATAACCTCATGGATAAGTGCCGAAGCTGTTGATACAAACCAAGAAAATCTCAATTCACATGGTGAAGACAAACATGGGTAAGGAAAAGGAGAAAGAAGAACCATTAGAAGAGAAAATGACTCCTACCTATGCCAAGATTTCTATAAGCATCTACTACTCCCAGTGTCAGAATATATACTAATGTTTGATCCTCCTTCGATGAGTCATACCTGAGCAAATCTGTTATCTGCAAGGTAAAAGTTGGTTGAAACAAAATCCAAAAGCTATAAAATCAAAGGAGAATATTGTTGTTTTGGGGGGGGGGGGTAAAAATAAAATTAAAAAGAAGGATCAAAAGGTTGAATTTCCTTGTTCTTTTCCCACAGCAATATTCAAGTGCATATTAGAATCATAACAAAGAACTCTTATATCATATGGATCCTAAGTCCTAACTACTGTCTGACTCAAACATTATAAATCTCTGCTTGAGCCATGAGTCAACAACCAAGCAAATATCAATAAGGTGTTATTGCTTACACAAATAGATGGCATACCTCACTATCCTTTGCCATTACAATTCTTGCAGTAACAAATCCAATAAGCTCATCACTTCGACCATTGGGTCGACTGCGATCAACAGCTGCCCATGATACAATATCACGTCCATTCACAACATTTTGGAAAAATTCAGATTCATACCTGAATAGATCAACATCTTTACTTGAGGTTGCAAGAAAAATTCTTTACTGAAAATCCTCCATAGAAAGCAGATACGTTTCTTACCTGATAGGAAATACATCAATGTGGATTTGCTCTAAAATCTCTAAATCCGATGGTTGTATGGGCCTATAGAAGATGGTAGGGCGATGAGAGATTTTCGGGTTCACCATTGAGGTTTGAATCATTAATCTCCATAAAACATGTGAAAGACTTGGAGAAATTGTAAAAACAATCCACCTTCCATTTATACAGTATCAACCACAATTGCCATGCAGCACTTGATGAAAACTGGTGAAGAAATTTTCGCATTCTTTTAGTTCCTTTGATGTCAAATACAGACCGTACCACAATTCCAACCCAAAAATAGAAAATCACAACTCGCAGACACAACAACAAGGTCTCTTCTTTGTATTGCTAGTACACCATTATTTACAACACTATATATATAGCCTGATACTTAACTTGAAAACTTAACAGCCTTCCATTAAAACATCAACCAATTTTTCCACATAGTATGAAAGAACTGTCAAGTTTTTACTTCTACCATTTGTTTTCACATCTGAAAACCAGAAGCAAAAACAACTTTGGATACAAAATCAAACAATATTTACAAATAATTAAAATTAAAAAGGTATTTTCCTTTATGAAGAAAATCTATGGTTTCACTGCTTATGTGTTTTTTCTTTTGTGAAAACTTTTTAAGCAGTAAGTAGCAAAAAAAAAAAAAAACCTTCGAGATAGCCTCAATGTTCAATATCTGCCAACTATTTCAAAAAAAAAACAAAGCTAAGAAAGTTTACCCGTCAAGCATCAACAAATAATCCACTAGCCATTGGATTTCAAGTTCCAGAAACCCAGGATCTCTACCAATCAAAGGCTTTCCAAAACCATCACTCAAATTACAAACATTTTTGTCCAACAAAAACGAAACCCAAAATTTCAAATACCATAAAAATGGGGAAACCGAGGATAAATTCCAAAATCCAAGTTGTAAATGAACCCAAATCAGTAAATTATAAGAAAGATCCACAGAATGAAGAACACATGGGACAATAGCAAAATTACAAAAAAAACCGATAAAAAAACAATTGAAGTTACTTACCTGGAGAATGTCAAGCTAGAACAAAATCGCAGCGTAAAGAAGTAGAAATGGATCCTGGGAACTTATTATATTTGTTGACCAATTAAGGGGGCAGAGGGATTAGGCAAGAGGAAATAAACCGACACTCCTTTTATTGAAACTTCCTGATGTTTGAGCCTTATTGATGATTGATGAATACATGTATGGATGAATATTTGAAGTGATGCAAAGTGTAGTTTTGATTAATATTTTGGCAAATCTAGTAATACTGTAATAGTGTAGTTTAAAAATTCTAAAAAAAAAATTAATTATTTTAAACGAAATAATAAATTAAATTAAAATAAAGTAGATGATTAGGTACTCAATGCGAAAGAGAACAATTATTTCGTAATCAACAACGGGGAGGTCACGCGGTTAAGGCTTTAACTTTATTTTATTACAAAAAAATGTTAAAGTATACAAATGATTATTATAGTTATAAAATATTATCGATCGTCTGAATTGGATATTAAGTTTGTTGAGTTAATCGAATGACGAAATTGGCCAAGAGGGGGTGAATTGGCAATAAAAATTTTGTGGAAGCTTTTGCAGAAAATTGAAAATAATTGCACAGCGATTTACAGTGGTTCGACTTTCTCAAACAAAGTCTACGTCCACTACCTTAGCTATCCACACTAAGGATTTTCCAACAAATTCACTAATTTGTTCTTTCTTTTTGAGGCCAAAGAGATAACCTTACAATTCCCTCAAGAGTATACCCCAACTCTTGAGAACACTCTTTTCTCAAAGAGAAGATTACAAATTTGCAAACTTACAAGAAAACCTCACAAGGTAAGATGTTTGCACAATTCTAGAACAAAGAAAAGAACACTCAAATATGAATACAACTGAGCACAAAAAGTGTTCTTGAAAGCAAAATGAATATTGAATGAAAATGGGCTTGAAATGCTCAAACTTGAGGTTTGATGCTTTCTCTTTGATTCTCTCTTGATTCTAGTTGCTTGATATTTCTTGTTATTGATCAATGGCTTCTAAGCTTGCTTAAATACACCTTGGATCACTTCTGAACGTTGGGGATAATTAGAGAAGATATTATAGCCGTTTTAGTGTGAAAACATTTAATAAAACAGCTTGGACAGTGGGGGGAATCGGTTCCCTCTCATAGGGAATCGGTTCCCTAAGTGTAAAATTCAAATATTTCGACCGTTGAACAGGGGGGAATCGGTACCCCCTTGGGGGGAATCGGTTCCCTCCGAGCATTCTGGAAATCTCGGAGCCAAACCATTCAGGGGGGGATCGGTTCCTCCTATGGGGGGGAATCGGTTCCCTCTGAGTAATCTGGAATTTTTGACTTTGAATTGGTTCGAAATACTTTATAAAATATTTTGAAATTGTTTTATGATTAAAACTTAATTTTACACTTAAGTAAGGATCAAAAATGATTTTTGAAATATTTGGAGTAATGTTTTGATATTCGAATAGTTATATCGAATATACTTAGAAAATCATTTGGAAAATCTTAAAATCCATTTAACTTAATTTGTTATATCGAAATATTAAAATGTTTCAACAATCAACAATCTCCCCCTTTTTGATATAACAAAACATTTTAGTAATTTTAAGATTTTTGAAATCAAGTTTTGAAATTAGAAATTATTCCCCTTACTTTAACACTTATTCTTCTCCCCCTTTTTGTTAAATCAAAAAGACATTGTAAAACAAGGTTTTGAAAATCATTTAGCCAATTGATTATTAATTATAAGATTAAGCTGCTAAGATCACAATCAAAAGAGAGGTTAGCCATTAGTTTCATAAATCAATATTCATAAATAATGTGATATGGCAAAATTGGTCATATTGATAATGTAAATGATGCAAAAATAAATAAAACACTCCAAACATATAAGTTCACACCATTCATATATCCAAAATCCAACAATCCACAAAATCAAACAAATCAAAATGTTGAAACAATATTCATTTTGTTCAAAGCTTTAAAGCTAAACATAAAATCAAGCATCCGGATCGGTAGGAGGAAAACGGGCTCGCATAGCGGCCATCTCGTGTGTGAGTTCATTGATACGAGCGTTGGTTGATTCATTGTTTGCACGCATCTCCCGAAGAATCTCTAATTGTTGAGCTCCCATTGTGGATAAATGAGACTCTATAGAGGAAAAGCGCGAGTCCATGGTAGCGTATCGGAAATCGAATGTCTCCATAAAGGATTGAAAATATGGAGGCATTTGATGCGTTGTTGTGCGTGCTCCTCGGGCTGCTCTTCGGGTTGTTCAGGTTCTTCTTCAGCTTCATCAATATCCCTCATTAATTGTTCAAACTCGGGATCTTCGTCAGCCTCGGGTGGAGCTTGTGAAGAACTAGCTCCCGGAGTAGAAGAACGAATCCATTCACCGGTTTCTTTGTCCTTTACCCATCCCGCTCTCGTTAAGGAAAGAAGATTTATTTGTTTCTTAAGAGGAAAAACGGCATCTAGACCGACTCTAAGCCCAGCTTTGGAAAACAGATTACTCAAAAAGCAACCGTAAACTAGAGATGAACAGTGTTTCTTGTTAGGAACAAGATTTACGGTTTCAACAATTTCAGCAAAAATAATCTGTGGTAGGTTAATTTTAATACGGTTTTCAAAACAATGTAACACCAAAGATCCAAAGCTCTAAGAGTAGAATAACGACCTCCGGATGGTCGAAACCACCAAGAAATCATTAGATGAAGAAAACGCTCATGTAGGTCTAATACACTCGCACTATCCCTTCTTTTATAACGAGAACCTAAAATTTGTTTTTCATTCGAAATACCATCATTATCTAATCCAAATGTATTGGCTATATATGCCGGATCAATATATAAGAATTGTCCTAGAAGGTAGGAACGAATTCCTATGGTTTCGGTTTCAGCTTGGTTTTTAACACATACGGCATTAGAGTAGAATATACGAACAAGTTGATGGTAAACGATGGGTTCAAGATCAAATAGTTTATCAAATTTCCATTCTTGTAAAATGGGAAGATATTTAAAATCGATAGCTAACATAGCTTGACGAGAAGGAATACGTTCTTCCCGGATTTTGTAAGAATCGAAATATTGATAATACCAATATCGGTGATTTCTAGACCCAGGATGATTGAAACACGAATTTGGATAGTCAAGTTAGGATCAGTGGGATTGGGATTAGAAATTGGAATAGAATGAGGATTTGGAGGTGGATTTGGTGACGACTAGAACGACTAGATGAAGACCTAGGTCGTTTAGGATTTGACATGGTGAAGGAAATCGGAATAGATATAATAACCTGCAATTTTAAAACAAGTGTATGCAATTCAATTAATCCCAAAACTCAAATGAGTCCTCATATTTCAAGATTCTCTAAATCAATCCTAATGGGCAAAGTTTTTGAAAAACTTTTGAAAATATGGTTTTGAGAAACAATATGTATAGTTTTTCATAACAACAATATAATTTGATCAAAACACAATAATTTGAAAAATAACATTTTTTTTATTATTATTTCGAAAATTTTAAAAAATTTGAAAAATTCTTGTGTTTTTGATGAAATTAGTTGTAACATCTAGTTTCTAATCACTAAATAATCAATGCCCGATCACTATTTCAACTAGAACTAATTGAAACTAATCCTATGTTCAAAAATAATGAAATAAAGAGTTTAGAAAAATTTACCTTGAAATATGAAGATTGAGGGGATTTAGATGTTGTTGCACGATTTTAATGATTCCAACAGGTTTGGAAGATGATTTATGAAGCAAATTCCGATTAATATCGTTGATTTGAGGCAAAAATGGAGATTTGAGGGGTTTAGAGGGTGAGAACGGCGGAATATATAATAAAATGAGGGTTTGGGATTTTGGGGTGTTCTGTTCGATTTTAACAGAACCCCAGGGGGGTATCGATTCCCCTGTGGGGGGAATCGGTTCCCCTTCAAAGGGGGAATCGGTTCCCTCAGGGGGGGATCGATTCCCTCTGCACCAAAATGCTAAAATCCGATTTTTTAAGCACAAAATGCTAAATTAATCTTTTCTAGTGGTATTGGCAACTCATATATCAAACATTAATTATGTTCAAATAATTAAATTAATCTTTAATTGATTTTTGAACATAAAATTAATTTTCATTAAGAATCACAAACTCCCCCTAACTAATAGCAAGAATGCAATCAAAAATTATTATTATAAGCATTTTTCAAGCTTTATTAAAAGTGCTAAAATTATTTTAAACACTAAGTGAAGATAGGTGGTCAAACCTAATTCTCTCCTAAGTGTCCAAAATCTTTCCTTGTCTAAGGGTTTTGTAAAGATATCCGCTAATTGGTGCAAAGTATCAACAAATTCTAGAACTACATCTTCCTTAGTGACATGGTCTCTAATGAAGTGATGTCTTATTTCAATGTGCTTAGTTCTAGAGTGTTGGATGGGATTTTAGTGAGACAAATAGCACTAGTATTGTCACACTTGATAGGAATAGTACCTACTTCAATTCCATAATCAAAAAGTTGTTGTTTCATCCATAAAACTTGTGCACAACTACCGGCTGAAATGTATTCAGCTTCAGTGGTAGATAATGCAACACAATTTTGTTTCTTTGAAAACCAAGAAATCAGCATATTTCCAAGGAATTGGCAAGTACCGGAGGTGCTTTTCCTATCTAATTTGCATCCTCCATAATCCGCATCAGAAAAAGCATGCAAGCTAAAACTATAGTCTCTAGGATACCAAAGTCCTAAACTAGGAGTGTCCTTAAGGTATCTAAAGATTCTCTTAACAGCTAGTAAATGTGATTCCTTAGGACATGATTGAAATCTAGCACATAAGCAAACACTAAACATAATGTCCGGTCTACTTGCAGTTAGATAAAGCAAAGATCCAATCATTGACCTATATAATTTAACATCTACACATTTACCTCCTTCATCTAAGTCAAGCTTTGTTGAAGAGCTCATTGGAGTGTTATGAGGTTTTCCATTTTCCAGTCCAAACTTCTTGAGCATATCTTTGACGTACTTAGCTTGATTAATGAAGATGCCATCTTTTCTTGCTTGATTTGGAGTCCCAAGAAAAATGAGAGCTCCCCCATCATGCTCATCTCAAACTCACTTTGCATTAGCTTAGAAAATTCTTGGCAAAGAACATCATTAGTAGAACCAAATATTATATCATCAACATAAATTTGAACTACTAATAATCTTTACCTTTTCTCTTTAAAAACAATGTAGTGTCAACCTTTCCTTTTAAAAAATCTTTTTCAATTAAAAAATTTGACAATCTTTCATACCAAGCTCTAGGAGCTTGTTTTAAACCATAAAGAGCTTTTGTCAATTTTAAAACATGATCCGGAAAATTTGAATCTTCAAAACCTGGAGGTTGTTCCACGTACACTTCTTCTTTTATAAAACCATTTAAAAATGCACTTTTAACATCCATTTGATATAATTTAAATTCATTGAAACATGCAAATGCTAATAACATTCTAATTGCTTCCATCCTAGCTACGGGAGCGTATGTTTCATCATAGTCTATGCCTTCTTCTTGAGTATAGCCTTGAGCAACAAGTCTAGTTGTTCCTCACTATATTACCACTTTCATCTTTATTTCTAAAAACCCATCTAGTAACAGTTGATTTAATTTACTTCTTGCATAGCCATAATCCAATGTTCATCTTTTAATGCTTCTTGATGTTCTTAGGCTATGCATGAAATAAATGCAACATAATTACATATATTTAAGAGAAGATCGAGTAGTTACCCCTTTTGATGGATCACCTATAATTCACCATCTTTGACATAGTTGTACTCTCTTGGAAAAGATACTTCCCTTTCTTCAATGGTTGGATTCTCGAGGGGATCATGAGTTTCCTCATTTTGTTTCTTCCTTTGATGATGATTCTCCAACGTCATATCTAACGTCATTTGCTTGTACAATACCTACATCATCATTAACAGAAGAATCCTTCCTCGGAAGGGGATTATCATCGAAAACAACATGTATAGACTCTTCTACAACTAAAGTTCTTTTATTAAATACACGATAAGCTTTAGAGTTTAAGGAATAACCCAGAAAAATTCCTTCATCACTTTTAGCATCAAATTTACCAAGATTTTCTTTACCGTTGTTTAAAACAAAACATTTACATCCAAAAGGATGAAAATAGCTAATGTTAGGCTTTTTATTTTTGAGAATTTCATATGGAGTTTTCTTTAAAATTGGCCTAATCATTACTCGATTTATAACATAACAAGCGGTATTTGTGGCTTCCGCCCAAAAATATTTGGCAAATATTTTCACAAAGCATGGTTCTAGCCATTTCTTCTAAAGTTCGATTTTTCTCTCAACAACTCCATTTTGTTGAGGGGTTCTAGGTGCTGAAAAATTGTGGCTAATACCATTAGAATTACAAAACTCAATAAATCCAAGATTTTCAAATTTAGTTCCATGATCACTTCTAACACAGTGATAGAGTATCCTTTTTCATTTTGGATTATTTTTGAAAATGTGATGAAATTTTCTAATGCTTCATCTTTAGTACTTAAGAATAGAACCCAAGTGTATCTAGAATAGTCATCTACCAGACAATGCATATTGTTTTCCTCCCAAGCTAGTAGTTCTAGTTGGCCCAAAAAGATCTAAATGGATCAATTGTAATACTCTATAGTTGATACATCATTAATAGATTTAAAAGAAACTCGTCTTTTTCCTTTAGCACAAGCATCACAGATTTTATCATTATCAAATTTAAGCTTAGGCAACCCTCGAACTAAATCACCTTGAATTAGCCGTTGCAAAACACTCATACTAGCATGACCTAGTCCTATGCCATAACCAACTCATGCTCATCCTTAGAACTAGGCATAAATTAGTCATATCAATAGAATCTAAATGCACCATGTAAATGTTTCCTATTCTATGACCAACAAGCATCCGATTAGATGCAATGTCAATGACTTTACAACCATTAATTTCAAATAAGACATTGAATCCTTTATCGCATAATTGACTAATACTCAATAGATTATGCTTTAATCCATTCACATATAAACATTCTTAATTTGTATGGAAGAGGTATTACCTATTGTACCAATACCTTCAATGTGACCTTTTGAATTGTCTCCAAAAGTCACTTCTCCTCATTTTTGGCGTTAAGCTCAATGAACCGGCTTTTGTCTCTGGTCATATGTCTTGAGCATCCACTATCAAGGTACCATGAGTTTGAATTTGTTTCCCGTGCCTTGTAGCAATGAGGTATACCTATTGTACCAATACCTTCAATGTGACCTTTTGAATTGTCTCCAAAAGTCACTTCTCCTCATTTTTGGCGTTAAGCTCAATGAACCGGCTTTTGTCTCTGTCATATGTCTTGAGCATCCACTATCAAGGTACCATGAGTTTGAATTTGTTTCCCGTGCCTTGTAGCAATGCTCCTTTCCCTACAAACATAGATTAATTTTTGATTTTTGGTACCCAAATTCTTTTGGGTCCATATTCATTAGTTTCCAAAATCCTAGTCCCTTTAGGTATCCATGTGTAGGATATTTTTATCTTTAGTAGTAATGAGTTCTTTAGGAACCCACACACTTCTAATGATTTTCCATTAGAGGTTCTTTGGGGACCTCTATGATTGTAGTTTCTAAAACTTTTTATAACAAAGTGGATTTTGAATTTTCACTTTTTCAAAATGTTTTGTTCCAACTTTATCAAAAGAATTTTTAAGATCATCAATTTTCTTTTGATGATCATCATTGATCTTTGAAAGTAAATTTTGCAAATCTAAATTTTTCTTTTCAAACTCTAGTTTGATTTGCAAATTTTTGATTTTACTTTCAAGATCGTTGTTGGTTTTGGATATGAGTTTGTTTTCATTTTTCAATTTTGAAACATCATTTTATATTTTAAAAACAATTTCTCATAATCCGAAGCCAACCATTGTACTCCTCAAATAACTCTCATAAGATAATCATCAAAATCGGATGAGTTAGAGGTTACCTTAGAATCTTCCCCGAATGCCATCAAGCACAAGTTTGCTACTTCTTGTTCCTTTTCATCGGAACCTTCTTCATCGCTCCATGTAGCCACATGAGCCTTGTATTTTTGATTGACCCTTTTTCTTCAATTGTGGGCAATCATATTGACATGCCCGGCTTTTTGCATTCATAGCAATGATTGGGTCCTTCTCTTTGGTTCATTTTTGAGGCCTTCGTTCTCATCTTTTGTGGATTTGAGAGCAACTCCAATGTTTCTTCTTCTCCTTCTCCTTTGGTGTCTCTTCACTTTATCAAGGTCCACCTCATCTTCAAGCATCATCTCATGAGTGAGGAGTGAACCGATAAGTTCTTCAAGAGTTAAGGACGATAGGTCCTTAAACTCGATGATTGCCGTCTTCTTTGATTGCCATGATTTTGGGAGGGAGTAGACTAACTTCCTCACAAGCTTTTCATTTGAGATGATCTCTCCATATGATTTGAGACCATTGACAATCGTTGAAAATCTATCCGTCATAGCTTGATGTTCATTTGGTTTCATCCTGAAATTTTCATAGCTATGCGTTAGAATACTAATTTTGATTTCTTTACCTCATATGTACCATGTGTGACTTGAAGTTTGTCCATATTTCTTTGGCGGTTGTACACGATGAAACTCTTCCGTATTCATCTGGTCCAAGAGCACAAAAAAATAATGGATGGCTTTGGAGTTGAGCTGGAACATTTTTGTCTCTCCTTCACTCCACAACCTTGGATGAGTGAGAGGTTTGATGTATCCTTCTTCTACAGCATTCCATGCTCCCATGTCACTTGCTTGAATGAAGTACATCATTCTATTCTTCCATAGGCATAGTTAGCTCCATTGATACCAATTGTTGAGTTAATCGAATGACGAAATTGGCCAAGAGGGGGGTGAATTGGCAATAAAATTTGTGGAAGCTTTTGCAGAAAATTGAAAATAATTGCACAGCGATTTACAGTGGTTCGACTTTCTCAAAACAAAGTCTACGTCCACTACCTTAGCTATCCACACTAAGGATTTTCCAACAAATTCACTAATTTGTTCTTCTTTTGAGGCCAAAGAGATAACCTTACAATTCCTCAAGAGTATACCCCAACTCTTGAGAACACTCTTTTCTCAAAGAGAAGATTACAAATTTGCAAACTTACAAGAAAACCTCACAAGGTAAGATGTTTGCACAATTCTAGAACAAGAAAAGAACACTCAAATATGAATACAACTGAGCACAAAAAGTGTTCTTGAAAGCAAAATGAATATTGAATGAAAATGGGCTTGAAATGCTCAAACTTGAGGTTTGATGCTTTCTCTTTGATTCTCTCTTGATTCTAGTTGCTTGATATTTCTTGTATTGATCAATGGCTTTAAGCTTGCTTAAATACACCTTGGATCACTTCTGAACGTTGGGGATAATTAGAGAAGATATTATAGCCGTTTTAGTGTGAAAACATTTATAAAACAGCTTGGACAGTGGGGGGAATCGGTTCCCTCTCATAGGGATCGGTTCCCTAAGTGTAAAATTCAAATATTTCGACCGTGAACAGGGGGGAATCGGTACCCCTTGGGGGAATCGGTTCCTCCGAGCATTCTGGAAATCTCGGAGCCAAACCATTCAGGGGGAATCGGTTCCTCCTAGGGGGGAATCGGTTCCTCTGAGTAATCTGGAATTTTGACTTTGAATTGGTTCGAAATACTTTATAAAAATATTTGAAATTGTTTTATGATTAAAACTTAATTTTACATTAAGTAAGGATCAAAAATGATTTTTGAAATATTTGGAGTAATGTTTTGATATTCGAATAGTTATATCGAATATACTTAGAAAATCATTTGGAAAATCTTAAAATCCATTTAACTTAATTTGTTATATCGAAATATTAAAATGTTTCAACAATCAACAAAGTTGCTAAATGAGAAATGATAAAATTTGATCTTAAAATCTCAAACGACTATATAATTCAAATGATTATGAGATCAAATTTTATCATATCTAAGTTAGAAGGTCAACATTCAGCTTAGACAACTAACACTTTTTAATAGAAAATGACGAGTTTAGAATATATGAATAGTCAGATAATCATTTTATAATTTTTAATAGCCTGGAGATATAACAAAACAATGTTCTATAGTCGATGACACTTTATATATTTTATCCTATAAAAATTCTCTTTTTCTAATAATATTTTTATAAAATATATATTTACATATTTTTTATTTTAGATTTTAAAATAATTTTTATATTTTTATTAATAACCCGTTTTAAAATGAAATTAAAAAAATTAACTACAGATCAATAAAAAGAAATAATTTTAATAATCTTAGTATTTTGATTTCTCGTATCTAATTCAATTTGATTTTATTACACTTTGATATCGTGATTGCAATATTTTTACTAGGAAACATAAAATCGGATAGATATGTTATGAGAGATTTAATCTTCTAAAATTATTTAGAGATGATAATCGAGTCGTTTGGATTGAATTTGATCGATTTATTTTAGATCAAGTCATTTTAACTATAGAATAAATTTAATTTAAGTTTGATTTAAGTTGGATCAGAGTTGATTTGAATTTAATTTAGATATATGGTAAGTCGAGCTGAATTGGATAACATGTCAGGTCAACATCAGATCAATCAATTTTTGATTCATATCAAAATATGATTAATCAATTTTCGGGTTAAATTAATATCGGATTAATCAGTTTTCAGTTCAGGTCAACTTTTTGATATTCCATTCAATTCGAATTGACTCGAGTATGAATAAAATTATTAATGTTGATGGAAACAAGTTTAGCTCGTAGGTTATTAACAGTTCACCCCTTCTGATTTATATAGATAGCCGTTGTTGGTGAGAGAACAATAGTTGTTCAATGTTCAAATGAGGAAGAAGGTATATTATCATGAGGAGGGAAAAAAAAGAGTTGTTCGATTATACAGGGTCCGTCATTTTTTTTAAAAAATTGATTGGGGGTATTTATAATATTCTTTAGTTCATATGTCGACTATAGGATGATCATGTCAATTTGTAAGTTGACAGGTTAAATCAATCTTTTAGTTTATCTTTAAATTTATTCGGACATATCACATGAGCACGTCAGAATATTTGCCAGTCAAACTGTTGTCTATGCATTGCAATTAATCAGAAGTTTGTGTTTAGAGAATGAAGGTCATCTCCGACAGTATAATAGTTGTCTTATAAAACACATTGTTTTCGTTTGTTAACTGTACTATTTATGTCAAATTTTAACTCCTAACTATTTAATTTTTCAAATTTAACAATCATGTAAGAATAATAATGTATTACGAATCCAACTCTTTAAGATATATTAAAATTTATGAATTAAATTTTATATTAATCTGAATAAAAAATTCTATTATACAATCTATTTAATAAAATATTTTGTGACAGAAATAAAAATTTTAAGTCGTATAATAATTATTTTGTTGAAAAATGGCTTACTAGAGATGACTACGGTGAACGATGAAGTGACAATGACGTTAACAGATACTGACCCAATACATGACATACGAGAAAGAAATTATAAAGTTCATTTATAAAACCAGCCTGCATATAATGTAGGCTGAGCATTGTATAGATAGCTGTATGAAGATTTATCAAGTTGGGATAGAGCTTTCGGCGAAGATGAAATATTAAAAAATGATAAATTAAAATTTTGTTTCTAAAGTATTTTAAGTTTTAAAAATTTATAATTGATAATTTATTTAAAATTTAAGAATTAAAATAAAAATTAAATATTTTATCAATATTTTATATCATCACACTAACGACAATTAATGTTTGAATGACTCAGACTTAATAAAATAATAATATAGATAACTTAAAATTTATTTTTTTTAATTTGATTAGAAAAGATATATAAATATCAAATAAAAGTAACAACTTCTATAATTTACATCGTAATTAATACAGAAAAGATTAGACAGCATAATTAATCAAGGTTAATCCTCCCCCCGGAGGTAGAAAAGCCATTTAAATGCGTCGCATTAATCGTCTTTCACCCATTCAAAGACTAGCTATTTTGGTCACAGTAACCTAAAATTGGAAATTAAAACTATAAAAACAATTTCAATTTCAGACAGAAAATTGATTGATTGAGCTACGCGCCGCACGCCCCCACCACTCCAAATCATCTACAACCAATTCTACTTAAACATACAATAAATTGTACGAATATCCCGAAAATACCCTCAATACTGCTTCGAAACGCCACAATTTCTCCCTCAATTAAAGATGTATATTAAAGATATGTGCAGAGAATATTTATTGTCCACCTCCACCCCGTAACTTAATTCACGCCATAATTTCTCCCTCAATGAAAATTTCCCATTTGCTTTAAATTTTATTGAAAGGAAGAGAAAAAGAAAAACAACAACAAAAATTTATTTTCCGGGGAAGAAAAATATTTGATCTCTTCCGCCATAAACCGGAACTTCATGGAGGTTAGTACTTTTTCTCCTTTATTTTTCCAATATCTTGTTTGCTCAAAAGGAAAATTTACGAAAATAATTTTTTTTATTTTCCTATTCAATTTCAGCTTCAGAATCTATGTTATTCTTGTTTTGATGTTAGTATCGTTAATTTAGTTTGTAACCTTTCCAATTAATTTCATCGGGAAACGAAGGAGAATTTATAGTTCTTTTTAATTATTCAAGGTTAAGGATCTAATTTAATCTAATGTTAGTATTCTGTAATTATTATGCATCTGTTTGTTTTTCTTTTCATTTTCAGTTTAAAATTAAAGATATTGTGCAAGTATTTTAATTATTTAAACTCTCATTTACCTAACGATATAATCTAATCTATGTTTAGTATTCTGCATTTCTTAGCAATTTCTTATGCATTTTCTGTGTTATGTATTGTAAACTATACATCGATCCATTGGTGCATGCATAACTATTTTGTGTGCTAGTTGAAGACTTGAAGTTTATCAGGGCAAATAAAAGATGCTTAATTAAATGCTTTCCTTAAAAGTTCAAAAAAATTGCAGAATGTAGCTCGCTCTGATTTAAAATTATTACGCCTTCCCTAACTTGATTGTGATATTAAATTATCTGTATGTTTTGATGAGAACGCCTCAGATTCATATCTAAGTTATTAACTTTCTATTAGTTTGAAACATAATGTAAATTGCATTTTGCTAAGAGGATGTGGGATGTTTGCTTATAAATGCACGTAATAATGGGGGGTAGAAGGTGCTTTATCATTTTTAGCCTTATAGGGGTTTATTTATAAGTTGTTATTTTTTTTTATTTGAACAGATCCGATCTGTGAAAGTGCTCAATGTTTCCTTGGCTGCATCTGAGCAAGATATTAACGAGTTCTTTGTTTTCTCTGGTGAAATTGTACATGTTGAAATGCAAAGGTTAGCTATGACCAAGATATTTAATGTTTCTTTTTTATTTGCATATGCTCCTTTCTACTGTATGGGACTATGTTGTTCCAACTCTTCATTTTTTTTTCTTGAAGTATTTGTATCCAATACTTGTGATGCATATCGCGACATCGGTATGGGTATAAGACCCTCCAACTGACCGTCAAAAGATCCTCTAAATGCATGAAAAGTTTTAAAATTTTGAACGTGCATTTGTTGGACATAAAATATCCACATGGACTCACACTCAAGTCCAAGTAATTTTAGCATGGGATACAAAGAAAATAGGTGAAAACTATTGAAACTAATTCTCCAGTCTTCTGACACAAATTTTTAACAGTATATATTGTTCTGAAATTTTGTAAATGTTATCTGGTCTAAGTTTCTTATTGCTTTCATTTATCTATTTTCTTTTAGAGATAATGAACGATCTCAAGTTGCATATGTTACTTTCAAGGATTCACAGGGAGCAGAGACTGCTGTTCTTCTTTCAGTATGCACCTATCTCGTTTCTTTTAAGCTTTACTTTATTGATTATGTTAATTGTTTTCATGATTTCATCCACTCTCCCTCATGCGTCACAGTGTTGGAGTTTTTTATTTTGGTAGAATGAAATGATTAGTTTTTTGTTTACTTGATTTCGTAAAATAACTTTCATGTTGGAGGTTGGCCGTTTGGAATAATGTGGTTTTTCTGATATAGCTTGCATTTAGTTCTTCAATGTGCAAATATGTGTTTTAGGCCAATATATTGGTTTCAAGTTGTGTTTATCTTCGTTTCCCTTTTCTTTTGTTGTTGGTTAGAACCATTATCTTTTATAGCGAGATAAACTTGACTTGATTTTTAAACACCAAATTGTTCTTCCCATGTTTACTCTTTTTCTTACGAATTCAGATGATCATTTTATTGTTAATTGGTAATGCTTCAAAGTTCGGTTTCTTCAGGAAGGAATCCTTTCCTCTAAAGGCTATTGTTGGTTGATTGTGTAGAAATAACTTATTTAACTTTTAACTTTTAAATTTTTAGATTTCATTCTTATGAGTTCAGCTCACATGGTTTTTTTTTCAAGGGGGCAACAATCATTGATCAGTCAGTTACCATTGAGTTGGCTCCTGATTACAAGCTACCTGCCTCTGCAATACCTGTAATGTTGTAATCTATGGTTCTCTGCTTTGACTTCAAACACTAAATGATGATTTTAACATGAATGAATTATCCGATAACCTCAGGCAACAGAAAACCAAGATTCTGAAAATGCAGAATCAGCTGTCCAGAAAGCGGAGGATGTTGTAAGCACCATGCTAGCCAAGGGATTTATTCTTGGCAAAGATGCAGTGGGCAAAGCAAAGGCCTTTGATGAGAAGCATCAGTTCACATCAACTGCCACTGCCAAAGTTGCTTCTCTGGACCAGAAGATTGGTTTCACTGAGAAACTTAATGCTGGCACAATCATTCTGAATGAAAAAGCCAAGGAAATGGACCAGAAGTACCAGGTTTCCGAGAAGACCAGGTCCGCATTGACGGTTGCTGAGCAGAAAGTGAGCACTGCTGGTTCTGCCATCATGAAGAACCCCTATGTTTTAAGCGGAGCCACGTGGGCCATGGGCGCTTACAACAGGGTTGCTAAGGCCGCTGAAGAGGTGGGGCAGAAGACTAGAGAAAAGGTTTTGGCGGAGGAGCAAGTTCAAAAAACAGAGGGAGAAAATTCACAAGTTAATGAACGTGGATCTCCCATGGCAGCTGAACATGCTACAGTGGAGCAACTGTCCAAGCCCTTATCAGAACAAGGTCAAAAACCAGAGGGGGGAAATGCAGAGATATCTCTCAAAGCTGTTGAACCTGCTGCAGTCGAACAACCTCCCAAGCCCTAATCAGAACAAGGTTTAATCCTTTAATTCGCAAAAGACGGTACATACCAGTTCCAAAGATCCAGGTCATCTGAAATCTGCTTTCTAGTTGAATGCAGGATAGCTTGTCCACACATTGTTTTGTTATATTGATGGCAATGGAGCTAGTTGCTTTTCCATTCCCACTCCGCTCTTATGTGGATGGTCAAAACATTCACCTCTAATTCTCTATAGTCACGCCATTGCTCCTCGTCTCTTCAATTCAGATTTTGACTAATTATTTATTATTTGTGCTTTTTTTTTTCCTGTTATAAAACAAATTTTTATAATTTAATGTTGTAAAGATATATACACAATATAATTTAGGGTAAAGTATATAAATAGTCTCCCGACTATAGGATAATGTTTTGTTGAATCCCTTAACTATTAAAAGTTATAAAATGATAATCAAATATAAGAAATTGTTTTGTTGAGTTCATCGACAATTAAAAGTTACAAGATGATGACTCAATTATTTATTATGCTCCAAACTTGTCTTTTTTCTGTTAAAAAATAATGATTGTATAAGTTGGACGTTAACATGTTGATTGAGATATAATAGTTGTTTGAGATTATAAGATCATATTTTATCATATCTCAGTCAGCATATTAATGTTCAGCTAAGAATGTCATTATTTTTAACTAAAAAGGACGAGTATGAAATACAATGAATAGTTGGGTGACTATTTTATAACTTTTTATAGTTGATGAACTCGACAAAGCAATTTCCTATAGTTGGGAGATAATTTTGTAACTTTTAATAGTAGAGGGATTTAACAAAGCAACTTCCTATAATCAGAAACAATTTGTGTAGTTTACCCTATAATTTATTCATGAACATGATTCTTTAGTATATAATATCAATAATATTGGGTATAATACATAATTTTATTATTTCTTCAGTTTCTACTTTGTTTTAAGTTCATTTTCAATTAAATTTAAACCTCGTGATCATGCTCGTATATATGTATAGAATTCCTATGTAATTGTAATTATTCTTTTTGACACCAAATTTTATCTTCTTTTTTTTAGTTTAATCCCTTAATTTTTATTTTATTCAATTTAATTTTCTGACTATAACTCATCGTTAGCGATAATACCCTAAACCTATCATAATATTTTGATTATTGAATTTATTATTATCATAATCTCCATGTTTGTTATATTATAATATCCTTGAATAATATTAACTAAACATCCCTAATTAATTATTATTGTGGGAACAATAACGAATTCAAATTAATTTAAAATATTAGAAAAAATATCGGGTGGATTCAATATATAAATAAATGTCGTAAGTTAATCTAATAGTTGTCTCATTATAGTTTTCAATAAAAAAAATATCAAACGTTGTCTTTACGCCAGAACAAAAATACAGAGTTGACAATTCATGTCATCTGATCCCTCTACATATACGTATTGTGCCGTTGAATGTTGCAAAAATGCCCTATGTTAGCAAAAGCAGAAAAGGCCATTGTCATGTGCATTGCCTTCTGAATATGGTGCTGTTGCCATTAGCAAATGATGAGCATGATAGGATGGTTTCATGGTAGGCTCTCTCTCTTATTGACCTGTTATTTCATTAACAAAATGTGGGATTAGATGATATAAATATAAAACAAAATGCAGAAATCACATGTAAATGAACATAATTTTACCTTGCGCCAAAATCGAGCCTTTCCATGTTTAATACAAGAGGATATATTTGACAGTGGATACAAACATAATTCTTGTTCAATTCCCCGCTCTGAACTTTCTTCAAACACTCGGTATGCATCCACCGCTTTCCAGATGCCCTCGTCTATATAAACAATTAGCTTCCCCGAACATGAGCAGCGAAGTGAATCAACCGCTGCACCAGAACCGGCAAGATAAATCAATCAGCCCATTTCCATAGATATATCATACAAAACTGATAGTGTAATTGTGAATACTTACCATGAAAAACACATGTATGGTGGAAGCATTTATCACACTCGAGGAATGTCAAGTAGCAATCTCGTTTGCAGAGTTGACAAATGATGGTTCCTTGAGAAACCGACGAATAAGTGATCCGTGGCATTGAATCATGCAAGTGCCGAAGAGCAGTGTTAAGAGATTCAATATGCCTCACAAATGATCTCCTGACAGAAGATTGAGAGCTCGGTTCTACAAATGCAGGATGATCCAAACATCGATGATTCGAAGATTCGGATAAAATGATCGCTTCTTTGCATAGTAGTTCCTCGTAAGGAAGGATCGCCATCTTGCAAAGATGTGCATAAACTTGGCCGGCCACTGCTCCCCACGGAAACCATTCGCCGATCGCAAAGTTCACCGCCTCACCACAATTGCAGCCTAGAAATCGTACGCAAGTAATTAAGAAAGCTAAGAATCATTTAAAAGATGATGAGGCAATTTATTTACCTTGACTGAATCCGGCATGGTATGCTCTAGGAAAGGTGATAACATACTCTCCTGGCTTCTGCACAGCCTTGTAAACAGGCACATTATGCTGCAGCAAAATGTTTGGAGGGAACATGGTTGTTTTCTCTGCTAACACTGCGGAAGCACCGTCTTCACAGATATGCGACAAGATGTCAGGATCGTAAATGTAATCCCGAACCACCGTCTCGAACCCGGAAGCCGCGTGACCGGGAACACCGTACCAAGTTTTGGGTGCACCAGAATGATGATAATTAATGCTGCAAAGCAAAGTGTATATGTAAAGAGATATTATAACACAAAAAGAATGGAGTTGAGGTAAATTTACCTGTATAAGTAGTGATCTTCAACATGCCATGCAAATGTACTAAATAGCATTCCAATGTAAAGCATGGGAAAGGTTATTCCCTGAATTCAGTTAAAGTTTTCATTAGAAAAATAATTAAAGATGAATTCAGCAAACAGAAAGTAAGAAACAACGATCAGCATTATTTACCGGTATTTGATAATCAAGCAGCCGCAAACTGCAGTTGGGCAACTGCTGGAAAGTCTGGGATTTGAGAAGGGATTGAAACAAGATTAGTTTTTGTTTAGACTGTTAAAACAGATAGACGGATACACATATGATTCCAAAGAAAATACCTTTAAATTGCCATTGCTTTGGCCAAGCTGGTCATTGGGATCAGAAGAAAAGGCAGAGCCATCAATATTGACACCATACTCGACTGTTGCAGTGCCACGAGCCATTTCAAGCCAAAATTGCTTTTCCAAATAAACGGGAGACAGGCCAGTGGACTGATCAGGAAACCTTTTAGCAAATGCCTTATTCGCCATCTTCTCAAAACTACTGTAATTATATGTGCTGAAATACATATATACTACAACTTATCAAACTCTAGTTTAATAATGTGAGACTTAATGTTGTTAATTATGGATTGTGCAAATTAATTAAAGAAACCTCTCTGTGATGAGGAAGTTAGGCATGTCATTGAGATTCCATTGATGAAGCCGCAAGTGTTGAACGTAAGCTTTAAACTCAAACCCTCTTTGCTCCTTCATCAGTACGTCAGAAGCTGGAACCGAAGCCTTCCATGGCGATACAATCTTACAAATTCCTGTAATATATTGTTCCAGATTCTCATTTTTCAACATATGATCTCAAAACAAACAATATATATATATATGTGTGTGTGTGTGCGTGTTTGTATTTACCATATTTTGAAGCTTGTTGAGAGATGGTTTGCAGAAAAGCCAAGGGGTCTTTGAATTCCTCCATTGATGGATGAAATACTGGGCATTCAGGAGTTTGATCAACCCATTCAAGCTCAGTACTCAACTTGTATTTCTCCATAATTTTAGGGTTTGACATGGCATTGGTCTCTCCTTTCATTAAAGATAGATTATTTGTTCGGGCAGTTGACAAACTAGTTTTGGCTCGCTTTCTTCTTTCAGATGAATTAAGCTTATTTGAATTGATCTCCCTTTTTATTTGATAACCCATTTTTCTTAATTAACTTGCGAAGATAATTTCTTACTTTCACTGTCCAAAAAGAAAAAAATATATGAAAAAACCAGATAACCAATTAAATAACCAAGGAAAATAGAAACAAAGAGAAAACGATCGCGAAGGAAAATGTCAACTGGTTTCTGTAAATCCTATGTTACTTTTCTTTATCAGTTTCTTGGTAACCAAACAAACCCATAAAGAAAAAGTTGAATTAAACAAGAGGAAGTGTTTATGTAATAACAACTAGAAAGAGGGAAAAAAATATAATAAAAAGAGCAAATAAGTGCAATAATTTTGAAGAAAAAAAATGTTGGAGGGGTTTTTAAAAACATGAAACGGGAAGAGAGAAATCCCAAACTTGTTGGTGGTGAGTTTATGATCACACATTGTACGTAAGAAAAAAAACCATTGTTTTTTTTTACTTCGTAAAGAATCCAAAGCATCAAGAAAATCTTTTCCATTCTTTCGATTTTTGTTTTTCTTTCCAGTTTCTTTGGAACCAAACAGTTCCCACTTTTACAAAGAAGACGGTAGTAACGAGTAATCGAGTATGCATGGGAAAGAAACTAGAAAACAAATTGAGGTTAACTTAAAGTCTCTTGACAACCAAACAAACTCGAGGAAAAGGAAATACAAACCTGTAAAAATATATCTAATGTCTTCTTTTGCAAGGGAGAGAAAGGAAGGATTTCTATGGAGAAATTTTGCAAGATGGAAAATAACAGAAGACTGCTCTAACAGTCGTCAATCCCATGTGTTTTATTATAACGTTGCCTTTATGAAAGATTTTTTCAAATATCTTTGAAACTACACGTGGCTTCCTTTCATTGGTTGGAATCTGATTTTGTTCCTTGGCGGCGTGGAACAACCGCGAGTTGATGTAATGATGCCTGCTCCTCGTATCTTTTGGATTATTAAATATATCGGATTTAAAGTTTTAACTAATTGTCAACTTCTATAAGTTTGTTTCCTTTATCAGCAATCAGATTAAGCCAAGATTAAAAAATTGAATTTATCTTACTCCTAATGTAATTTATTTTATTAAATAGAATGGTATTATATTTTCAAGATAAATATATGGATTTGAACTTATATAAGGTAACATAATATAAATATTATTGATCATTTGATCAATTAATGAATCCCTACTTCTAATGTAATTCATTATAAGGGTCGGCACAATAGAAAAATAAATTATATATTCATATTCTCAATACGAAAATCTATGATCGATTCTTGAAAACATTATTTTTTTTAAAGATGGTACTTTGTAATATAATTCTTGAAAACATTATTAAAATGAATAATTATAAATTCTAATCATAAACCGTAAGATGAATATATTCTACTTTTTATTTACTTTTTACTCTATTGACATTCTATTAACAAATAATTTTAATCTACAAATTTAATGATTTAATGAACTTACCCCAGGCTGATTTAATCTACAAATTAATAATTTTAATCTATTAAGTAGGCAGCCAATAGGTCCGAATCCATTTAACTAATTCCAGATCCGAATTCAATTGCTCTTTGAATATTAACATTTAAATATATTTAAGTCTATTAAGTATTTAGATTTATTAAATTCTTATCTAGAACCTATTCGGTTATCCATATAAATAAAACAAATTTTAATATTGAACATTAACCAAAATTAAAACAAAACCAAATGGTTAAGAGATTTATTGTTATCTTTTGAGGTCTCGAGTTCAAGCACGAACTTTTGTTGTTAAATGATTAAGAATCTTTGAACAGACGTTATTTTATTTGCCTTAGATTTTATCAAAAAGAAAATCAAAAGAAATTCAAATGGAGTTAGTAACCAAGACCAAGTCCACTGCCAAATATTCAGTTTTTATTTTATTTTAGTTACTGCTTATTACATTTGCTAACAAAAACTCTATTTTTATTTTCAAGTTCAAAGAACAAAAGAAGATTTTATTGAACGAGTTTGGGGATTTTGCCTTGTTTCAAAAGCGTGAGAGAGTATTCAGCTGCCTCGATGAGGTCTTCAATGTTATGAACCGAGCGCTCTTCAGAACCCAGCATAAAGATGGCGCGCGCCTCTGCTTTCTTCGCCAACCTCGCTGCTAAATTCAGTTCCAGTTTAGGCGAGTTCAGGCTCCGAAGTATTTCTCGGTACAACGAGATTACTTTCCCTCGGTTTCTCGCTAAGTCGTCGGCTGTTGCCCATATCAATCCCTTCTTCATTCTGACAAAATCCTAAGAACGAAAAAAGTAAAATTTTCTCATAGACATTTCGTCGAACACCCTTTGCCTTTAAGCTCATATTATGATATAAACAAAAGATGCTATCAAAGGATGGTAATAATCATAGAGTTAGTGATACGATTCTTGTATTCATCAAGCTCATATTCTTAAGATCATAAGTGTCATTTCTGTTGACTTTGATATTATTTTCTGTTGACCCAAAGATCTTATTAATACAAACAGGGTAATATTAAACTATATTCTAAAAAACAGGTAATTTGGTACAACTAGAATCTACGTAATCCTCATCACTCTTCTCCTTCATTCCCGCTTTTCTGATTTTTTGAAACTCGTGGGCGTCTGTAATTACTTTGATCATCTTTCAATACTATCATTTGTCAATAAAACATCATTTTTTTTAATATGAATGAGTAGTTCCTATAGTGAAATAGTGAGAAAGTAAAGAAAAATCTTAATATAGAACAACCTAAAATCAATTATGTGATTCTTGAACATCATAGCTGCTCCGTTAAAAAACTCAGCAAGTAGTGAATGAATGTCTCGATAAGTTTCAAATAATAAAAATGAGAAATGTTTAATTATTTGAATGATGTGCAAATATAAAAAATAATGATTCAACTAAATAACTTCTGACAAAATTTGAAGAAAGAAAATTAAAACTTTCTTATAGGCATTTCAACGAACACATTTATCTTTTAGACGACACACAAGTTTTTTTCATGAGAGAAAAAAAAAAGTAAATAAAAATAATTCAAATAAATAATCAGAGACTGACCTGGAAACTTTGATTTGGAAGATTGACTGATCTGATCAGAGTGTTTCGTCGAAGATCTTAGATGAAGTAGATTAAGGAAGGGTTTTAGCTTATACGAGAAACACCAACTGCCGCTGCAAGTGCTTATGTGAAAGCGTGAATAATGAATAAAGACTATTTATGTACATTAGAATTTCACCACCCAACTTTAATCCACTCTTATTTTGATCACTAAGTTTTAATTTCATTCCCATTTTGATTACTTGATTTTAAAAATATTCAATTTAATCTCAAAAATTTTGATTTATTCTTATTTTGGTCCTCCTAAATTGAGTATTACAGTTTACAGAGTGATGTATATGTTTTGGTGATATGGACTTCATTTTTCCATTTTCATTATTCTATCTTTTCCCTCCGAAAACATTTTTTAATAGTTTCATACATTTGTTATGTTAGCGTCGAGTTATTGTTCCTCGATACATGTTTTGATCGATGAAAAAATTAGTAGGATTTTGTGGAATTGAATCTTGCTCTACTGCATGAATTTGATAAATAGTCATCCACAGCAACGGAAGCTCGCTGGAGGGAAATGGGTCAAATGACAGCCCAATTAAATCCAAATGCTGCTTAAATAAAAAGATTAAAAAAAAAACTTGCTATTTGCATGCAAATTTAAAAGTTATGACAGGTGAACATTTAACTTAAAACTGGGCACGAGCACGTATATAATGTAATTTTTCCTTTTCCATATTCAAACACACACAATGACGCTCAATGACCACGAATATATAGAAGATGAGAACAAGAAAGAACCAAAGATATAATATCCTACCACCAATTGTAATCCCTACTTGGTTCATCATTGCCAAAATTGCTGAACCTTGATGCCGAATATCTATGAGAATTCTTTGTTTTAGAAGACCGAGAAACTGAAGAAGACTTCTTACGTCTCTCCGCAGGTGGCGTTTTGGGAGAACTCCAATGGCTCCTTGATGACGACTTCCTGTTGGAGAAATCTCCAACTTCTTCTGTAATCCAACCACCTCTTTGTTTTTCTTTTCGTGGTGTACTGAAGCCGTTTTCTTCGAACTTATTTTTTTTCCTTTTGCGGATCTTGCCCTGATCATGAGGTGCTGACTTGTACCCCAAGTACTCTTTATTTTCTCGACGATGTCTTCTATTTGGAGTGGATGGTTCACGATTTCTTTTACCAACCTGTTTCACAAATAATAGCATTTGTCCATAACAAGTCAATCAGAGATAGTCCAGCATGTAAAAAACATAGATGAACAATGGAACTGACACTTGATTTTGTACTGAAACTTACTTTAGCAGAACTGCATTCACGAGCATAGTGTCCTCCTCCACACTTGTAGCATGACCTAGATGGAGTACCAGTGGCGCATTCCCGTGCAAAGTGTCCTCCTTCACCGCACTTATAGCATAAGCTAGGTGACCTATTATCAGTGGTCTCCTTTGTTTCTCTATGTAATCTACCGCATGACTGCATAAAAATATTCCCATGTTGACGGTTAACAATTATTACAAATGAACATATGCAAAATGCAAACATGATCACATGAATGAAGGAATAGCTAATTCGAACCAGAATGTTCATGCAAATTATTGCTCAGACACTGGATATCTTCAGATAAAATAAATTGTGCTAGCAACCAGGTAACTTTGAAGTCGTACTCAATCCGGTTAGCTTGCGAAGAGAAATGGAAGAATATTAATGAACTGAGGTAAAAGTCATTTTTCAACGTTTTGGACGGTAACCAAATTGTTGAAAATGAAATACAACTAGATATAGAATAGCTGAACAAAGCATTCAATGGATCACAATGAGAACATTAATAACAAGAACTGGATATGTCAATATATAATATTTGAACCAGATAAAAGGAACGGGTCAGTGGACATTGAGAATCAAACTCTAATATCCTGAAAATAAGTTCACGGACAGAGAAGCAAGCAATCTTCCTGTAACAGAAACAGTACATACATTCTATTAATTTTAATAAAATATGAGCATAACTTGTAAACTCACCAACCCTTTATGACCCAGTTGGCCACATCTGTAACAAGAAACTTCTCTTGCTTTGGTATCAACAAAGTCAACACAACATAAATGGCCAAAACTCTTGCAGATATAACACTGCATCTCCTGATTTGAGAGGAAAAAACACAATGAGCAACAGTGGAAAAGATAATAATAAACAATACTAGAAGGGAAAAAGAAGAAACCTTGATATCATCATGGGAATAGTCATTCCTGCATGAAAACATGTCATGCCCAGAAGCTCCACATCTTAAACAAATATTACCATACTTAATCCCACTATTGTGTTTGTTTGGACAATCTTTTGCTCGGTGACCACTTTTTTTGCAGATAAAGCAATCTTGTGCCTACAAAAAATTAAAATTATAAGCATGCTAATAATACTGACCCCAATAAAAAATTCAAAACATGCTACTAACAACAATTACAGGTAGGACCACTTTCTAGTTTCTATTTGAAGTGAAACATAGTGAGGAAAAGCATAAACAAATGATAGGTAAACGACGCATCCACCATTTGGATCTACAAACAATTCAAAGGGCTAAAGCCTCAACGAAAGCTGAGAGGTATCCTATCCACGTAACCACTAAAAAGCATCATTGTAATATCAACACTTCAACAGTGTGCCAACTGCCAAGAATCTAAATTTATAGAGGCAGGAAATATGTGTGACCAACCATTTTCCAGGAAAAAAAATGCAGTAACTTCTAATAGATGCATTTGCCTTTTATGAAAAGAGAAACAGACAGCTAAAAATTAAAAGATGTGGTACATGATCTCATAAGTTTCACATCAATCCACAAATTCATACCTTTGAGCACTGTCTAGCACCATGATCCAAACTCCCACAAAGAAAGCATGGTTTCTTCCGCTTTGAAGCAGATTTACAGTTCACTGCCATATGCCCCTCTTCGCCACAATTATAGCATGTTTCCCAACCACTATCCGGAGGATCAAAGTATCTTGCCCCTCGCTGATATAAGAAATATCAAAGAGATGCTAAAAACCAATCCATCAAAGAAATATCAAAGAAAATATTTTAACTCACAAGAAGCTTTCGGAGCACAATATTGTCAGATTTGTCTACAGTATTTCGGTGAAGAGATTCAACAGGCTCTGCAGCCTCAGCCAAAATAGCCTCCTCGACTATCTCAACCTTCTCCATCATTGCAGCTTTATCTCCATATCCTGTAATGGTGACCTGGTGCAACGACAAAAAATAATTTATCCTCATAAATTGCAAATTAAATAAGAAAAGTTAGCTATATAACAGGCTACAAGATTGAATTCAGTACAACATTTATTCAACAACTCATTCAACAAGAACAATGCATAACCAGTTCAATGAAAACCATTACCAGAATAAAAGCAATGTTGATAGGTAAAAGTCCATTTCACACTATTTTTGAAGCCAAGTCCACTACCAGAGAGGTGTGATTATTTTGCTGCATTTCCCAGCAGAAAACTGTGCACTTAAATTACACAGTGATTATATTAATATTCGTACCCTATACATAACGAGAAGATGGCCTCCCCAAAGGTAAGGTCTCTTTCTTCACCCTTCCATCATTCTCTCAATATACTTGATATCCCTGCCTATCTACAAGATACTGACTTGTGCATTGAAAAGTGCATTGGTGCACCAACTCTAACACCCCTTGGTTGTTGTTTTTTCCTTGCATAACTTAAAACGTGAATAATCACCACAAATTAGGACATCACCAAAGAACTGTAATCCATGACAGTCCTTCTATATATATATATATATATATATATATAAAATTGGAGGGAAAGCCAATTCCTGCTATAATTTTGAATGAAACTAGAAGAGATCAAATTTTCTTTGTAAAGAAGATCTCAAGCAACAAACTAAGAGAAGAAAACGGAACAAAAATCAATAACTTGTTAACCTAATAGACAGAAAACAGTTTATTCAACATTTACCCAACAATTCTTCAAGAACATAGTTTGAACAAAGAACTAAGCGGGACAGCTGGAATTCAAATTGTCATAGCAACGCAAGCAATGAGAATACTAACTTGAAATAGTTATAATAAATTCCAACTTCTATCTAAATTCATAGCACTTTAACATCTTAAAAGTTCAACCAAATTATGATTTCTCAACTTGCATCATCCCATCAATTCTATGGAGATACAAATAAATTTTTCATATCAAATTCAACTAAAATTAACTTCTCAAGCAGTACATTCGATCAAAAGAATCACTAAAAAAACAACAAAATTTTTTTTTAACCTTTTCAACTATCGTTTTCTTCTTTCTTCTTTTAACACTCTTCTTACTTTTCAAATTCAAATCCGCCTCTTCACTTCCACCGCTGGTGCCAGCTACACCAGATCCCCCGAGTGAAGATGAAGAGGTCAAATTCACCACAGAAGCAACGCCTGGGTCATCGGAAGCGTCATGGTTTCTATCATCAAACCTCGCAGCTTTCACCAATATTGCTTTCTCAACAATTTTCAAGCTTAGGTCTTCATTGGCTTCCTCGTCCTCACTGCTGCTTAGAACCATCAATGACTTTGAATCACACGCTCCCGATTCATTCTCTTCTATCTCAAGTTTTGCTGACTTTGCCTTGCCCTTCTTCGCCATGAAGATATTTAGGGAATGCAAATTTCTTAATAGTTAGGAGTTGCACCTTTTCTGCAAGGAAAGATCCCAAACGGTACAGGGGAAGCTAGGGTTTTCTGTTTTATTTTAATATTTTGTGCATATTGGATTAGCTCTTAAAATTTGAAAATAACAGTTGGGCTAGAAAGCCCAGTACAAGGATACCAGCATTCATGGGCTTTATATTTAAACCTTATCCCGAATTAACATCGTTAAACGATTTTTTAACTGATAATAATATCTTAAATTTTCATAATTCTTTGCTGGAGTGGGCTGTTTTGATGAAATTTCTTCTTGTGGAGCTAATTTGAATAGTTTTGGAGAAGTTGATGATTCTGGACAATTCGTAATTCCATGATTAATGTTGAAATGATATTTTGATACAATTCTATGATTGCACCACATGTATTTATGTTTGTTATTTCTATGGTTACACCATATGCATTCATGTTTGTTGCTGAGTTCAATTAGAGCAATGGAAGATAAAGTGACACGTTAAGGTAAGTTCTTTTGAACTATGATACATTTATGTTAGGTGACATGTTAAGTCCAAGTAATCATCTTTATAAGTTAAGTTGAAAGTATGAAACAAGTTAAAATACGGTATGCAAAACAATGTTTGCGGGGCAGACTGTAAATTACATATTCCACTTGCATAGCTTAAATCACCTGGACCTCGAAAGTTTGCTATTAAAGCAAAAACGAACCGAGCAAACCGGAACCAGAACCTCAAGGTGAAAGATGAAAATTCTTCAATCTCTTCACCCACCGTAGGATAGGTTTATAAATCCGGTCACGGTATCTTCTAGTCCAGAACTACCATCTGACCATTGAATTGTTAGTATTGTGTTGATTGGTTTGTAGTAAGGTTTGCTGGTGGGATGAGATGTGCTAATGGTGGATGAATGGCTGATGGAACCTATTGGATGCGCGCAAGGGAATTTGGTGTTGTAATATAAGGAGGTTACAACAATTTATTTATCATACTGCAATGAAAGTAGTCTCATCTGGAGTCAAGCTGAAAGCCTTTGGCTTGCAACGAAGAGTATAATCAAGTAGAAATTACATATGAATACATTGGGGAGACAGCAGCTACATGTAACAAGGTTTCAGCGTACAGTTTAACATGGAGAGAAGAACTATTATATACATTTTCACACGGGAAAAAACATAGATACACAGTGAACTCTCTTCCTCCAAGCATCATCGGTTTCTCGGTGCTGCTGTGTTTGTGATGTATCCCCCTCCCTCCTTTGGCAATGCCAAAAACCCTATGCCTTGGTATGCCAACGTTGATGCCTATCCGCCCAGGCAAATGTATCAGGTGTAGGTAATGAGAATGTCAGGCGCTGCCTGCAAATTTCGCAAATGATGGCCAACTTGACGTTTGTAGGGAACAATATTCACAAGATCAATGGCCAGAACCATCGTTATTTCTGTTAGAGGCGCTGGATCTATGGGTTGAAGCTTTGCCCTTCCCACTTCTTCCCCTACTGTTACCACCTCCCAAGCTCTTTGAACTCCCCATCCTGCTGCAGGCTCCACGAGAGTTCACGTCTGATAGGCCATTTTCTAGAGCTCGAACTAAATTCTCAAAGTAAGTTCGAGTCACACTGTTGTCATTAAGTTCAAGCAATTAATTAGAAAAAAAAGTTGATGTACCAATTCTCTGAAAAATGCATAAGGGTAAGAGAGAACACTTCACTAGAAAGTTCAATATAAGGATCATCTTTGCAACCCCAAACATGGACCTTGAATCAGAAATGGAATATACCAAAAATAATAATGAAAACCATATGCTTCCAGCACAGTAGCTTATTTCCATGACAAACCAACCAAACAGACAATTTCTTTAATAAAACTTCATGTTAAGATTATCACACTGTACTTAAAACCGAGTTGCATAGACTTTAGGTGGTAAAAATAATTTAAAATGAAAATTACCTGGTCAAACCAGCAAGTTTTGAGCGAAACTCATTAAAATCTTTTAATGGTGCCTCTGCATTGAGGTAAACCTGAAGTTCCTTCTCAGCACATCGATGAAGTCGTTCTAACCCAGACTCGGCCTCGCCTGCAAGACATATAGGCAATTAGTGCTAAGTGAACAGGAATATAAAGCAATAGCTTATGTTATAGCAATAGATGGAGACACATTATTACCCTGTAGGTATTCAAAGAACTGTCTTTTAGCATGTTCCTCGCCTGGTAAATAATATCCATACGCATAAGTCCATTTCAGGACTCTCCTACATTCTATTATCTACACAAGCAGAGAAGCTACAATGAGCTAAAGCATGTAGCTAGGGACTAAGAAAAGTTTGAAATATACCTGTAGCCATGCCTCAATGATGAACTTCAGCTGTGAGTCAGGTTGGCACTGTGTCTCACTCAGCTTCTCAAGCTACATTTACATGTAATTGTCAGCAGTTCCCATAAACTAAAATAATAATAATGATCATAGTCTGAAGCAAGATAGAACACCGTCAAGTGGGAAGGAACAAAATTATTCATCTTGCTTCCTCTCCCTTCTCTGCTTCCCTCTCTTCATTCTGTTATTAGCGATTTTTTATATTGTAATTACTATTTGGTATTTGTTTTATTTTTGGCAGGGGAGATTGAAACTTAGAGGGGAGGTAGCCAAAATGATGGAGAATGGGTGGCTGAGAATGTCTCACCAAACTCTAAAGAAGTAGACAAAGTGCACTAATCCCACATAAACAGGAAAGGGAAGGTCTTTGGCAGCTGCACATCTTATTATACATGTCTTTTGGGGAGAGGAATTTTCCACAAACCACGAAATGTCTCAACGTTAACAGAATATTATCATTGGAGAACAAAAATAATGTGCAACATAGTGACCTCATTTTCACGATAAAGGCATTTAAAAATCCCATTAAAGGTTCCATTGGTTATACAAATCTTGACATTTCAAAACAAGTGATACTGCCACACTTTGCAGACTGAATATATAAAACTCAGATGACAAGAACATGCAAATTTCATGAATAGAAACATATTAAAACCAGTGGTGATGGATTATAAACTTATCCAGAGTTTTTAATAGTCTTCAAACCCATCTCCATGACATCCACAATAAATGGTGCAAAAATAATTGAAGAGACCAGCATCGACAAATAGGAAATCAGTAATTTTAAGAAGTTTGACTTACATGCACGGACTGCATTTGCTGTAGATCAGCCATTGCCTTTTGCCTAGACTGCATAAGTCAAGAGAAGTTTTAACAAGACGTGTATTCTCAATTAAGTATATAGTGGCATAACATCCACAAAGTATTCCAGAAAATAAATTTAAGCAATCAGAAGAAATGGGCCAATAAATGCCACAAATTCTACAAACTAATACAGACTAATTGGTTGGTTGCCCATCGTTCATAATAGTGTGTATATTTCTCTACAGATAATTTAGCCATCTCTCTTCGTTTGTCCTCTTCATTAAACTGTAAATAAATAGTGTTGATCAGAAACACATAAAAAGAGGGCGGCTAAATAATGATGCGCAGTGAACAATGACAAGCACTGAGAAATGCTGACTGCAAGAATAAGGAATTGTTTTCATACTGTGCCCTCCTTTTTTTCTGTCTCGTAACGGTTGCAAGCATAATAACCACCAGTTACCTCACCATGATCTGCCCATGCACCACGGCAAAGCCTGCATACATAGGTGGTCAACTGACAAACTTTTATACAAAAGAGAAAACATACAGTAAACACAAAAAGAGTAAAAAGAATTAATTTGTTTTTGCCACAATCTTTTTAGTATGGTCGTCAAGGAAAATTGTCTCTCTAGTTGAGTAGATCGTATAGCTAAAGAAAGTAAGGAGCCGTAGCAGAATTATATATATAAGTTTTCATTTGGAAAAAAAGGGGTACAAATAAGGTAGTGAGGACAGACAGCAATCAAAATACAAGCAATGCACAAGTAAAAAGTATAAGCTCACCAGCAAAATTCAAATTTACATGGTGGTGTGCATGTCATATGCATACATCCGTGGTTCTTCTCAATTGGGCGCTTGCATTTAGGACAAGGCTTGGAATTAGCCAATATCCTGAAGATTAAAACAGGCATATTTATTGAGAAACATAACACTTTGAAAATAAAGCATGGTATAATATATAATGCAGAACATCAATTTAGTAATTGGACAATCACAAACAAGTCCATTTGTAGAAGGGGAGAACGAATAGGAAACTTCATTTCAAGAAAGAAATTATCAAAGACATTCACTTTGTTCACTTAAAATGTTTTAGAGAAAGTTAAATAATATGTAATTTTTTATAGGAAAATAATATGTAATTTAGAATATAAAATTGACAAATTAGCTACCACTCAGAGTCTCAGACTCATATGTGTCAGATATGTGTACGTATCTGATACGAGCATGTTCAGTTTTTCTAAAGTTTCCATTTATTTGAATATGGGTCAGACACTTGTATCGTTCATGAATACTTCAAGAAAAATGAAGGGTCTGAGTAACATAGCATATTTGTATAGACATATAAATGAGGAATATTTATTTCACTACTTCATTTAGTATCAAAATAGTTAAATTCATAAGGCAAAAATGATAATCTATAACTACAAACATTACCATTTCCACAACCCTCTAATGTATCATCTGACCCCAATAACACCCCTTCACCGCTCCACAATAATCCCTTTCACATTTTTCTGATATCCCAACTTGTGTTTATAAGAAATGAATCTGGGGAAGCTTTCCCGAATGGCCTAGTGGCAATATCCAAAATAAGGGGTATTCATATAAGCATTCTACAGACACTGTTTACTTGTAAAGATAGTCCTTCACATTTAAGCTCAGCAGAGAGGGAAGTGAGAATAAGAAAATTGCTTCTGTTAGGTGGGCCATTCAGCACCAAACTAACAAGTAACAACCCCTCTATTTGGTATGAATTAAACAATCTCACTCATTAGAATAAATCTAGTAACTATAATCCTGTTCCATACCAATTCATATTTTCAGACTCTACACTGTTTTTCAGTATCCACTTGGAAACAGTTTCACAATCAACAGGACGGTGAGCTTCCTCAGAGCACTGCAAAGTAAAGTTTACATTATGGGTCAAAATTCCTGTTTGCAATATAAAATATGAAAGAAGAATGAAGCGGAAAGCCATATGCATGAATTGTTAAAAGTACTCTAAATAGAAACAGCACCAAAGGATCTTACATTCCAACAAAAACTATATGAGCAGTGACAGGTAACATCATAGTTTCCACTACCAAAAATAAAATCCACAGCGTAATCACACCCAGGTGCAGGACACCATTTGGTCTGCAAAATAACACAAAAGAATTGAAATGTTTATGATAGCAAGAAGGCAAACATAAAATAATGAGAGAAAAAATAAGCTATATGTTTGCTCTTATTAGTCATTTTAGTGCAGAATATATATTGAAGAAATATAGTAAAACTGAGAAGGAACATATCAAATCAATACATTCATGGTTCTAATCCATGAAAAGCTCGAGGAAAACCTATTTATGAAGCTATATTGAGAGAAATATTAGCAATATTTTCATATACCCTTAACAAAGACACAAAAGAGAAGGAAATAGTTATGAATTACAAGAGGTAGTAATTAAACCTCCTGTAATTACAAGGTAGTAATTACACCTCTTGTAGTTACAAGGAACTAATTCCCTAGACATTTTTGGTTGACAAAGTGTAACAATTCAGGGGGGAGCACTAATTTTTTTTTGATAGGAAAGGTAGGCCTCTTTAAAAACCCCCTTCATGATTAACGGATCACAAGGTGCTCCTTAATCAGCGGAAGGAGGAAAAGAGTGCCTCATTAATTCATTGATAACCACACGTTACAAAGACTTAAAACAACCATACAATCTATAATTCAAATAAGCAACCCAAAACCTAATAGAAACCCAACTAAAAACCCAGAGATCTATCCAATACCAGCCTTAGCTAAACTGTCAGCCTCAACATTGGCAGACCTAGCAACCCATCTAATACTACTATTCAGGCCATTAACCTTGCCAACAATAGCTGTCACAATGTCTAAGTAAACATAGGGACAACGGTCGATGTTCTTGACCCAATCCACTGCTAATTTACTGTCTGATTCAACAATTAACCTTTCCTTAAACCGCTGCTGGAACGAGTCAAAGAAAGATAACCCTTTCATAATTGCCTTGAGTTCTAACAAAACAGGAGGACCTGGACCAGCAGCCTCTTGAAAAGAGCCCACCACCGAACCATCATGATCTCTAAGAATGCCCCCAACACCACTCTTCCTCCAATCTTCAGTCACAGCCGCATCCACATTCATCTTAATAAACCCTTCTGGAGGTTTAGACCAGGACACAGTTTTGATAATAGGAGAGCTTAATAAGGAGCAGCAATCCCCAAGTGAAGGGTCACAAATAAGAGAGTCCTTAGGGATAGATACAGCCTTGTAGTAAGCTAAGAACCAAGCCGCCAGTCTACACCTTGCCAAAAAGAATAAATCAATCTGATCTACCTTTCCCCCCTCGAACACAATTGCATTCCTACCCTTCCACATTGTCCATAAAACCACCCCCGGAATGAAGGACCAAATTTTCGAATTAGGTACCAATTCATCCCAAGCGACCATAAAGCTGTGAGCATTGTCATGAAAAACTGAGGAAACTCCCCAGAAAAACAAAAATTTATTCCATAAGGACCACACCACCGAGCAAGAAAAGAATAAATGTGCTGAGGTTTCATCCGCCTCTCCGCAAAAGGGGCAAGCAACATCCACAATAGTTGAAACTCCTATCCTCTTTAGCTCAACTTTAACTGGCAATCTTTGGTGCACGACCTGCCACAAGAAGACCTCCACTCTAGGAGGCACCGTTCCCCTCCAAACATACTTCTTCCAAAAGGGGTCTGTTATACCAACAGGCCTGCATGACTTAACACTCGAACTAACAGTATAGACACCTTCCCCATTACCAAACCAGACCAACCCATCCGATAACTCCTGAGAAAGAGGTATATTGTGGATTAGGGTCATTAAGTCAGAGTACTGAACCAATTCCCATTCACTCAAATTCCTTCTCAAGTTAACATGCCAAGACCAAACTGAAGATCGAAATTCCCCAAACTCATAAAGCTTCCCATTCTTATTTATAGACAGCACATACAACCTCGGAAAAATCACTTTAAGTGGGGAGTCATGTGCCCACCTATCCCACCAAAATCTAATGCTCCCTCCATCACCCACTCTGACTTTAAAGTTGCTACGAAACTTTTCTCCAAACTGATCATTTTTGAAGTGGTTGAGGACCACCGATTTCCAAATCCAAGAAGCATGTGTAGGAAGTTTCTCGTTAAACAGCAGTAAACTGGGATCCAAATTATATTTACAACAAATAACCTTCTTCCACACTGAGTCTTTATCGTTAGCAAACCTCCAAGACCATCTCCCTAAGAGAGCTCTATTCATCAGACTTATATTCATAGCACCAAGACCTCCCACACTTTTATCGGAGCAAACTTTTGTCCAATTGACCCAATGGATTTTCCTAGCCTCCCCTCCTCCTCCCCATAAGAATCTGGCCATGATGGAATTCAGCTTAACACTCACCGAAGCAGGCATCTTGAAAAGGGACATGAAATAGATAGGAAGGGAACCCAAAACTGCCTTCAGTAATACCAACCTCCCTGCCATTGATAGAGTCTTCGCCTTCCATCCGGCTAGCTTTGAATGAAACTTTTGAACTACCGGATCCCACAACATCATAGAGTTTCTCTTAGCACCAAGAGGCAGCCCTAAATATTCTGCAGGAAAATGTCCTACAGGACAACCAATAGCATTAGCCCACTGAAGGAGCACTAATTGGAAATTGAATAAAAATGTTTCAAAGTCATTATGGCATAATTCCCTCATTTCAACCCCTACAAGAACTGAAGAGTGGACTTGGGGTGCTCCAATTGCACTCAATTCATTGGGACCCACTAATTACAATGTGTAATTACAAGCGATTACACCCAAATCCAATTATCGGGTGGTTTTCAAAACTACATCTGTGTTTTTGTTCAAAAGAGTGTGTGTGTGTGTGTGTACATATAAAAAACTTCGTTGAGAAGAAAGAATTATAAAAACCAGTAAGCTGGCTGACAAATGTGTTTTTTGTTTTTATATAAATAAGCTAGAGCAGAAATAAGATAATGTGGTTAACATCTTTTTTATGCAAAACTGCTGAAGCGAACAACCAATTTTCAATTCATCTCCGATTAGATACAAACCATAAGGCACTAAAAGCCAAAATACAGAATCTTACAACTGCAGTCCCAACGCAGAGGTACCTCGTCCTTCAACCCAAATGATATAAATGAAAAGGAATAAAAAATTATATATGCATATATGTAAGGAGGCAATTCTGATAAATCTTTTTGCAAACTTTAACAAGTGAAGGGAAAGTAAATGCACACTTAAAATGCTCTACTCATGGGCAATAAGTCCTATTACTCAAAACATTTTAAGTACCTTCCTATTGTCTTCAACATAAGATCTAATGAAATAACGAGAATACTTCTCTCTATCTTCATCAGAAGCCAATACATTTATCATATCTTGACCAACAACAGCAGCACAGGATGGATCAGGACATCGCAACATCAAACATCCAGGACCATCATTAATGGCTGTGCTAATATAACCTAAACAAGGAGAAAAATTATATATATATATCACAACTATAAAAGAAAATTCCACAAGCATAAAATATGGAAAGGTTAGTAAACGCACAATGTTCAAATATTTGCAAATAGCTCTCAGACAGGAAAAAGTCATTGAGAGGTAAACCATTTTCTTTACCAAATTAAAAATAAAGCTAGAATATCTGAACAATATCCTGGTCTACCATTGAGCTTAAAATCATATGAAACTAAAGTACAACGTAGATAACCATGTAAACAATAATTTTTAAACGTACATGTCCTTTACCCCTTCCCAGACAGCTTAGATACGAGAACCCAATGCTTTAAGACAAAAACTTCCCAAATCTAACCAACAGCTTTCAATACAATACTGAAACTGAAAATTAGAGAGGGAAGGGTCCACTAGGGCATAAGCCTATATAGCAGCATTAATAATAGAACATAACTTCTACATAGTGACAAACATTGTTGATCTTGCTTACACAAAATTATCTAAAAAGTTCATTGGCCATGTATAAAATATACAATATACATGGTATAACAGCAACAGGAACCAGCAGCTTAATTATATCAATAGTCTAATTTCCACAAAGTTTCTAGATGCATGTGTCCCCTAAAATCAGCAGGCACCAATATTGATGGTTGCAATGTTGATGCCAAGACTCTTTAAAGTATATTGATAATCTCTAGCAAGAGTTTTCTTATCTTTCTTTCTTCCAAATACTTTTACCAGTTCCTCGTGCAAATTATCAAATAACCATTCCTTTGTGACAATTCTTGGGAATGATTTAAATCAATATCAAGGAAAAAGAACGAGAATAGAGGGGAAAAGTCATTATTACAAACATAAAGCAACAAAGGGACCCTGTCTACTTGTTTGGAACATGTTACCAACTTCCAATATAATAGTAAGAACCAGAATAGATAAATCAATAAGGAAACTCCCTTATTGTGCAACTGATAACTTCTTAAGCATTGGAACCCACAGGTTCTGGACTGTACCTGACACTGTCCTAAATTCAAAATCCCAAAATCATTTGGGAGGCTCAAAATAATGGCATTTATAGATTCAACTGAAAATATTATCTATTCTATCAGCCAAATGCCTAAAGTAGCTCTTTGATAGGAACACAAGAAAAAAGGATGACGGAACAAGGAAATAGCTTCCAAAATGAATGGAACAGCTGAAGAAATTTCATTAACAACCAGGACTTAGAGATGCTACAAAAATAATTAGAATTGTGTCCAACTAGAAACATTCCAACCTTATCTTTGATAATTAAGCAGTAAGGAGCTTGAGAAAACACGGAACTTAGATTTATATTCCACTAGGGGGGGGGGAAGTAAACTAAATTATACAATTGAAGATAAATAAAGTTTTCTTTTCTCCCAGAACCGAGAAGTAGCTTTCTTTTCTTGTACTTACTTTTTTTTTTTATAGGAATAGAAGGCCTCATTAAAAACCTCCCTCATAGTTGCCTCTTGTAAGGAGACAAATAGCGGAAGGAGGAAAAGAGTGCCTAAATATATAAATAACCCATAATTACATAAGATTCCAAACATTACATAAAATTACCTAACATAGAATCATAACCAAAATAATACACCATAACCACTACTCATAATAACAACCTCCTCACTCACTAACCAATTCCTGACATAGAATTTTGGGGGGGGGGGTTGTTAGATGGGTTGCAAGGACAGCTAACATGGATGCTGATGCTTTAGCAAAGGCTGGTTTAGGATGATTTTGATGTTGTTGGTATTTTCAGATTGGTTTTTGCTTCCTGTTAGGTTGGGGTTTACTTATTGTTGTAAGGGTTATTTGGATTTATTTTCCCTGGTTGTAATTATTATTTTCTAATGAAATATAAGGCACTCTTTTCCTCCTTCCGCTGATTAAGGAGCTTCTATACAAGCTCCATTAATCATGAAGGAGGTTTTTAATGAGGCCTTCAAATCTTATAAAAAAAAAGATAACATTAGACTGCACAACTGTCTTCTGAATTTCTGTAATCAAATCAACAAGGTGAACCGGGCAAAGTTCCGGGCTGTTGATCCACTTCACAGCAAGAAACGAGTCACTTTCCAAAATCAGAATTCCTTTGTCCCTCCAAATTGACTCAAAAACACTTCTAACCCCACTTTGATAGCAAAAATCTAAGCAAGAATAGGAGAACAAGGTCCTAATGCTCTAGAAAAAGAAACCAGCTTGTTCTTTTCGACATCTATAAGAACTCCACCAATACCACTTCTTCTCCAATCAAAGTTAACAGCCCCATCAACACTTACTGATCTTTCCTAAATTTTATGCTTCTAATTTTTGAACAAACTTCATAAAAACTTTAAAAAAAATAGAAAATGAGGAGAGAGAACCAGGCAAAGAGTAGAAATTAGTGGTCCTAACTCCTAAGTTAAACATTTTATTCCCTAGAAATGATCTTCCTTTATATACTAGGCAGGATATTCATGTCACTGCCACTACCATATCGTAATTTAACTCGGGCCTCAGGTAGTCTATTGGGACAAAGCAATCAATCCACCAGTTTTGAAACCAAAATTATTAACAGTTCAGATTATCACAGCAAAGGGATGCTGCTGATTGCCACAAAATGAAACAACAGTCAAGAAATGACACTAAGAATAGCAGACATTAACTGTGGAACTTTTAAGTACCATGATATGAAAATAAAAGGTGTGGTTGAATCTCAACTGACCTGACCAACAAGAGTTACAAAAAGGATGACCACATGCAGCAGCATGTAGCAGATCACAAGGATGGGTATCAAAACATATCCCACAAGTCATCTGCCAAAATAAGAGATGTGAAAAAAAAATGAAAGACAAACTGTCCAAGAATGCGCAGCAAACAAGCACTGAAACTTCTGGCACATAAAATAGAAGTTAACTCTCAATCGAGTTTGCATCACTTACTTCGCTACCATGAGGAAATGAAACTGCACAGTTATCCAATAAGCCAACAGACCTGCGAACCTTTTCCTCATCTGCAAACCATTCATCATGTACTTTACTGACGTTCCTGCAAGCCCAAAATAAACATAAATCAATTACAACATCAAGGCAGCCAAATCAATCATCATCAAGATAAAGTAAAAATATATGCATATTAACCAAAACATTGAGACAAAATTCTAATCTTCACTCTGCATTTATATTGCTGCAGTTAAAGGTCCATTAAAAATAGGATTATTATGCTATACAAATGGCATTAACTCCACAAATGGGTTAAAAAAGATACCACATGTTCCACTCATTTATCTTTTATTTTAAAAAATAATAAGAAGAACATGTGCCAGTGTACCAATAATAATACTTACAAATCAATTTTCAACCAGTGAAAAGCTCTACAAGTTTCGGAACAGAATTGAAGAGATTATGAAATACAGAAATTATACCAATAGTGATCACTCACCAGTTATAATGGCGTAGTAGAATGCCTGCTTCAGCCTCTGAGATGGAAAGCACAGTAGATATCCTAGTGATGTCATCCTCTTGACGTTGATGAATATCTACTTCACTCAAAACGGTATAATTTTGCTAAGAAAAGAAGACACGTATTTAGGACAGGCAGCTTCAAAAAAAAAATTGATTAACAGAACAGGGCTCGAAATACACAATCTTTTATGTAGAAAAGGATGAAAAATGTTAGAAGCTTGTAGGGCAAACCACAGTGTTAATAATCAATCTTACAGCAAAAGGAATGAATGCATGCAATACAAGTAAAAAGAACTTATGACTTTTTTTTTTTATAGGGCAACTTATAACTTATGTAAAACACTTTAATTAAAAAATCCATAAAGAAAAAGTGTTCCATTCTCAGACATTCAATTCTGCCAGTAACTATGTAACATTAGAGAAAAAAGTAAGGTTTTAAAGACATTCACTGCAGAATGTCAAGTATATTCCCATTAATGCTAACAGTAGAGCAGCACAAATACGGTTAAAGAAAAGGGTCAGAAAGTTAACCAGTTTAACAAATAAAGCAAGTAATAAGCATCTGCATGTTGGATTTCAACTTGTATTAAGAAGTAGCACCCAGAATGATTGCATTTTTTCATTATGTTTAACATTAAATTGTAAAGCGTAAACATTACCTAGGGTGCAATGAATTGTGGAAGGAAAAACAAATATGGTACCCTTTTTTCCATCTGAAAAAGCATCTAATACCCATTAGCTAAAAGTAGCAAGGAATACGCCATAAACTTCTATCCGAAAGTAAAATGATTTTGGAGTAGAGACTTGACAGCACGTCTTTGACTAAGAACTTTGATATGGTCATTCAACACCTAAAGAAACTAAAACTCAAGTGGCCCATGGAAATTTTACTGAATCAACAGGTTATGTAATCATTTTATTCTGCAATCTAATTTAATTTCCTTTCCATGTGGTAACATATGCAATATAATATGATCCATTTTCATTCGCTCTGTTTAGTAACAAACTTAGCGCTGCACGTAATCCAGCAATTCAATATCTAGTAAAATTTATATTTGTGAAACAAAAAAAACTTCAAAATCTTGATTATATTTTGAAATGTTGGAAAAAAAAACAAAATTAAGCATATTAAGGTAATCAATGTTTGCAAGCATTACCTCCAAAAGATACTATAATTTGTTCCGCAAAAGGCAAGTGCAGTTCAATAATCACGTGGCCGAAAAAGATGAACAATTTGAATGAAATTATAAACTTTCAAATTTGCACGAAATATTCTTACATTTGACAATCATGTTTAACCAAAAGCAACTAGCATTAACAAATAGAAACATAACCCACAAAATCAATACTGAAAAAAAGTAATGAGCTTTAAATTATAAAGGAAAAATTCTAAGCAAATAAAGTGAAATCCAAAGGAGGAAAAAAGAACAAATACCCGGTGACTGTGAGAGGTAAAATCAACGCAATCATCAGAATCATGGTCGATAAACTCGTAGCCAGCGTCATCGGCATCGGAATCATCATCGTAAGTAGCAATGGATCCAGCATCATCGTCGCCTTCACTGTAGAAATCGTCTTCCCCCGATTCGTTGGCATCGTTCATATAGAAATCATCATCCGATTCCATCTCCCTGCTGCTGCTGCTTTTCCCCCTTTCCTCCTCCGATATATGTACCAAAAATCAAAATTAATCAAAAAAAAATGAGAGAGAGCAAAGGAAACCAAACCCTAGCAAGAATTGTGAGATGGTGTGAGATCCATGAAGGAGGAATTAATGGTATATGAGTATAAGTGAATGGGAAGGAAAAAAGCAGATAAATGGGAATCAAAATTCAGATTTTTAACATCAAATTAATTTTAGGTTAAACAGCACTCAAAAGATTTATTGGAGTCAATAATCTCTAAAGAAAATTATTAAAAGTTTTAAGTTGACATCTCTCCTTTTTTAATAGATTGTGAGTTTCATATTTATTAGAAGTGAAAAATTCACTTCTCTACCTCTTGGATAATAATTGTTCAAAATAAATTAATTTAATTGATTAACATATATATATTTGAATTAATCATTAATATCTGATATATTGATGACTAATTTAGATAGATACTGCATAGGGGACTCTTCCAACTCAGTTTATTCCATTCGCAAACGTCAAAAATCAAATCCCAAATATTAATTAAAAAATATAATATTTCATCACACTAAATCAATTAATTGTTGGTAATTGATTAAAATATATTATAAACTCATTATTCTTCATATATTTAAAACTCATCAAATTTAAAAATAATTTTTTTTACTTCTCCTCTTCTTAGGCCGTAATTGTTCAAAATAAGTTAATTTAGCTGGTTAAAAATTTCACTTCTCCTCCTCTTAAATAATAATCGTTAAAAATAATTATATATTTAAAATTAAAAAACTGAAGTCTAATTATCAAATTTAATTCCATTACAATAACATTTTTATTATATGCTGTGAAAGTAATATTTTTATTTTAGAATGTCACATTATAAAATTTAACATGTTAATTTATGAATTAGATTTAATTTTTAAATATAAAAACAAAAAATTAAATTATTAAAAAGGACTAAAAGTCAAAACTATTAAAGGATATAGAGCCTTGGGTATATTTGAACAAATTTGGTTTGAAAAAGTCTATTATGCCAGCCTTAGACGTGCACTTTTAAACATGAGAATACGTGTAAATATCTTAAAACTTATAAATATATCACAATTATGATTACGACAAAGAAATAATAAAATGTAGAGTAAACCCGTGAAAACAATCTCTTAATTAAGAAAATATAAAATGATCGTTTAATTAAAAATAATAATTTCTTTAAAAAATAATAACAAATGACATAACAATTAAAAAAATTAACATGATAATAAATTTAATGTTTACCATTTATAATTTATTTTATTTTAGTTATAAAAATTTAATTATTAACATTTTAATATCCTATCATTTTAATTCCTCCTCTGAACTCATATTTTATTTCTTCTCTTCCACGTCTCCAAAATCCAAACCAATAACAACTCTGATAACATCCAACAAAACTTCTAACCGTTCTTCAACATATTAAGTCCCTAAATATGGAGAAGTCCCTTGACGTTGCAAGTGGGGATAGACTGAACGGGATGAGTAAAAATCGTCTTTATGGGAGTTTTAAATTAATATATATTTTAAATATTTTTTATATTTTTAATTGATAATTTGTTTTCTCCCTAATTATTTTATAAACTTAAAAGTTCACCCTTAGCATAAGATCTTATGTTCCTCACTGCTTGCAAGTATGGAATTTGAAAGATCCTTCAAAGCCTACACACCTTTACAGGGATTATAAGGGCTCATCACTGTGTCTTAATATTTTTGCATTGCAACAATACCAGAAGCACTAGAAACAGGAAAGCATCGTCTTATTTCATACATACTGCCGCGTTATTTGTCTGTTCAGGATCAGTGTTAAAATCCAAAATTTTATTAACTTCTGGAACCACAAAGATCCCCTAAAGTCCGGTGCTCCAATTTCATTTGTTGTCAAAAAAAAAACATTTACAACTAGAGCACTCTCATATTCCATCTAATCGCAGTTTTTCCAAACATACGATGCGATTTTGTTAAATAAATTTAGAAAATAATATAAAATTTAAACAAGTTTTCTTACTTTTTCTTTGTTTACTCCAACATTTTTGAGCCAGCAGCCTCATAAATTTTTATAGTTTGGGTGAAAAGGCACTTTTTTACCTTGATTTCGGTGCTAAAAAACAAGTATTTGGCATTGTTTCTGCTGCCAAAAAAATTTTTGGAGTTGAAGAAGCATTATTGAACGGGTTAAGAAAGTTTAACTATGAATAAGCTTCCACAGAAGTCGATTCTTGATTAGACCTTGTCATCAAGCGAATGCTCCAAGACTAAATACTTTGATCCTATGCCCATTATCACTGTTAACTACAGATCAACTTCTTTTACAGACTTTCTACGGTTTGCCCTTGATTCAGGTCCTATATCTTCTACTAAGATATGATCCAATTCGAAATATACGAGTATTGTGTTGTTACCGGGCCCTATCCTAATTAACAAGATACATCCACCAATTTCACCAAAATAAAATATAGAATCTTATATAAGAAATAACAAAAAAATGATAAATGAAAGACTCAAGAGTCCAATCCATTGGATATCAAAGATCTCCAAGCATATTCAATGTTTACAAATGAAATGATCCGAAGGGTATTGATTAAAATAATTATATTCCTTTACGAATAAAGAAGACAAATAAGAATTCTAAAATCCAGTTTATATATATATATTTTTTAAACTTTTCTTCTATAGAAGATGCAATCTTCTTTCTCGCTGATGATGCAGCCAGCAGCCCACTTTTTTTCATTAACTATGCATGGAAGAAGAGATGAATGGAGTTATGAACTGTGAAGAACCATTTAGATGGCATTTATTCTGTTCTGTAGCTAAAACTTGTGTTTTTCTTTTCTCCATCTGACTCCACCTAAAAAGAATGTATTACTCCAAAACTGTTCCTGAAATCAAAACATTTCCAAAAATTATTTACTTTTAAAGGCAGAAATATCAATCAAAACCACCTAAATGATCATGTCCTAACAAACTTAACTGACCAATAAAACTCACCCAACCTGCTCGAACCCCAATGCGACCTGAACATCAATTTCACTCTAAAAGGGAACAAACAAAACCTGATCTAATAACCCAACCTCCCTTCAACACCCTCTGTTACAACCTCTATTTTCTAATATTAGGGGGGGGGAAACCCTATAAGTTTTGAATACCTCCGAGATCCATGTAGGTACAAACAGAGCTTCTTTTATTTAAAGCCTCATGTTATTTTTCTTTCACGGTTACCAACTCTCAAACCTTGTCAAGGTTAAAGTGACAAGCATGTAACCATTGAGGAAAAGAGAAGAGCTGGTCATATTATTTTTAATAGCACAAAATGGAAGGAACGATGAGTTTTAGACAGAGGAAAAGGCAGCACAGAAAATTTAAACATTCTGCTTATAAGCCAGTATTGAGATACATTATCCATACCAATTACATGGGAACTTAAATGGGAAGAAGCGGTCTTTTTTCTTCTTCATGAACACGATGACTAGCCTGGAGAAATTTAAAAATAGAAAAGCATTACATATCCTAAATACGGATAAAAAAATAAAGAGAAAAAAAGTTAACATATTTAATAGAAAACTGCCGGTGAAAGCTCTCACCTCTTCATTGGCTCCAGCAGTCATATTTAGCAACAATGCATCCTTAGACCTGATAAGATATATCAGGAAGTAAGCATCTTTGGTTTACAGTGGATCAAAGAACTAAAGTATTGGGGAAACGAGGGTAAAACAAGATGGGGTGTACTGAGAAACACATAAAAGGAGATCTGCTTTTACTAGGAAAAAAGCAATGAACCTAGACTGGAGGTCTCTGTTGTATTCTTTTACTAGATAGAGCAGGAATGAAACTCAGCAACAAAAAATTATGTTTGATGCCTTAGCTCTTACCCCCCACCCCCAACACACACACACACACTCACACTCTTTTTCCTTGCACTCATTGCACACAAAAAAAAAAGATAGTAGAAATGACAACTAATGAACTACACGATACCTTTCAAGATAATAGGGCAGTATATAGTGTCAATAGATCATAATCATTCACGAACTTCAAAAAATTGTTCCTTTAATGACCATCCAACCAACTCTTTGAATAAGTTCACTGATAATTAAGCTGAACCATAGGGCATATTTTTTTAAGTTAAGAAATGGTTGGAATAAGTTTCATGCACCAAAATATAAAAAATAAAGAATAACTAATTTTTTTTTTGGGTGGAGGGGGGAGGAGTTAGATCCAATTTTGATGATAGGCCCTTTGTTGACCTAACAGAAACCTTGTTCTTAGGCACAAACAGAAGTTGATGTGATATGTGAACATCAGAAAGGCATAAAAACATCTGAGACAAGTCTTAACGCTTAAGAACTCTCATTATTCCAAGGCCTCTTAGACTCATTACTATAGTTCTACGAGGAGCATGAAGGGTATGTAGATGCTGTAGCAGAGGAATCGAAAGGGAGAAGATCCGCATCTCCAATTGAAAATGTAGGGAAGAAGGAGTCGATGAATAAGTTTCACGATGGTAGGACATACAAGGATACGGTTCTGGGGGTTAAGAGGAACGCGAAAAAACCTTTGGAAGTTTTTATTCCAATGGAGGAAAGGCTATGGCTCACTTCGTCTTTAACAGGCATTTGCAAGGCGAATTTTGAAGTTGATTTTGTGCAAAAGCCATTATGGAATGAGGGCTTCAATGTCAAGGTGGTAAGGTGGGGTTATGCAAAAAATGCAAGTTTGTTAGTTTTCCAGACAGTGGAGGATAAAGAGGCAGCGATGGAAGATAAGTGGGAGGCTCTGTCCTTCTGGTTCGAAATGCTGGAGCCTGTTACGGAAGATGGGTGTGTTCCATTAGCTTGCTGTGCAATTTCCATTATAGGTGTTCCATTAAACTGCTGGTCGGTTTCTTTCTTTACAAGCATGGCATCGAGATGGGGAAAGCTAGTGAAGATACAGGAACAAACAACCCAAAGGGTGGATTGCAGAGTGGCGCATATCCTGCTGAGGGTTGAGAGCCCGTTTGATATTCCTTCCCATGTCACCATTAACACATATGGAAGGTCGTTCGTTATTAAGATTAAGGTAGAAGGCAATGATGATTTTTTTCCTGAGTTAGCAGATGTGGTTGAAGAGAATGAATCAGTGGATCCTTGGAAGGAGAATTCGTCGGACTGGAATCAAGTGGATGTACAGAACACTGTAGATACATGGGTTCGGGATTCACAACAAGGGGGTAACATGGATATCGAGGGGAGTTTGAAAAAAATAATAGGAACAAAAAAACTTTCGGCTGTTGACTTCTGTAGTGAGGAAACAGCAGCAGTTGTTGTCCCCATCCAGCACAAAAGCATTGGAGGTCCAACTTTGGGGCATGATAATGTTGACCAGGATTCAAGGCTTAAGGTGGATACAGCTTCTTTAGGGGAACATGTGGGACTTGGGTTGAGGAAGGGAGTGGGCCTAGAATCTGAAGCCAAATTGGATGATAATTTAGATTCTAATACACTTATGCAGAAATTAATTCCTGCAGGCCCTGTTTACAATTTAAAGAGGACTGCTGAAGGAAAAGGAGATATTATGGGCAGGTTTATTCCACTGTTAAATAGGGAATTAAATATTCATTCTGGAGATGTGTTACAGGTAGAAGTGGAGTTAGATAAGGTAGTTACAAGTGGGGAAGAATCTGAGGTGGAAATTGAAGTCCCAACCATGGAGTTCTTTAAAAACAAGCTACTCGAGGACAATCCTGATAACAGTGGAGATGTGAATCAAACAGAAAATTTAAAGTTGGTTGGGTCCAATGCAGATTCTAAAGAATGGAATTCTAGGGGAAGATCGGTTTCCGGTATAAATCTTCATCATCTACTAAGAGTGAACCGATGGAGAGGAGAAGAATTTGCAGTTTCAAAAGGGTGTATAAAAGGTCAAGGGAGAGAAGACATTGGCTCGGGAATGATCAAAGTGTAATTCCGGAAAAAAGGGAACTCTAGATAGGCACAAGGAGCAGAATTTGGATTTAAGTTCAGCTTATCCTATCAATGTAGCAGCAGATTTTAATGTGGAATGTTGTGTGGAATCTATTGAAATGACCATCCAGCTTAGTTGTAGAGCACAATGTTCTTAACCTTGGGGTCGTGGGATCGAGTCCCACGGAAGGCATTTCATAATTCGGAGGTCTCTTACGGAAGCTGCTCTCAACCTGGCGTTGGGGGCAGCCTACTATCCTACCTCCCCCTTACCCCATTACATATGGGAATAAGGGTCAGCTAATTTTGTTGTGTGGAATCTACTATGAAGAGACATGAAGCTGATAGAAATTTGGATAATTTGTTTGAAGGGTGGCTTTCAGATGGAGACAACTATAACCTCAATTCCAAGAATATCAACAGAAGAGTTAAAAGATTATTGTTAAGGGATGCTTTAGATCAAGTTAGTACTTCAACAGTTTCTTCTCCAGCTTTTTCGGTTATTACGGAGGAAGCACTTGCTACTTGGGAAATTAGTAAGCTATTGGGGGTTTCTTTTAAGGAAAGTAAGTCAACCTTTTTGGAAAAAAATATTAACTTGGAGAAAGTTTTAAGACAAGTCTGATGGTCTTGTTCTTCAGGGATGTTCAGGTTGTAGACTATTAAATGATGAATAATAATTTAAACATTATTACATGGAATGTTAGGGGTTTGGGAAGAAAGGAAAAACAGAGAGTTGTTCATAATTTGGTTTTAAAGAATCTACCTTTAATTCTTCTGCTGCAAGAAACTAAATTGGAGAAGGTTCAGAGTTATTTTTTAAGGAGTGGTTTGAATACCCTCCAAGGTTTTGTCGAATCTCCAGCAGTGGGTTCCTCTGGAGGATTATTGAGTTGTAGGGATGAGAGTTCGTTTGAATTGGAAGATCATGTTATTAACAGAAGGTTTATTGCCATTTTCGGGAAATTTCGATCAAACCAACTAAGGTGCGGTTTTATTAATGTCTACGGGCCTAATGTCGAGGAAGAGAAAGTCAGTTTTTTTGAAGAACTAGCTGATTTCATTAATGGACAGAGTATTCCTCTTTGTGTGGGAGGAGATTTTAATGTCTATTTATCAGAAGTAGAGAAGATTGGAAGAGCTCAAAACAGAATCTCAATGGGGATTTTCAGTCATTTTGTTCAACATACAAGATTAATTGTTTTACCTTTGAATGGGGGTAGGTTCACATGGTGCAACAATCAGGATATCCCCACTCTTGTCAGATTGGACAGGTTCTTAGTGGATGTTCATTTCTTGGAAACTTTTACTGATATTGTTCAAACTTTACTCCCTAGGGCTGTGTCAGATCACAATGCTATCTTTTTTGAGAATAGAAGAGTTAGTTGGGGTACAAAACCTTTCAAACTCTTTAATTATTTGATGGACGAGGATGGCTTTGAGGAACTTGTTAATTCTACTATTAAAGACAGCAAGATAAAAAAGAACAGGGTTGGTATTCTGGCAGTTCTGAAAACAACCAAAATGGCAATAAAAACATGGGCAGGTAGGAGACCAATTTCCAGCAAAGGAGATTACTGAATTAGAAACAAAAATCCACAAGGCAGAGGAAAATTTCCAGCAGTTGCAAGACTCAAATGGAAGAGAACAAGGAGCAGAATTGTCTTCTATGAGATCAGAATTATGGAGGCTGTATAAAATTGAGGAATAGATTTGGTTTCAAAAATCTAGATCGAAATGGGTGGAACAAGGGGATCGCAATACAAGATTCTTTCATACATGTGCTTCAGTTAGAAAGAAGATGAATTGCATGAGTGCTCTGAATGTTAATGGTGAGATTATTCAAGATCCAGCTTTTATTAAAGCTAGTGTCAGGGACCACTTTTTCAGAACCTTGGAAGTTGAAGATATGAAGCTGAATTTTTCCAGAATTTCAGAGGAACAAAGTCTTCTATTAGAAAAAGAGCTTTCGGAGGAAGAAATTTGGGAGACTATTAAATCGTGTGATAGCAACAAAGCTCCCGGGCCGGATGGTTTTAATATGGGTTTTTTAAAAGATATTGGTCTATCCTCAAGGTAGATATTTTGAAATTTTTCCACAAATTTTATTTGGGGAAAGATTGGGAACATGGGATAAATCACACTTTCATTATTTTAATCCCAAAGGTGTCCAACATTGGTGGTTTAGATAATTATCGACCTATTAGCCTCATAGGAGGGTTGAACAAGATTCTTTCAAAGTGTCTTTCGAGGAGATTAAGAAACTGTATTAATGATATAATCAGTCCTACACAGTTTGCCTTTGTCCCAGGTCTACAAATATTGGATTGTTCTCTTATAGCTAATGAGGGGGTAGACTTTTGGAGGAAAAAATGACTTAAGGGATGTGTATTTAAGGTGGATTTCAAAAAGGCCTATGATACAGTGGACTGGTCTATACTTTTTCTAGTTATGGAGAAAATGGGTTTTGGCACCAAATGGAGTAATTGGATTAGACAGTGTGTTACAACATCTTCGGTTTCTGTTTTGGTTAATGGGGTAGCTACTGAGGAATTTCCAATGGCAAAGGGTCTTCGTCAGGGTTGTTCTCTTTCTCCTTTGCTTTTCAATTTAGTTGGGGAACTTCTAGACCTACTACTGTTAAAGGCAATATCTGAAGGGCTGTTTTCTGGTTTGAAAATTGGTAGAAATGAGACTGCTGTTGATTTTTCTCACTTGCAGTTTGCAGATGACCTTGTAATTTTCTGTGGTGCTTCGAAAAGTAGATTTTAAATGTCAAGAGAGTTCTTAGAGTCTTTGAATCATGTCTGGACTTCAACTGAACCTAAAGAAAAGTAGACTACTTGGTGTCAATGTGAGTCAAGAGGAGATTGAGGAGTGGGCAGGAACAATTGGTTGTGCTGTTAGGTTTTTTCCCTCAGATTACCTAGGGCTTCCTCTTGGTGCAAAAAGGAATTCTTCATCACTTTGGGATCCGGTTGTTCAGAACTTCTATAACAAACTTGCTGGTTGGAAAGCTGCTACTCTTTCTTTGGCAAGGAGGTTAGTTTTGGTCAAGTCGGTTCTTTGCTCACTTCCAACCTATTATTTGCTCTTTTTAAAATCCCCTCCTCGGTTAATTCTAAACTTAATTCCATTATGTCTAAGTTCTTATGAGGAGGTGGATTGGAGAAAAACAAGATTCATTAGGTTAAATGGTCCTCTGTGTGCATGCCTAAGAATGAGGGAGGTTTGGGAGTGATAAATCTTATCAATATGAACAGAGCCCTTTTGGGAAAATGGTCTTGGAGGTTTGCTAATGATAGGAATGTTGTTTGGAGGATGTTGATATGCTGTAAATACAACCTTGAATCCTCCTCATTAATGTTTAATAGCAAGGTTCCAACTCAAGCTTCTTGGATTTGGAGTTCAATGGTCAACAATCATTTTAAAGATGATTCATTTGGCTCCAAGTTTTGTACCATGTGCAGAATTCAAGTGGGTAATGGTGAGTTGATTAGGTTTTGGCAAGACATTTGGGCGATGGACTGTTCGCTCAAGGATTCCTTCCCTAGATTGTTTTCTATTTCTTCTAATAACAGCGGCAAATTAGTTGAGTTTGGCGAGTTTAGTTCAATGGGACGGATTTGGAATATTCAGATGAGAAGGAATTTGACAGATTGGGAATATGAACAATGGGTAAATTTGATATCAATTATTTCGAATTTCTGCCTGTCTAAAGAGTCTTTTGATGGACTGATCTGGAAAGGAAATGGGGCTGGTGTCTTTTCTGTTAGCTCATGTGTGAAGGTGTGTTCATCGGGTTCCCAGGAAGTTCAGTTCTGGAAGAACATTTTGTGGAAAGGTTTGGTGCCTCCAAGAGTAGAGATCTTTATGTGGCAGGTGGTACTTCAAAAGCTGCCAGTGAAGACAGAATTGGTTAAAAGAGGGGTTACGGGAATTGAAGATGTTTCTTGCCCTCTTTGTAAATTGGTGGATGAATCTTCTTCTCATTTATTCTTCTCATATTCTATTGTGTGGTCAATTTGGAACAAATTCATGCAGTATTGGAGCATAAGTTCGGTTATTCATGTCAATGCGCAAAGCTTTCTCCTAGCGTGGGAAGATTTAAACACTAAATCTGTTATTATGAAGTTTATTCCTGATGTTGTTATTTGGACTGTTTGGAAAGTCAGGAATGCCATTGTTTTTTAAGGGAATGAGTTAGACAAGATTGACTTATTTTTCTTAGAAAGATTTAGGCTTGCTTCCTGGTTCTTAGCTAAGTATAAAGATTCTTCTATCTCTAAGGACTTTCTTATCTGTGACCCATCCATTGGGGATTCTTGTATCCCCCAAAACAATTCTATTATCACTTCGATCCCTTGGTCACCTCCTCCTAAGGGTTTAATCAAAATGAATGTGGATGCAGCTACCAGTGGGGATTAGAAGAGAAGTGGAATTGCTGGAATTCTAAGAGATGATGCTGGTCTGTTTCTAGGTCTTTCAAGGAGGCTTCAGATCCGGGTCCACCTACTATGATGGAGCTAAAGGCTATTCGGAAGAGATTATCTTTTTTTGATTCATTGAAAGGAAGTATTAAGGGTCGGTTGATTATTGAAACTGATTGTAAAATGGCAGTAGATTGGGTTAAGAATGGTGTTATTTGTTCTGAGATGTATGTCTTAATTGTCAGGGATATAGCTGTAAGGCTGAGAGAATTGGAGAGTGTAATTAGATGGGTTGCTAGAACAGCCAATATGGAGGCAAATGCTCTAGCTAAGGCTGGTATAGGCTAATTCAGTGTGGTTCTTAGGGGTATTTTATGTTGAGTCTTCTGGTTCTTTGTTAGGGTTTTTTATATTGTTTAAAATCTTATGTATCTTTTCCTATTAATGAAGTATAAGGCACTCTTTTCCTCTGATTAAGGAAATCATTTTGAGTTCCATTAATCATGAAGGGGTTTTTTAATGAGGCCTTCAATTCTTATAAAAAAAAACGATAAAGAAAAAAAATGAATCTTTTGAAATCATAGATCCAGTTATCGCCCTAATCAACATCCAAGTATAGAACAGTTTCAACATGGTCCACAAAAATAGCATACAAGAAAAAGGTATACCTCTTGATGTCTTGGCTATTCACCATCTCCAAACTACCACTTTGTTTTTCATCTTTAACCTTTGAAAGTGATGAAAAGAACTGAAAGGAATAAAGTATACAGCACAATTATAAGCAGGCTCTCCCTATCTCAAAATAGAAGAGAAGGAAAGCACAACATGATAGGAGTATTGAAAAATAAATAAGTGCATGTTTCTGTGTGTGCTTTACTGGCCAGCATGAGAATATATGAGCACCTATATAAGCTAAAATTACCTGATGCATGGAGATAATCACAACTGATATTCCTAAAACAAAGTTTATGGTCAGGGTGTGACCAAACAAAATAGCAGATGCTATGCCAGTGAAAATTGTGGCAATTGTTGAGGAGTACTTTTTCAAGATTGTATCTGCAAGAAAAAGGTACCATACTTGAGCAAAATACAAACAGTATGAGAAACCTATAGACATTGAAAGAAAAATAAAACAAGTATGGTGCCGCTAATAATGCAAGGGTTTAAAAAGAAGCAACCAGTCGGCCAAAGGTAAGAGAAAAATTTAGTGCAATATACAGAAATGGAAACTGGTTTGACAAATTTAGAAGGGTAATCAAAGGCGATATGTTGTATGATAATATTACGGAATAGTTTAACATCTACCCAAAAGTGGTTTTTTTTTCTTCGGTTTTTAGGAGACAAATTGCATAACAGTAATTTCCAGGTGTTTTCTTTAGCCAGGAAAAATATCGATTTCCTTGTGGAGTTTATACAGACCTAGGTTCCCCAACCTCAACAGCTGGCTTTGGGCGTGTGCCGTGTGGTTCTCCAAAAGTCCACATCAGGAACCTTGTCCTATCCCTCTACCCAAAATATCTGATTGATCAAAGGAATAACTAACTTCCCTATTATTTTTTTGGGGGTTAAAAGCTTCCTTTAGGAGATTAGCACCTGCTGTCCATATCCCTTTACACATTTCCATGCATCTATGACACACATAATTGGTAGTTGTAAATTTCCCAAAAAGTTTTCAAGCAATTATGGTAGCTATTTAGGTATGATGTCAGCAGGAATTACTTTCTCTACAAACAAGCAGGAAACAAAAAGCAGTTCAAATTAGAGTACGATTTAGGTTGTTGCATATGATTATAAAGGCATGAAGGACAGCCAAACCTTAAACTTAATGTTGGTACCTCCTGTTCAACCTTTCTAAAACCATTCAACTCATGTAGGTAATCACTAACTCAAGTATTTTTCCAAGCTACTGGGATTTTTCCCAGTGCTTTTCAGTAATCCCTTTGATTTTTCCTTTGTTTTTTTTTTTTTTTTTTTGCATCACCTTGCAGTAATAATATATGCATGCACACTTTAGTATTAAATATACCTGCATATTTGAAGAAGAAAGATGATAAGATCCCTTGGGCTGCATTGTTGCATATTAGAAGCATAGTAGCCTTTGAATGTCCCTGCAGGATATCCAAGCTACTGGGACCTAAAAGTAAGGAGGTCATGGAAATACAGTAGCTAGTCAATAAAAAGATTATGAGTACACTTAGAGCAATTTGCATGCCTTCTAAATAGAAAAATATCAGTACAAATATATTTGTATATGGATAGGGGGACAGAAGAGGGACCCAATTACACAGTGTAGAACTAAATTAGTCTACACTTGATATTTTAATAAAGCAACCCTTGAGTTTACCAATATTATTTTACTTGACATTAACATAAAGTTCTGAATCAATCCGATACCACTATCATATAAATTGAAACTACTGATTTTCTCAATTTATATTTAACAATACAGTTTCTTACATTGAACAAATTGTTAAACATTTTAAATTTACTCTAAACTCAATATGCATGTTCTATGTGGATAGAACATGGAATACAACGGTTAGATTAAACAAATAAAAAATCGAATAAAAAGCTACAAAAACATGGAAAAGTATTTTAATTTTACACTAATGTGAGTGAATCCCTCATGTGTGTATATACATGTCTAAAGGAATTTGCAAGACAATGAAGAAATAGCACCCAAATGTGATCAATGAAGATCAGTTGATAATTATGTCATAATTTCCTCTGAATAATCAGAGCTTATCAGAGGCTTCATGCCACCAGAAAGCAACACTAGATTCCAAGCTTAAAAGTTTATTTCTTACCTTTAAAAAGTGCAGTTCCAAGAATGGCTAGGAAATTGAAAATTGCGCCATACCCATAAAGAAACAAGTTCTGTAAAACACATAAAGCAACCACAAATAAATAGAGGATTCAAATTAATGGTCAAAGAACATTATTTTTAAACCATTTGCATAACCATCAGCAAATTAATCTATGCCCTGTAAGACTACTTGAGATTTGATCAAGAATCAATGCTAGAGCCTGGACAACAAATAAATTCATTATAAACATACCTGATGGTAAATGCTCGTCTCAAACTGGCTCTTTAAAGCATATTCATTAAAGACAGATGCCAGGGATGGGACAGTAACCTGTATTAATGCCATAGAGTTAGGTTTCCTTGTGTCATTGTCTATTGACTCTAAAAGCCCAAACCCACAAAATAACCCAGTTACCAATATATTCTGTTTCTATTGATAATTAACATTATTAAGGAGCGTGAATTATTAAGAAACCATCATAGTATTAATGAATGCTTAGAAACTTGAATTGAACAATTGTAGCATCAAAATATTTACTAGATGTATATTTAGATAGTTAATTTTGCAAGTCTGCATAGTACATTATGAGATTTGTTTGTAAATCTAATTGAGCTCAAACCTAATAGCTGGATTAGTTATCGTATAATATCTAAGAGATGGTGAAGTAGTTGTAAAATATGGTGTGTGTTGAACACTTTTTGGTCAAAGTAACTCCTTAACAAGTACAATGATAAACAAGTACTGTGAAAGCGGTAAACTTAATAATTGATTTTCCCCTTCCCTAGTCCTACAGTATGAATAACATCATTGCAAGATATAACCCTTTGAAACAACAGTTCACAAAGTTGTCACATCAATTAAGTGCGGCAACTATGTTAACAACTTACAAATATAAGAGTGTACAAGTATGCGCCTGTTGCAATCGGAACACCAAGCGAAGTAGTACCCTCTGGAAGAGACCGCAACTGGTTTATGCTAATTCCAATGAGCAACAAAGCAAGAGCCTCCCACTGTTACAAACATGAATCCGCACCACACATGCAATATGGATAAACTATAACCAATTAACCATTCCAAATGTCCACATATTTTCTTTCAGTTTTGAATAATTGTGATACAGTTCAATGAGAAAAATCCTTCTGTTCAAACTAACCTGAATAATAGAAAACCGCCGTTTCATGATCATCTTTAACAAGATAGCTATTACCAAAACCTGCATAAGTTGGACGGTACTGGAACAGATTCACTAAGAATTCTCACAGCAAAACCAAAAGAAAAAGCATGATCATGTGCATAGTACTCAAAATTTTCCCATGGTGCACAGTAGCATAAAGTTAGTTTTCACCAATAAATTGAGCTTCTAGATAGAGAGTCATAAACTAATTGTATTTAGGATTCATCACACTCATTGATTGTGGTGGTAACAAATACGTGACGAATAACCAAAAGGAAATGGATTTAAAGGATAAACTAACCCAAAATGCATTTATTTAGAGCAAAAAGGAGATAGATTAGAACCTTTACTATTTAAACAATCATTAAACAAAATGTATTATTCTACCTTTAGGTTACTAAGCATCTTCACAGTAGCAGGATTGAAATAAAGCTGCAAAGGAATAATGGCATAAATATTAGAAAACAATTACTTCAAGGAAAAAAGCCAAATAATATTAAAAAGAAATTTTAGCTGTGGATAAATAGTTTAACGGAAACACAGCACGTAGTTAAATTCTATTTCTCAAAATTCTACAGAATCAGGTAATTTTTAAGTAACTGATATTAAACAGGTGACAGAGAAGAAGCAGAAAGATCATTAAGAAAACACCACCTGCATGATGAACTTTAGGTAATTGTTGATGGCGTAAAGTAGAGCTGGAACTGCAAGAAGCACATTATTTCGAGCAGCCTGTAAAATTTTGGAACAAAGGAAAAGACACCTTGAGGCCAAAAAGATGATATACTACTATGGTTCATACCATTTCAGAAAAGTAGATTCAGCGCAAAACAATAATTTGCAGATAAAAAGGGGAAAATGAGCTAAAAGTTACAAAAAGACTTCATGTCACATTAAGACGGTTTTACTAGACCAAAATGACACCACACTAATATTAGTACATATATATTAGTTTTCAGAATGCAATTTAAACACATTTTTATCAACCGAATAAGATACTTAATTGGCAGCATCTTTTTCAGAAAACCCATATTATGAATAAAGAGTTAAAATTATATCAACCATTAATAAACAAAATGAAGAATAAAGAAAACTGCCACTCAAAAAATAAAAGAATGCTAACAATGTATCTTCACTCATCTAACATTAGTCTCATTAAAGTTGCACATTGCAAAACACCATGTCTGACCAAATTTATTGCACATGACCAAGAAAATCAATAAAAAAGCCACAGCTATGTGAAACTAAAAACATTTCATTGACTTGCTTTATCTCTACTTTCAGCATGGCTTCTTAATAACTGGAATTCTTCTAATTTCTCCCCCTTTAAGACCCAAAATATCTTAAAAGTATCAACTAAGCTCACAATGAATAACCTTATTGGTATGCCAATTGCTATTGTTATCTACCGCAGAGCATATATGGTTAAGTCAGCTTCTTGACCAGTGACACCAGTCTCACACAGTATAGCACTCCAGACAAAATCATCCTCTACCGATAGAAGAAACTTAATGAAACTAACATTCAAACCTCTAATTAGCCCAATGGTTGCCCCATAGAATAGTCTACAAGTTTTTCATTCTTTATCAAACGCTATTGGGATGCATCATAAAACCATTAAGGTTATTAATGTTACCAAGAATCAATAGTGAAATTAGTGATACAAAACTAATAATAGAATTGCAATTTGGAAGTAAATTTCTTACCTGCCCTAACGAAGAAATTGAGAGAAGAGATTTCTCCCCAACTTTCTTATTCCGAGCCTTCAGAGAGAGAGAGTTAAATAAGAACAACAGTTAAAACCTAATGAAAGAATTTAATTAGAAGAATCTGAAATAACATTTAGTGTGATAATCAATGGACTAGGACTTCCTAATCTTTGAAATGCAATTGTTCCTGTTACGGCTGAAAACTAATAGCAAGCCCATTGAGCTCCTACATGCTAGGCTTAGTAACTTTTCCTAGCACTGTAGGTCAATAAGAAAAAGCAAATTATTTTAGCAATCCCTCTAACTTCCAGAACTAATGCAGCTGATCTCTTACACTTCTAGGATATCAGATAATACATGGAAATGAACATAATCTAATTGTTCCAGCATGTCAGGACATCCCCACTAAAAATAATTTACGAATCAGATACAAAACAATTTACAAAAATAATTGATGAATTTGTAACACACCAACACTCCCCTCTCTTATACTTCTCAAGTTTCACAGAGAAAGCTATTTTTAACACAGATCGCATGCATGAAGCAATTTTGATTGAACAGTTAAATGCGAGGACCAAATTTAGTGGGATATGGGCAGATCTTATGGTGCTTCTGATAAATTGTGGAAGAGAGACATTTAAGATTTCTTTGGCCTATCTAACCTAGTATAAAAAGATAATTTAATCTTAAATTCAACAGGTACAACTATGACTTAATTGAGAATACACCTCCATGGGGACAAGAGAGTTCCTCACTGGGCACCACTTTAGGTATATGTTATAACATGCTTATAGCTAAACTAACACATGACAAGCATATAAACCTTTTTAAAGAGTTCTTGAACTCCACTTTATGGTATAACCCCCCCGCCACCCTCCTATTCCAGTTGAAAGTTAATAAAATGCTAAAAAGTACCTGGAACAAGAGCATAATAATGGCGAAAATAACTTTAGCCAACTCAGTAAGAAAGTTAACGCTAATTGGACTAAACTTGAAACCGCCATCCACCTTTGACATATAAACCAATATAGGCTGCAATAATATATATGTATGGTGTTAGAATACAAAGAAATCCCGGATCCAGATTGCTGATTTAGATTTGATGGTTAGAAACAAATAATTTACTTGAAAACCGACCAAAACGCAGTCCCCACCGACCAAAAGAACATTGAGGAGACGATTTTTGGAGGATACATAGCTACGATGCGTATCGTAAGCCCTCGAAACGGTTTTAGTACCGGGCGGTGCTATTTTTGAATGGCAAACACTGCATTCTATCATCCCCGCCAGCGCCACCGCCTAACTAACCAAACTAACAATAGATCAACACCATAAAATCAATTTTCATTTCCTCAAATAATAAAAATATGATTTAAGGAGGCAATCTCAGAATTGAGAAAACAAAAATGAGAAAAATTACCAGAGTATAGTTACGGGAAGCGAAAGGCGAGAGAGGCTGCAGATCTTGAGAGATCTCGGAGCCCTCGATCAGAATTTGACAAAACAGAATAGAAATCTGAGAATTAAAGGGTCAAAACGTATGGAAAGAAAGAGTTGGGAGCTAGGAAGGTGAGATGTAATGTCACTTGTTGGCTGCTCTTTCCTTTTAGTTCTGCTTACGTTTGAATAAATTATTTCAAGTTTATATGCATAAATTTTACTGTTGTGAAACAAAATTAAATAATAAAAAAGGAAGGTGGACTGCGCTTTTCATATATAGTTTTTTCTTCTTCTTCTTCTTCCATTTATTGTATTTTTCTCTTGACGGTGGAAAAATATTTTAAAAACGTGTCCTCTTTTTTCTCTCTTATTTTGAGAGTATGTGTCGACATATAAAGTAATTGAAAGATAGTGTAATTGCTAAGGCAGTGATTAGATATTTTTTAAATTATGAAATATAGTATTAATTAATTTTTAAACACGTATAGCTAGTAAATACGATTACACGCGATTTAATAGATTAAAAAATATCTAATAACTTCTATTCAAACAAAAATATCTTATCACTGCCTTAACAATTATACTATCTCACCAGCTATACGTTTATCCTAAATTAACTCCAGCGCTAGAAATTTATCCTCAATTTTTTTTCAGTTAAACCTTAAATCTTATAATTTTAATCTCAAGTTATACAAATCCAAACCTTTTCCTCCCAAATATAAGTGTTTAAATTTCATTTTTCATTGTTTGCAATATGGTACATTTGTGGAGTTATTATTTGTTATTTTTATTATATTTTGTTATTATCATTAGAGATCTATTATAGCATAAAAGGAAAAGGTTACTATAAAATAAATAATTTTATTTGAAATTATATTCACATCTCATCTTTGCAACTTTCTTATAATAATCTTTTTTGAAATGGTGGGAATACATTATCTTTTGTTATTTATTTGGTGGGAATAATTATCTTAAATTATTTAGTATTTGAAAATTATCTCATTTTAAGATAAGAGTATCTTTGAAATAATACAACTATTTTAAAATTGTTTCTTTATAACTACACTAATATGAATCTATTTTTTATTGTTGTTCTAAGTTTTTAATATATATTATAAAATAGCATGATGTTCATAAAATAAAAAAAATAAAAGAACATCGATTTATTTTATTTTATTTTGAATATTTATTATGTACATGTTTGATTTAAGTTTAATTTTTATATGTGTTTAGTTTATTTATATTTAAAGATTAATTTACCTAAGATTTTATATATTATATTTTCTATTTTCTATTAACTTTATCAAATAAATTGATATGATATTTTGTTTTACAACTCATATATGTAACATAAATAAATTAAGGAAAAAGTGTGAAAATAAACACATACTTACACTAATGTAAGCATGTTTATATATTTCAAAAGATAAAAAAAATAGAAAAAAATGTATATTAAATTATTTGTATAAAAATTATAAAAATATACAAATTATAAATAATAATAAAATATTTTATATAAACTTTCTTTAATATTAAAATTTTAACATGTTAAAAAGAAAATATATGATAATTTGATAAAATATATATTTTTCATTATTATATTCCTTCAACTAAACCAAAAAAACTTAATACATTAATAATATATTAAATAAATATGTTAAAGTATACAAATGATCTCTGACTATAGGGTGATGCTTTGTTGAGTCTCTTGACTATTAAAAGTTATAAAATGATCCTTCAACTATAGAGTACATAATTGCCACCCGACTATAGGGTGTTACTTAATTGTAGTTACTATACGATTCTAAAATTAAAAGTCTATAAACTACAATGGATCCAAATTATGATGTTTTAATTACAAGTGCAATTAACATTAATTAAAAAAACAAGAATGATTTAGAATGTGTATAGAAGGGAGTCCATTATACCTTAAGAGTCGATCGAGTGCAACTTATAACTAAAAAAATACCTTTGACTATGTTCACAATTCAAGAAAATAATATGATATCTTAATTGAAAATTTTATAAAATTATATTATACAATTTTTAGATTTAAGCAAATTCATTGATAACAAAAAATATGTTATTTTTATTTAAAACTTCATATTCAAACAATTGTATGGGTAAGATGTGTGTTTATTGTCAACTGACTAAGAAAATTTTAAATTAATATTATCTTATAACTATCATAAACTGATAAAAATAGATTTAAATTTATAATAAGTATTATTTAATTTAATAAGTTATAATTTTTAAATATTATGAGATAATTAGAAAATAATATCTATTTAAAAAATATAATGCGTTGTAATTTTAATTTATAGAGAAAAATAAAACTACACCAAAATTAAATTAATTGAACAAAACTTATCCTCCCACTTAAGAATTAATTATATTAATTTTGCAAAATGATATTTCCCATTTCTTAAATAACTTTTTTCAGGATGGTTAACAAAATAAATATTCCGGTTCAAACGTCTCATTAGGTAATTCCCCTAACTTTATGAAAACAATTAACACCGACTTTAATACTACGAATACTACAGATACCAATAACGTACTCGTAAACTTTCAAAGGCTCAAATAAATTAAATTTTAAAAAAGTGCGCCAACTCGATTTCCCGATTCAGCACCACCGTATCACCACCAGCTATGGGCGGTGCCAGTAACATCGACGGCGCCGACGAGGACTGGCCCTCTCCAAGTCCGAGTTCCTCAGCCGAAAAGAGGTTCTTCGCCGGCGGTTGCGGCTGATCAAGCAGATAGCGAGGCTCTACAAAGCTCACTACTGGAGTCTAATGGAGAGGATCAAGAGAGACTTAAAGGAATGCTATTGGCTCTAAGGAAAGAGCCCCTTCAAAGAGGTTTGTTCTTTTTCTATATTTTACGATTTTACTTTTATGTGTTCTCCGCATTTTTCTATATTTTTTTTCTTGAATGCAATTTCTTCTCTAAGTTGAATTAGGGTTTAAACTGTAGTCAAAATCATGAATTAGTTTTTTTTCTTTCATTCATTTTTTGGATCTTGGAAAACATTTATGCACTTGGACTCATTTACTGACCTTGGAAATTGAATTCGATAAAGAATGAATCTTCCTCTAATTTAGATCTTAAAAATTGTGATGTTGGAGAACATTTATTTACTTGGATTTACTGACATTGGAAATTGAATTCAATAAGTAACAACTCTTCCTCTAACTTAGAACTTAAAATTTTGATCCGCACGGTGAAATAAGGAGTCTTGTGCTAGCGAACTTGAGAATATCAACATGAAGTTGAAACACTTTTCCTTTTTGTTTCTTCTATGAAAGCTTATTCTAACTAACAAATATAGAGTCTTAACTCTTATTTAAGTACCTGCTATTCTCTTTTCCAATCTCAGTGTTGTGGATGGAAGAAAATATTTGGCTTGGTAGACTGTTCGTGAACATGAATATGCTTTCCATGTTGAAATAATGATAGCTTTCCTCTCCACTGATTTAACTGTCTTTTGATGTTTACTTCAGTCATTTGGGATAATATTCAATTTGATTATGTTGTAAAATTTTGGGCTTAGATGCCTTGGATGTTAATACTCATATGCTTATTATGTGATTTTACTACAGTAATTTGTTTTGTTTGGGAAAGATAATTTAAATCATCTATAAGAGATTAATTTAAATCATCTATATGAGATTATTGGACTGTGCCACTGCCACATGTAAGCTAGCCACCTTATATACTACATTATGTTCTGTGAGTTTTGCACCTGCAACTGATACTTGGCTATCATATTTTATTTATCAACCTATATGAATGACAGAGGGCCTTTTGCCCTTTTGGCATGGCTGGGTCTTCTCTAAAGAAATGCTATTGGAGTCTGAGCGATTCACTTCATGTACAAGTAAAATCACCATGATAGTTCTGCTAACTTGATGCAGAAGTGACATAGAATGTTGAAAAATATTATTAATATTTTTATTCTTAGTAAATAAAAATAAAATATTCAATGTTATTAACTTAATGATAAATTTTAAGGTGAATTAAATTAAGAGAATACATTTTTTGTTAATTAGAAATAAAATATAAATGAAATCAAGGGAATTTAAATTAGTTAAATAAAATGATGAATGTTGAAAGTTATAGTTTCCAATAATTTAACAGGTAAAGTGAGAATGCAAAAGAATCTCATGAAGTGTTACTGTACATTATCTCTTTTTTACGAAGCTTTGATTTACTGTTTTGTCTGAAAGCTCCAATGGGCTTCCTGCATACACTAAATTTTAGAACTTTAAGAGCCAAATAGATCTCTTCTACTTTTGTTGCAGAAAATCTCATTCTTGAGCTGGGCCGGCCAAATACACATTAAAACTAGGCACTGCTGTTGCTCTCTCCATTTTAAACATTTGGGATGTGCATGCTAGGGGACACTTGGTACACAAATTTTAGATGTTTCCTTGGTGGTGCCAATTATTATTGTGCCTATTCTTGTGTAGGATAGCAACTGCATCATTTATGGTCGCCTTTATTTCTTGAATAGGTCACTATATTGGATAACCATTTCCTCCTATTAATATCCATGCTTGTTCTATTGCCCTGTCCATGCTCAAGCAGCTGAAAAATATCTTCAACGGGCATTGAAAAGGGCAGGCCTTAATGTCCCGTCTCCAATTAAGCTTGCACCCAAGTTACATGTTGTTGTTGTCGAGTATGTTCGCCAGATTCAAACTAGAAGAAGAGAAGCGCAACGAAGATCCGTATCTAAAATCAAGATTGAAGAGAAAACTAATGAAAGTTGAATACATTCAGCAAACATATTTGTCAGACGCTGGAATTGTGCATCGGAGATCATCATTTCTGCATATTATGTGTAGGCAGCTTTTTATTGCTGCAAATTGTTTTTCCCATTTGTTATAGTTTGGTTTTGACGATATGCTCATTCATGTGCTGTAGTCACGAAATAAAATCCCTTATTCCCTTTACTTGCTTTAGAATTCGAACATCACCTATGTACTAGGATTGCACCCATTTGTTTTGAATGTCCATGTCCATCGGTGATTTAGAACTGGACTGAATCGACCGGAAATGAAATCGAACAGGTCTGACGGTTCGATTTTATATGATTATCTGGAATATTAAGTTAATAACGAACCGGAAAGAACTGATTATTTATCGTTCACTTCAAGTTTTGATTTTTTTTTCCCCTAACGTAGAGAAACAAGTAGAATAGAAAAAGGAAAAAAAAAACTTAAGTTTTCAACTCTCCTGCATGAAACAGGTTGTCATATACAGCATTTACAATTGAATTAAGGGTTGGGTTACTATCCGTGAGACGCAGTCCATCATCTGAAAATCTTCCGACACAAACAAACAATAGTATTAAATGTTGGAATTCGTCATCGGAATATTACGCTTTTCAACATGAAAATAATCTGTCAAAAATCTTTTTTGCAATTCCAACTCCAATAGTGGAGAAACTCCGATATTTTTTTCTTAAAATAAAAAAGATTCTTATTTCGGTAAACAATGTATCAATTCACTCGCTGTATTTATGGAATAAATAAGTCCATTGTTGAGATTTTGGCTGTACTTTTATATATTATTATTGAGTTCATATTTGATTGGATTATTGTTGAGACTCCATTGCATAAAAATAATAACATATCCCACATAAAAATTTATTAAAATCACAACAATTGTAGCCTTCAAGCAAACCAAAAAAAATCCCAACAATTGTAAAATAAAATACAAAATTCAAAGGTAAATATTACAATGGTTTGGTCCACCACCCAAAAATGACAATTTTAACATGGAAAAAATAAAACATACAGTTCTTTGACAATTAGAGAAACAAAGGTGGGGACTTGGATTCCAAGGTTTAGATTTGAAAACCGTGCCAAATGCTTAGATTCCAAGGATTCACCTGATTTGACACGGTTTCATATGAAAAAGGATTGTATAAATGAATAAAAATTCCCCAAATAAAACAAAATTAGCGTTGATTATAGAAGGTCCCATCTGATTTATACTCACCAACTTGGCTTAACTTATTATTAACCCTCAAATAATTTTTCAATAATAAAATCCTTTAAATCTAATTATGCTATTAGTCTTGAATTATAGTAAATTCCTTCTCATTAATGGTGTGTTGTTCAACCACAAAAGCAAAAGTCATTTTCTCTACTTTAACCAAAGTATACATGGACTTTGCTACCCGCCACACACCACCCCTTTTCTATAACTTCATCTTCAACACCAAAACCAAGGCTTAAAATGAATGGAATGGCTTTTGTCCTAGAACGTGGAAATTCTCTCAAGGTCCGTAATTGTACCAATATATATATTCAAGTTGAATTAGTTGGTCACCAAGAGATAATTTTGATGCTACTCAAACCAAACAAAAAACAAATATCTATTGTTGTAAACAGTTCACAATCACACACTAAAGAACATCATCTTCATGCCCTTCAAGTTGATACCTAAAAAGGCTTCATTCTCAAAAAAAATTATTATCATAACAAATCACACACACATAGGCAATACAAGGGAGAATAATCAAATCAATATATATATTATGAAATCAAAAATAGATGGAGAGCTGAATTTACAACAACAAAAATTCATTTCTAGCCACATTACAGACTTAGAGAGAAAAAGGACAGATTCCCGGACTCACTAATACAGCCGGCCTCACCTCTCCGGTCCAATTTTTTCAACATCAATCAATGATCTGTGGAAAAGAAACCAATATAAGAAAAGCAAGCCACAATTCAATTAAATTAAATTTTTAAAGAAGGTACTAACCAGACCACCTCATTTCCGAGCCTTCTCATCCTCCTTCCCTGGAACAAACCTTGGGAGATTCAAAAGTGTATCGACACGAGATATTCCATCAAGGGAAGACCAATCTATTCCCGATTCTAAATTCCTTTCCTGCTGTTTTGACTTTGAGGAATCTTCATTCCCTCCAGGGATTACTTTGCTTGTTCGCACAGACCCAGATCGGTCGAGACTGGTTAAGACACCCACACTATCGTCTTTCTCGCTCTCATTGTTGATGTGGTCCATTGAAGCTGGCTGCACTTTTTCCTTGGCTTGGCATTGGAAGCATAAGTTAAATTGCTTGAGTTGGAATCAAGGAAGAGGCAGACCACAGCACAATCATCAACTTTTGAAGTCGGGTATTTGTATCTCCAAGCTCGAACTGCTGAATGAACCAAGGCTCGAGCAGCAGAGGAACGAGCAGGGGCAGATGCTACAATATCTACCACTTTCGTCTTTCTCGCTCTCATTGTTGATGTGGTCCATTGAAGCTGGCTGCACTTTTTCCTTGGCATTGGAAGCATAAGTTAAATTGCTTGAGTTGGAATCAAGGAAGAGGCAGACCACAGCACAATCATCAACTTTTGAAGTCGGGTATTTGTATCTCCAAGCTCGAACTGCTGAATGAACCAAGGCTCGAGCAGCAGAGGAACGAGCAGGGGCAGATGCTACAATATCTACCACTTCGTTGTTTGAAAGAACATCCCATATCTGTAAAGATATTGAGGAAAACCTTAGATCGCAAGTTATGCGATCAAATGCTAGTATTTGAATAAGAATTCATGTTGGTTCCTTTACCCCGTCTGTGGCCAACACAATAAATTCATCCTCCTCTGATAGGCGCCGATAATATACTTCAGGCACAGAGATCAGGCCAAAATCTTTGAGGCAAAAGTCCCCAAAAGCCCGTGCCATGGCCAGGCCAGGTGCATCATTGTTAGGCAGCCAAACTCTGGCAACTGTAGGTTCATTATGAAGAGCAAAGACACGACCCTTACATCTTCGAATTCTCTCCTCTTCCGCTGTAAAGGGGGGAAAAAGTATTTAACATGTCATCTGCTGAAATCTTCTCTCAACCATCCAGCAATGACAAGTTGACAACGGTATCGAGAATGTTCAGAAAACATAAAGAAAACCATGGAGATTAAAGGATACACGAAATGTCAGACGAGCCAGCCAGGGGAGAGCACACTAATGTAAAAAGCATTAATGTAGATGCTCTCACGCATGCAGTTATGATATACTAGAACAGACATGGACCTGGAAGATTTGGTTTGAGATCAACAGTCAACTGAACTGCAGTAAGTGAATTGTCTTTGTCCCTAGTGGCCAACACAGCTCTTGAGTCCCCAACATTGCCAATGACTAGATATGGACCCTATACAACGAGGAAAGGGACTTATGATTAGCTATGAAACTTACCGTAACATAGTTCTTCAAAGAAAGCTTTTGAAAGTTGAAGCTGCATACCTGTTTGACCAAAGTTACAGCTGTTGTTCCGCTACAGAAACAATTGATATTTGTATGCAATCTAAGTTCCCTGTCCATAGCCTTAAAAGCCTTCAGAAAAGACTCTTTAAGAGTCTTAAAAATCTCGATCTCTGGGAGCTTTTCCGTTTCATCAAGATTTACAGAGGTCCTAGAGTCGTTGTCAGCAGATATAAAAGCAATTTCTTCGGAGTTAACGCTTCCTGCAGTGTTCAAACTGATCTTTCTGAAACCATCCTCACTGGATATATTGACTTCCCAGTGAGCACTCAGTTTTAAGGGAAGATGGTCCCTCACTTTCTTTGCCACCATATGACCAAAGGGACCATGGCCGTCAAAAACACCACACAAAACTGTATCTGTTCTGGAACAAAAATTCTGGGGAACAACAGTCATAAATAGTGAGAAATGGAACATGTTAATGCAGAAGAAAAATGTTGGTAACCATATTAACAATATCAAATACAAGGAGAGAACAGCGATTTGCATCACAAATCTGTTATTACTATAACCTTTTATCCTTTCCTCTGCATACAAATAATAGGATACATGTTACAGGGATAAAAGAAGTCAATGTTTTTGAAGTCATTATCGTGGAAGCATCAGGCATGCAGAAACTAGATAGATAATATCCTGAATGAAAGGGAAGAAGTCGCAGTCAATTAACGTGAAGATACTGTTTTCCCTCTAACTAGACAGCTGTGAAGATATGTTCACGAGTAACCTAAAAGTTACATAAACAACTTGAAGATAATACAAAATTTAATGTTAGCTGAAACAGATGAACATTAACATTAAAGAACTAAAAGATACTGACAAAGCAACCAGAAAAGAAGGGAAAGTTCCATCATCCAATAAATATTATACTCCTAAATAATATAAGATCTATTACTATTCTTCAAAGCTACAAATGGATCATGACACACGAAGCAAATATATTAAACAACAATTGCTCGACCAGTTTGATAGAAACAAGATTCATGTGAAAATGGATAAAAGAAGCTAACCTCCCAAACAATCATGGCATCCTGGTTGGTTCCTTTCTTGCCTTGTTGAGTATAGAGTGAAGCAACACCACTAGAGCCATTCAAGAACAACCTCCCTGGAATCCTATGCAATGTTTCTCCCTTTCTGTAGTCGAAAGACCCTGATTTCTTCCTCGAATAACCCTTCTTCCAGTAGTCGAGAGCCTGATGAGGGGATAGAGGCGACCCCGGGAGAGGGCTCCTGCTTTCAGCAGAGAAGCAGGACCCCATTTGGAGGGCCCTGATGATGCTTAATATGCACTCCAGACCAGCTAGACAACCACAACCCCTATTCTCAGTAGATGGATCCGTCGGAACTCGTTGGGTTAAATCCTTGAAGAAACTCTTCCCCACTTTCTAGATAGCTAATGTTGCAGTTAATCCACCAATAACCTTTAATTGTAAAATCCTTCTTTCACCAAATCTAAACAATTCCTTCTCAATTCAGAGCCAAATATCCTATTTGCCAATTGAAAATTCATTGATTGGTTCTTCAATCTCTTAGAATTCCCATCTTCAAAATCACAGCCTTAAAATAAGTTTTCCTTTGAGTTTCTTCTCAAATCACTTGAATAATTACCTTAAGAATTTGCCCGATAACCTTTCCCACTTCCAATCCAATGATCAGGCCACTCCACGAATTCAATCTCTTAATCTGCTTCCATTAAAAAGAAAGACACTCAGAATAAAAGAAAAAGAAGGAAGAAAAGGTAAATTTTTTTATTTCTAATACATAAAAGGAATCAGAAAGAAAATTATAATAATAACAGAAAGCTGTAAAGGCACATGTTTTGGGAAAAAGGAGATCTACAGATGCAAATCAACAGGAAAGAAGAACAATATATGGGAATCACTAATTATACATTGAATAACTCCACCAGAAAAAAAAAAGGTAAGACCCTTTTCAACGAACAAGGCCAAAAGTTGTTGAGAGTCGTATAATTCAAACAAGAAACCACCCCAAAAAAGAGCAAACCTTCTTCGTCAGCGGTAAAGATGAACAAAAATAAAAAACAAAGCCATGGGATAGTGAAAATGGATTGAAGACAGAGAGAGAGGAGGAGGATACCTGAACTTAGTTGTTCAGAGAGGAATTATAGATAAAAAAAATGTAATTAGAATTTTATTATATTCGGGTGTGTGTTTAATTAATTAGTAGGGCATATCATTAGTCAGTTTTTCGATTTCAGCAATTAATTTTAAATATTTTTAGTTTTAATACCGCATGTTAATTTGTGTCTCAATTAGAGTATTTTTTTATTGACGTGATGATAATTGATATGGTTGTTGTTTTTTTTCTATTTTTATAGAAATTTATTAATTCCTTTGCCATACGTCACCAATTATCATTTGTTACAAAATTAATATTAAAATATTTGTATTGTACTCATCTTTATTCTTCTTGAAATGATTTTTGCGAAATTCATTCCAGATCTACAAAAATACATAAAATTGTTTGATGTTCTAATGTTCTAATATCCTTTAACGATTGTTTAATGATGCTAATTTTTATGTATATTGTTCGTATTCTATAGAGAATATTTCTCACTGTTCTGATATTTAGACAAATACATCAAGAATTTCAAATATGATAAAGCTCACATACCCCGAAAATAATAAAATTTGTGTTTAATTTCATGAATTTTAAAGATGAAAAAAATTAAATAATAAAAAGACTATAAGATAAGTTTATTAGTATTTAAGGTGACCATAAAAATTACTGAAAAATAATATTTTATATAACAACTGAAAATTGACGAAAAACTTAAGTTTGATGATGATAAAATATAATAAAACTAAACTTTTAAACCTTCATGGTAACTTATTTCAGCTTTCATGTCAACAGTAAACTGACCCATTATATTTCTATGAATGGTTTAGCAACTCAATGCCCAAATTTGAAAATAAATTAATATTCAGTGATAAAAGTAAAATATTTTAAAGTTTAATGCTGAAAATGATACATAATCTAAAGTTTACTGACTGATGTTGTAGTTTACTCTAATTAATAAATTAAATCTATTAAAATAGTTCATTTTTAATCATTTGATAATAATTACTAATTGAATTGATCATGACGTGTCGTATAATTCATTTTACTAATTTTTAATTAAGAAACAGATTAGTAGGTGCCTGACTTTTCCGTTTAAATGGCTGGCTTTTGTTTTTGCATCAGTTAGTTAATTTTTTTTTTGGATAATTCAGTTAGTTAATTTCTCTTATGGATTTATTATTATTTTTAATTCTCTATTTTCTGTCTTTTTTATAAACGACATCAATGTCGTTAAATTATTAATTAATTTACGTTTTATGTTTAAAAACATATAATAAGTTTTTAATATTAACTTAAAGACATGATAATTTTTCAATAATAAGTATATATGATAATAATATTTTTTTTAAAAATAAATATATTTCTGATTATTTATGTATGCTTTTATATCTAATCATACGTGTATTTGTTCTTGAAATGTGTTCAAAAATTACTTTTCAGTCCCGTTTGATCATGCCCTTTATCGGCAAGGATAAGGTGAGTTGACCTTTGCTTGGGTTTTGTTCTTGCACCCTTTACGAGGAGGGAGTGTATTTGTTAATTGAACGATTGTGTTAGTTTTTCTATCTTTCACTTATAATTTTTAAAACTACTTGATAGGATGGATATAAAAGGATTCAAAATCTTCTCAACTTTAAATTTAAATACATTTAATTAATATTTGAATTAAAATAAAAAATATTTATACTAAAAAACTAGTAATATATCCTTTCATATAACTATTATTTGATTTCTTTCTAATATTTAATGATAAATAATATATATATAATAAAATTTTAATTAAATAATTAGATTATAACTTAAAAAACTATCGATTTATAATCAAATTAATAATTAAAACAACCTAAATGTATTTGATCGTATATCAGATTACGTGAGAAGGTGGTCAAATCAGGGCGACACTACTAGTTACCATCTACCTTCAATCGTGCAGTCAAAGAGACAGACAATTATTATATGAGAAAGTTAATTCAACGTTATTTTTTCGGGTCAAACCTAACTGGCCGCCTCACTCTTCGATTAATAAAAAACCTTATATTTAAATTTTTGGTTTACATTGATTTTAGAATAAATTATAAATTTAGCAATTGAACTATTTTCTATCTTTTATTTTATTTATTGTATTATTAATTTTTTTTAATTTACTTATTTAATTTTATATATTAATTTTTTTAATTTACTTAATTTTATATATTAATTTTTTTGTCACTCTACGATGATGTGGATTATTATTATTATTATTACTATTACTATTACGTGATAAATTTACTAATATTTTATTCTAAATATAATTTAAAATGATAATAATAATTAAAATATCTAAAATACTTAAAAGTAAAAGAGTGAGATAGAAAAACTAGGGGCCTCAACTATAATAGTAGAAGTGAGATTGAAAAAAATTAGAGGTCTCAATTATAAAGGTAAGAAGTGGGATTGAAGAAAATTAGATGTCTCGATTATAAAAGTAAAAAGTAGGGTTGAAAACAATAGGTCTCAATTATAAAGGTAAAATGCGAGATTATAAAAATTAGAGGCTTCAATTATAAAGATAAAAAATGGGAATAAAAAAATATGAGCTCAATTAAAAAGATAAAATATAATATTATAAAAGTTAGGAGCATCAATTATAAAAATAGAAAATGAAACTAAAAAAATAAAGACATCAATTATGAAGATAAAAAATAGGACTAAAAAATTAATGGTACAATAAAAAATGAGGACTCGGAGTAATCGTTCAAGGTACTTCTCCTATCAATCACTTCTGAATATAAAATAAGTAAAAATTTAAAATTTTCCCAAGGTTCATCTTGTTTTGAAGGGTGTGGGCTACTATGAAACTTTATATATATATATATATATATATATATATATATATATATGACGATTTATAAATATTTTTTAAGGTGAACACGCATATTAATGATAGTTTTTTTTATTGAAATCTTAACCTTACAAAAAGAACAAATCGAATTGGCAAAATCATCACAAAATATGTTAATAATATTTGATTCAGATTATTTAATCAATGATTATATAAATATAAAACCTCACTTACGTTGCCTTTTAATAGCATCAGCATGTGCTTACTGAAACAAATGTTCCCAAGATGTAGTGGTCCATACCACCTTTTATTCATCTTTCATATCACACCATAATTGCGGAGGACAAAATTTGGTAGCAATCCTGGAGCAAGTTCAACAATTGAAGCAGCTGTCTTTCGCACCACAAAGCTAATCAAGGCTGTTTTATGACTTGGAAAACGCAATAAATGCTTCCAACCAATCATTGCACAATGCACATCAAGTTCAGTACCTCCAAATCATAGTTAATCCCCCTTTTCGTTCCTTCCAATTAACTGCCAACCAACCTGGTCCATATCACATCGTCTTCTTACCACATCATTTTCCGAAACCCTTACATAGAATCACCGCAAAATATCATTTTTCATCAATGATCCATTTCAAGAATCTAAAAGGCGGTGGGTTTGCACATGACAGTTGTATGATAAGCATCCTTATGGCTATTGCCTATTGGCAAGGGCAACCACTGTTAATATATCAATTTGTTCGACCGATCCTTCCCCGCATCTTGTACGTTTCTTGATGCCAACTTAAACTGCCCTTCGATGTTACATCTGACTACGATTACCTTCCTTTCTCAAGGGATCGATGGAGATAGACCTTCTTCCCTATAGCTCCCCCACTTGCAACACCCTCCCTAACACCTAAAAATAAATTTCAGCACCAACCTATGACATTGATGCATCTTCTTTACCCATCTCCACAAATTCTAATATATGAAATCTTTTAAATCCACTTCTTTATTTTCAATTCTATCCGAGATCAAGGGGCACTTGATTTAAACCATAAGTAAAAAAGATATTGTCCTGTTCATTGTAAATTTAAATAAAAGATGATGTAAGAATTACCCGAATCTAAAAACATGCTAAGAGAACCTAAAATAATTCAAATACCAAATAACCTGAACCAAAACTAGTTGTATGACAATGAACGGCCAACCCCAGTCAAGCCCGCCCTAACTCCCGCTTTGAAGCTGTTATAGCCTATCAACCCCAACCCCTAAGTTGAGATCAGTGGATACACAGAGATACAACATACAAATGAAAGAATTGAATGATTAGAACTAAAGTTGATTTACACATTTACATCCTTTTCATCCTTGACGACTTCCAGGGACTTCAGTTCCTCCATCAACCGTTCATACTCGCACTGAACCTTTACCATTTCATTCCTAAGCTTTTCTACCTGCACAAGTTAGGTTAGGTTTCGTTAAAGTGCAGAGTGATGCAAGATTTCATAAACCAACAACCATTTGATACCTTGACTGTCAGTTCTTCCCCTCTCTTGTCATACTCCAAGCATCTAAAAAACACAAGTAATTTCCAGCAGTCAGCTACCAGATGATTGTTGGGCTAAATTTTGAGACTAATGACTGCTTATTAAGTACATGTGAAAATCTATGCATATTAAATTGATATCTTTCACGAACTAATAAAAAACATGTCAAAATAATCTACTCACTTTGCATGAAGTTTCCTGTTTTCTTGCATCAAGTTTTGGGTTTCTTGATCTTTCAAGTGATTTGCAGTAGCATTGAGAGACTAGACCAATAAGAAAAAAAGGCACGCAGAACATTAGCAATTAGAATCCGTTATATTAATGAAACTGATATATATACATATATACACGCACTATGAGTCAGCAAAAGAAAACCAAGTTCCCAAACACCTATGTAAAGAAAGATGGAACTGATAAATGCTACTGAATTCCATGTAAGTCGTAACCAGCGAAATATAGTACAATTCAGGACTGGGAAGCAATCATACAATGAGCAGGAAGCCTGGAAAGATTTGCATGCATGGACAGAGTCATGCTTCCATTGAACTAGATAACAGTAAATTAAGTTGCATGTTTTAGCAAATGAACCTCCTCTTTGAATTTCTAATAATCTAGCAATGCAAGAGCATGCTTCCTACACAGACCTTAGGTGTGTTGGCACATGTCCCTGCTTGGCGTTTCACAATTTCAATTTTTACCAAGTCAACCTGTCCCTTCCTTTTTATAGGCAATCCTGTTTAACCACAAGGCACCGTGAGTTAAGGTTAAAAAATCCTTCATATTAGTACCAAAAGAAGATTGATATAGTACCTTGCATGCTTCTTCCATGAGAGATGGGGATTGACTGCTCTGCAACATCTACACGTCGTCCTTTTGCTCTATCAGAAACCATATAAGTTTGATTGAAGCCAACATATTCTTGTACATTGCTCTGTCCGGTAAAATGAGATGAAACATGAGATGCCGGTGGCCGAGACTTTTTCTTGATCTGATATCCAATTAGTCCGCAATGATAATCCCTGCCAGACAGAATAATGTGCTTAAGGCATCTATGATGAGCATGATCTTAAAATCTCATGAAGAGACCATCATCAAAAGACATCAAGGATCACATGGAAAATAGGCAAAGATGGCACAATACATGAGCCAAAATCTACACTTCAAAATCATTTTTTTCAAACCATCAAATTGAGCAGTTGCATAGAAACAGTGAAGTACATAGTTTTTATCCCAAACATACAAAAAAACATGGAAATGTGAACTTCCTACCATAAACATCCATGGTAAACCTCTTGATAGATTATTAGAGCAAAAGGAATTGCAAGACTAATTAGATAGGAGGAAAACCAATAATAAAACTTTAAGTGGGAGAAACAAGAAGCCATGGAAGTATACATGTGGCTTAGGTAGCATTTGGTATCACTTGTGAGATCACTATAGTAATAAGATTATTAAGGTCATTTGATCACTAGTGATTTTATATTACAATGTTGTGTATGACATTGTAAATTACTAGTGATCATAAGCTACAATATTTGTCATTTGATAAATAAAAAAAACTACAATATTTGGCAATGTAGGAAAAGATCATTAGGAACAAAATTCACTTTTTTCTTGGTATCCAAAAATTTTCTCTACATAAAATATTGGTGCATAAAAATACACCATTAGCAACAAAACTACTTCACCTTAAACACAAACCTCAACCTTTTTGGCCAAGTTTAGAGGTTTGCCAAGAATTAGGTAGCATTTTTTCACATGTTTTTTCCTATCTTCTTGGGACAAGTTAGTGAAAAATTATCATTGAAGATTACTTTGCCATTAGTGATCCTTTTGGATGGGAATCAAATCACTTCTTAAGGCAGTGATATTTTCACCGCAATGATTTAAGATTAGTGCCCTGTAGGATTCTCACATTACTAACAAACTCTGATGTAATTATTAAATTCAATCACCCTAATTTTGGGATGATCATTTATACCCAACATCCCTCAGTCATTAAAGAATAGATTACCAGTATTCCCATGTCATTTCCTTCAAGCGAGTTTCAAGCTTCTGAAAAAGGGAAGTTCTCTCAAAATCTTGTTTGTTATGCGTTGGCTCAACAAAATTAGCTTCCAAAACACCTGAAAGAATAAAATAATACTTTTTCCTGAGACTTAAACGCATAATTAAATGAAGAAAAAAAGAATCAAATGTCAATGAGTTAATACATTCTTACCAACCACACCTCTACCCCTACTGTCAGAATAGCTAACAACATGCCAAAATGGCTGCAAAAGGGAAAAGAAAAGACTTTAAGATTCCACAAATAGTCACTTGAAACAAACATGTAAATAAATTGTGTGGGGCAGAACCTCCTTAAAGACATCCAAGAGGGCATGTAATACAAATCACAAGGAGACTCAAAGATATCTAGGCACAGACGCATCATATAGCAACGGAAAATAACTAATGATAAAGTATCCCAGAACCTAGTAAATTCCTGGTCATAAGACAAAAATGACAATTTTGTTTAAGAAAAAATAGAAATGAGTTATTTATAAGTTGGACAGTCATGCACTTCACAGGTCAGAAGCTATTTTAAACTTTTTATTAAGTTTCTGATTTTAACCTATTATCATTCTAGGTTGCCAGAAAACAAACTGTTTCTATACTAGAGTCCATATCTAACTCCGCCACTCATAACATGCTCGAAAGTCAGAAGCATTATGTTTTCTAGGAAAACTACAAATGAACAGCATTTTCACACATAGCAGTAACAAAAGATATGTTAGTTTATTTAACCAAATGAAGTTACACCATTAGTCATTTGCATGTTTCATCCCCAACATTAACAAAGAAAACCGTTTAAGAAAGGTAAAATATTTTTATGAAAGTTACCAGAATTAGACGGTTCTTGTGATAGACACAAAATCCATGGATATTAACTTGAGGAGCGTCTTTAAGGAAACCAATTGTAGATACAACTGCACCCTGCAGTTAAACCAGAAAGTAGAAATGTAATACATGGTAAAAGTCAGAAACATTCCGACAAGGAATACAATCATATCCATCCAAGCAACTTCCGGTAGATAGTTTCCAATTAAGATAAACATGGATAAGCAATGATGATAATGCTATGAACAAGTAAATAGTACCTCCACAGATCCACAGCTTTGTGGTTTATACAAGATATACTCTATAAATTTCAGATCATCAGCAATGTTATGATGCTCAACAATTTCACCACGCAATATTATTCTGAAAGTTTCAGGAATTCGCAAATACAAGATGGACAAATATACCTGCAGAGTGAGACAATCAAACTCAATAAAGTATGAACCCTTTTACTCGTTAGTTTAACACAAAAATATACAAAAACTATATACTCACACGAAGAGAATGATGGTAACGTCTAGCAATGTGTTGCTCATTTACAGCTTTCCATGCAGGGAGTGTATTGACATTTGTGGTGTCTCCACTAATGCGAATATCCTGCAACCAGAATCATAAAATTTCATTAGAAAGACAGTGCAAAATATCTTGGGAAAAAGATAGAACGGTATGCGCAAAAAAAATTCAACCTTTTCATCAGAATCAAAGTCTAGCTCTGAACTCCCATCATTATTGAGCCATAAATTGTAGATAATAATTTTTGTGCCATGGGAACCGATGTCATCAAACTGCAGTTAGATGGAGGCACATTCAAAGATAGTCAGACAAAAATAACTTCAAAGACCAAAAAGATAAAATATATCACACAATATGATCCAATCTCCAGTGCCCCAGACAAGGTGTTGATGGAGCTGTTAGGTTTGATGGGTTGGTCGGAGGTATAGGTGGTATTTTAAGAGATTGGAATTGTTGCACTCTAATGCCTTTTTCGGAAAGTATTGGTCAAGGCCCCCCTCCAGTTGCTGAATTAAAAGCTATTAAAAGAGGCATTGAAATCTTTCTTTCTTCAGTTTGGGTTTCTGTTGGTAGGTTGATTGTTGAAAGTGATTGTAAGTCTGCAGTGGAGTGGATTCAGTCTCCGTTTTCGGCTCCTGTCTTCTTTAACTCTCTAGTCAAGGAGATTTTGTCTCTTTTTTCTGATAAGGTGTCTTTAGTTAGGTGGATTCCAAGGGCTTGTAATTGTGAGGCAGATAGTTTAGCAAAGGAAGGGATTGGGTGAATGTAAGGTTTTGGTTTTAGGCTGTTTTATTCGGTTTTTGTAGTTTCTGTTTTCTTGTGTAATTGTTGAGTCTTATGTAATGTTGTTATATTAATCAATTTAGGCACTCTTTTCCTCCTTCCGCTGGTTGGTTCTTTCTTTCGGGAAAGGAACCACTATGAGGGAGGTTTTTAATGAGGCCTCCTATTTCTATCAAAAAAATATTTTATCAAATTAAATGTAATTTAGGAAATTATTTAAATTAAATACTGTAAACCCCCTTTCTCTTGTGCAATTGACTTTTATGACTCTCAAAGACATTAAGAGGAAAACAATACAAAATATCTTAAAATCAAAACAATAAAAACACATAAGCTTTACTTGAATGTGGTGTTAGTTTTATGGGTTGAATCAAGTCAAACAAGCAACCTGTAAAAGAAAGACATAATAGGCTTACAAGTCATCGAGCCAAGGTAAAAAAACTAAAAATCAAATATAGTATTCACCTGGCAAAAGCTCAATTAAAGTATTTTCAAGAAAAGCTCAAATAGCTCAGATGTAGGATTAAGTTGCTTACATCATGTGGTATTCCATTAAAGAAAATATCCTTAAATTCAACAAATACAATGTTCCATTTTTTTTCTTTTTTTGTATCCAATTTGATTTAAGCATATTATCTCAAGCCTCATTATTAAGATGTAGTGTTTGACTGTTTGGTATCATTTCCAACATCACAACTTGTGGTTAGAAATCACCTTATTTATTTAGCAACAACTAGTTCTTGAGAGTTAAAGGTCATTATATTCGTGCTTGATATTTCTGAAAACCAAATTTTGCAAATATTAATGTGATGTACAAATTCAATTAGCATCAGTAACAATCATTGACAATTGCAAGAAGAATGTAAAACAAAAAAGAAAAAAGTAGAAGACCTACTTGCTTCAAAAGTTCAGCTTCTGTTGAATATGGAGACCATTGTAACAAAATGGAAAGATTAGAAGCAAAATGTTCTCTACCATGCAACACATCCAACGTGCCATTTGATGAATTAAGCTCATAATCCACCTGCGGTTTGCAAAAAGATCTTATAGAATGCATTGGAAACTAACATAAACTCAATGGAAAGAGGATGCTCACCATAGGTACAATTATTCTGTCATAGCCTGTCTTTGTCAAAAATGAATAAGACAGTAGGCCAATGCTTTGAGTCAATGACCTGATCAAGGAATAAAGGGATTAACAATTTAAAAGTAGCAGTACAGGTCTAAAAAATATTACGACATTTTAAAAGACATATATATCATTATTTCAATTTTAATATTGTAATTATATTTGTCCCTTTTTGTAGTTTCACTGAGTTGGTGTTACATGACTTTTAACACCAACCTCAGTCAGGGAAATTATAAGTAATATAGATTATTTCCTCGTGTTCTAAGAAAAAACCATTGAGAACCTTATCATTGCAAAAAATTTCCAGTAATACTTAAGTTTGTTCCATAATTTTTTCAAAATCATCAGAAATTTATGAAAATGATAATATTTTCATCTAAATCAACATGCAAAAATAAACATTAATATTCTACCAACAAAAAAACATACAAGATTAGCAAGAATAAAATTTTAATGCACAAGGCAGAGAATGATCTTGGTAGAGGAACCAAACCTATCATCCAAATGGCGGCTGAAAACAATCACATCTGCTCCAAGTCTCATAGAACTAGTCTTGAAACCGTTGCCATCTGGAAGGCAAGAACTTTTATAACTATAAAAGGAAAGAATAAAAAATATTCCAAACAAAAACAGTTTTATACATTGTCCAATCGCAGATTTTGACTTCTTATCTGAAAATCCAAAGCTCATACACCGCCGCATTGCATCAGGGCCCATTCCACCGCCATCATCTAATAGAAAATTATCGAGTTTTGAGAGTTACAAGTTACAAATATTTGATTAGACAACTTTTACAAAGAAAAAATAAATAAATGGATATAAATGAAAATGCATATGATCATTTTTTATTAAATCAAGAAAAATACCTTGAATTAACAAAGCTGGACTCCCATCCCTAGGGTTTGATGTTTTATCTACAATGACAAAAGTGGCCCCATTTTGGATCTATCCAATTTGAAAGAAATAAGATATGAAGTGCAAAACAGTGAGAAATCATGAAGAAAGAAAATTGGGGAAACATTGTAGTAATCTACTTAACTGTGCATAGATTTACTACAGAATGGCTATTAATAGGGTAATAATGTGATACAAATTTCATCTATGCTTAGGTTTTCAGTCATTGAACATGTCAACCATAATTTTAATAAATATATATAAAAAAGGGTTTTCCTAGCCTAGAAAACAATTGACAATTAGCTTTGATCTATTAAAATATTAGGTTTTTATAGCAGCCTTTATTTTATTCAGGTTGGTCTTGTTCCCAGTTTTTAATGATTATAGGCATACTAGTTGGATTATGTCTAGCAAATCTTTGGCACTAATAAGACTTCAAAGTATTGATTGTAATAGAAAATTTAAATCTCCTCATTACAGATCAATTCACATGAACATTCATAACCTAATCTACCTCCCAATTGTAAGCATACATCAATGCCCTTGTTAAATCACAATATGCTGGAATCCCATACAAAATTTCAGACCAATTACTATAAATAAGACACAATAATGATAGTATTAAACCCTAGTTTTATGATTATTTGATCGTATAATAAAGTTTTCCAAAATAATCCTACACCATGCATTTGTACCATTAAACAACATAGATATACTCCAGCCAACAAATTAAGTTGAAATTCACCTCGTCAATGGCATTGTCAAGTAGTTCAGCAACAGCTGCAAACAATAACAAACAAAATACAGTTTAATCATGCAAAACTAGTCATTGCCAAATGAAAATGTAAGAAGCACAAAAAATGATCAGCATAAGCTAGACATACCACCATAGGCCCACTTATGCGAGGTGGCATTTGAATGAAGAAACAAGGGATGCACATGAAGATAATTTGTGCTATCTGTCGTAAAAATAATATTTTAAAAAAGGTAAAAATGTCAAATAAGTAAAACGATTCATCTGCAATCTGGGAATCACGGTTCAATAAGGATACAATGCAAAAGTAACTAATGGCTGCATACTTTGTAGCGTGACCTTGGAACCAAGCCCTTCTTCGTAGCTCCCAGCTTTCCAGAATTGCCGACAAATTGGCGCTGGAGATACGACTGACGTTGAACAGACACCTGTATCATCCCCTGGAGACTGGCATTGCTCCAAAGCACTAGTACTACTTTGACCAGTGCTTAAAGCATTATTTGAGCTTTTATTTTCTTCAGAGGCTTGTTTTCTAGTTTGCGTTTTGGAATTAAGAAGATTAACAGATTGAACACTATGGTTATTTTGCTGCTTTACCGTGCTCCCAACAGCACCAGGTTCCAATTTAACAGGTTTCACATCTACCTCTTCAAGTTCATCATCACTAGTTAAGTCCACAATTTCTATACCACTCATCTCCAAAACTGTAAATAGAAATGAAAATAGACTTCAGCTAACATGTTAAAAAGCACAAAATTACGATGCATGCAAAATGGAACCCCAATAGTTTCAATCCCCAGTAACTAAGGAAATTGGATTTCTTCAAATGAAACATAACTAACATGAATTACCTATTATACCCAGAAGTTAAGAGGTAAATAAATTAAAATATGGAGGAAGTCAATAACCTAAGTAGGAAAACCTAACAGCTATTCGGCGAAAGAGATTACGGAGGCCAAACTGCAACACGGAAGCTGCACAATATCTTTTCACTTTAAGTCCCCCCAGCATCAACCAAATAATGTGAAAATCTATTGAAACCAAAGCGTAAAACTCAAAAAACTACCAACAAAGGGGAAACAACAAACAAATTCTTTGGCGGGATTGAGAATTTTTGAAATCCTAACTTGCATTCACTCAAGGGTAGAGAAGAGAATGCATAAACAAGAGGCAAAAGTGAAATTAGGAAGTAGCTTTTAAAATCAAGCAAAATAAAGAGCTTGAAACCGGAATTCAATAGCGGGTTAAGGGTTTTAGCGAGTGCCGGCGGTTGCCGCTTGAAATAGGAGGGCCGAAAGAGAAAATTAGGAGTGTGGGGGACAAAGGGTGGGATTGAAGGCAAAGATGAGGAACCGAGTCAGGAGGCTGTTGCTGGTGAGCGTAACCCGAGTCTGATTGTGCGTGAGAATGAGACGTGACCAAGAAATTGGTAGATGAAGATGAGAAAAGCGGCAGAGAATCAGGAACTCTCCCGAAGTACAAGAGGAAGAGAAAGACGTGAATGCCGGATGAAATTAGGGACTCGTTTAGGGATGGAAATGGGTAGGGTTTGATCAGATTTTCAATCAACTCTATAAAAATGTTCCTTTCATTTGATACTTGATTTAATCTTGATTTTAGGTTTATTTTATTTGAGTCGTTTTTCAAGATAAAATTTATATTTAATTCGAATTGATTTGATATGAGTATATATAATTTTTTGTTTTATTCAATGAAAGAGATTTAATTGAAAAATAATACCAAAAAAAGTATTATTGTAATTTTATTCGAATTGATTTAAATTTATTACTTTTATAATTGTAAGAGTGATGTCGTTTGATTTTTCTTTGTTTGCGTCTCTAGATGACATTTCACTTTTATATCACAACTAAATAATTTAAATTTTCAATTAACAAATAAATAAATTATTATTATAATTTCAACATGTCAATACAAATATTTTTCTTGTTTAATAAATAGGTTGCTAACTTGGATCATCAAGATATTCTAAATGAGCTTCAAGATAATAAATTATTGGTCGATCAAAGAATAAGTTATAGGTATGTTTTATCAATTTAATATTAATATCATGATAACTAATAAGTCATTTATATGCGTAATAAAACAGTTTTTTAGTTTGATTGGATGTACTCTAAAAATCATTTCTCTATTCACAATGAACATCACATCGAACATAAGCAATTATGCTTTGATCTTGTAGATGCTCGGTTTTGTCCGGGGCTAGATCGGAGCAGACTCAAAGTAGAGCAGTTGGAGGCCCAAACCAATGACCCGACAGAGCAGCCCAAATCAATCCAAACAACATGTTATACTAGCATCCAGTCTACGTGGGTTCCGGAAAAACACAAACGAATATCCAGTGGGAAGGAGAGAAGTGGTGTTTGATCGTGGGTGGGATATGAAACTGTAAGTTGGTTTTTTAATTTGTAATTAACCACTGGAAACTAAAGGGGGGGTCGGTTTTTAATGGGGGACTAATCACCAGAAACAGAAAAAAAGAGGAAGGAAAAGATCAGACAAAAAAAAACGAGCAGGAGATTACACAGAGAACGAAAAGGAAAGAGGGGAATTTGTAAAAGTTTATGGTTCAACATTTGAAAAGCAATAAAAAGAAACATTTTTTTTCTCTCCTGATTTTCATTCTCACAATCGCAAGGATATCAATCATTCACAAAAGGGCAGTAGCATTCTTTCAAGCAAAAACAACAACAAAAAACATCAAGCATTAATAAGGAGGTATTTCATCTTATTTTGTTTATTTTTACTAACTATTTGTATATGTGGTATTTATTTAGGAAGAAAATAAGGGTAAGGAAGATAGAAATAGACAGTTAGATTTACCTCAGGTTCTGTTTTGATTGATTGTCGATGTCGTTGCTGCATCGAGGTTGGGTCTCTGTCCCGTTTGGTTTGTTTTTTCTTTGGTGTTTAGGGGGCGAAGCTCTCGGGTTCGTAGTCTGAGATTGGTTTAACACCGAGTCATGTTGGTTTCATACGTTTTGAAATTTTGTTTAGACTAGAAGCAAAATCAGAAGAAAAGTTAAAAGAAAGGTTCAACTTAGCTTATCTCGCCGGTTCTGGTCCTCGTCGGAGTCCATAGGTGGTGTTGGTCGTTCGTTTTGGTTGAGGGCTAGAGAGGAAGGAGGCGTCTAGGCTCATTAGGTCGATTCGGGTGCTTCATCGCTAGTGACCACCACGGTAGTGGTCGGAAAAGTGAATCGTGCCTGGGTTATCACAGAGGGTCGAGAGAAGAGGCGAGAGGGAGAGTGGAGAAGATGAGAGGGTATTACGGTTGGGAATGAAAGCAATTAATTTAGGGTTCAGTTTTCACCCTATATTTTGTATATATGAATTCATTGAAACGGTAGTGTATAGGGCATACATTTTACACGTGGTTTATCTGTGGGATGATCCATTCAATATTCCAATATTATGCATTTTGGTCCATAACCACCGCGTTTCTGATTTTGTAACCTTGTTTTGCACCTATTTTATTTCGGTCTGTATACTTTATGCACATTTAATTCTCGTCCTAAAGTGTTTATTGTACTTAGTCTTTGCTCTTTAGATATTAGACCTTTTAAATTCTTATATGTTGGATTTTAGTCCATTTGGTTTGTTAAATCGAATTTTGTATTATTTGTGTTTCTGGCCTATTACTTTGAAAGTTTATGCTTTGATCCCTTGCGAATTGTTATTTTATGGTCCCGATGTTTGTAATATTTTGTACGTAAATTCATTGATGCATGTTTAAGATACAAATGCGTGTAAATAAACATATATATATATATATATTCAATAATTAGGTTTAAGTTTGAATTAATATACTTGAGTAAATATCAATTGTAATATGTTGAATATTTCTTTTTAACAATTACGTGAATTTGCATTGGGGATGTTTATTATATGCTATATTTAGATGCTATGGTTTTGTATGCTTAGACTTCATATATTTAATTTAGGTAAGATAGTATAATGCTTAATTTAAGTTCCATTTTATTCATTTGCGTACATGTAGGACTAGTCATTTTATCTTGATTGAATGTTGTATGATATTTTTAATTATAATATTTGTTTAATTAATTTTTGGCATGTGACATACTTTTTGCATAACTTGTATGATATCCTCATGTTCATAACTCGACCATACGACATAATTGGATTAAGGGTAATATATATTTTTAATTTAAAATTGTTTCAAGTGGGCAGTCATAACTGATTTGAGGTCCGCTTTTAGTGATTTTAAAATAAAAGTGTATCCCGAGAGTGAAACCAAAAATTGATTTGTCACCTAAAATTTGGGAACGAAAGAAAAGGAAATGTTCGTTTATTTAAATTTATCGAGAAAAGGTTGTTATAACTTTTAAGATCTGGTCTCGACATTTGTAAATAATCGAACATTCTTTGTCTTTCTAAAACGACTCGGTAATTTTAATTTAATTTATTTGAGTGCTTTTGAATGTTTTAAATTTACATTTTTATTTTATGGGATCAAAAATCAAATTGAATTCGAATTTGTAAAGTTCAATGCAAGGACGTTAATTAATCGATTAGGTACCGGTTTAGGGCGTTGTGGGGGTGCTAATCCTTCCCCATACGTAACCGACTCCTGAACTCGGATTTTGGTAACGCAGACCTCAATTTGTTGTTTTAATTAAAATTAATTTTTATTTAAAATGACAAAGCATTTTTGGGTGCCCAATCACACCCTAATCAAAGATTGGTGGCGACTCTTCGAACCGTATTTTTTGATCATAAAGGAAATCCAAAGACCTTTCGAAACGAAAGGTCTTTTAAATCGCATTTGTTTTTTTTAATTAAAAAGAGATAATTAAGAATTAATGTGGTTTTCAAAATCTTACCTTTTCACCTTTTAAGGGAAAAATCGTTTCGACAGCTTGGCGACTCCGCTGGGGAACTTTTTTTAGAGAGTCAAGCCGATAGTCGATTAATTAATTGTCTTTGCAATTGAAAATTATAAATTCGATTTAATTTGGTTTTTGATCCATTGTTTGGTTTTTAATAATTTTTTGTTTGTTTGTATTTTGATTTCTTTAATTTAATTCGATTAACAATTAAATAGTTGTACTAATCTGTTTGCTAATGGTTTCAGAATAATTATTTGTTTTAGGAATTAATTTTGAGTGTTTTTATTGATTGTTTTTTCGTTTTTCCTCACACACTGCACAGCTGCATTATCATAACATGAGCTAAAACCCCGCTCCGTCCTATTTAAGTAGGAATGAGAGACTATGCCCTCGTGTGGTTTTCACCTCCGCATGGGATAGTGGATCGCTCCTGGAACTCACGCCTTATGGTCCTCGTGATGGTAATCACCTCCGCATGGACATAAGGAGGTGTGTTCCCTCGAAATTGAACTCGATCCCCTAAAGCTTGTGATGGGCCAGGATTGAGGGTTCGGCAGCCCAAGGGGGCACCGGCAAGGACAATTCGAGAACCTATTACTTTAGAACCTAACCCGGCATATAGTGAACATAGAGCCTGAACTTAGGTTGAACCAAACCCGAACCTTAAGAATCCCGTGAGGAGGGTACACAAGGAAAAGCTTTTTTGAGTCATTTATTTTCGTTTTTTTGAATAAATGCATGCGAACTAGATATCATGCGGTTAGGTTTATTTTTGAATAAGCATGCGAATTAGATATCATGCAGTTAGGATTTCTTTTTATGGATAACAAAGCATGGGGGTAGATATCATGTTGGGTAGGATCTGATAAAGCATGATTGGGTAGCCAGCATGTGGGTAGGATTCTTGAATAAATTATTATCCCGACTTAATTGCTTTATGTTTACTAACCGATCTTTTGTTGTTTTTGCCTTGTTTCTTTTCTGTTTCGCATTGTATTTTTCATTACATGGTGTTGATTTGGGGTCGATGTCCATATAGAAGGCCAGTAATATGGAACGAACGGTTCAAAAAGAGGTTGAGGACAATGCAGATGTTCTGAGGTGGTCGGAACAGTCCCAATTGACCAATGGAGACAGCGTGATGCCTGGATATGTGTCAGAGTTATTTGGTTACACTCACATCAACGTGCGTCAGAATGATCTAAGTGAGCTAAAGGAGATATGGGGAAGATGGATAGTAGCCGATAAGGAGATGTTTTATCAGTTGTACGGCGATATTCCTTATCTTCTGGATGTTTCTATTGACCGAAATCTGTTTAGAGCATTGGCGCAGTTCTGGAATCCGGCTTATAGCTGTTTCACATTTGGTAGGGTGGACCTGACACCAACAATAGAGGAGTATCAAGCTTTGGTCCGTTGTCCGAGGTCCCAAATGGATAGAATATATACCAAGCTGCCAGTCACTCCTTCATTTAAGAAGAAATTACTATTGATGACCGGAATGAGTGAAGATTGGGTAGTCAGAAACATTAAGAAGAAATGAGACAGTGAGTGCATCTCTTGGGCTACTCTGAAAGAAGTAATTGCTCATCATCCTGATAAAAGAAAGAAGCTTGACTTGTTTGCTTTAGGGATTTATGGGCTTGTTATTTTTCCAAAAGTGCTA